TTCCTGTCAAATGCTGACTTGGATAGACTGGTCCATGTTTCTGTGTTATCCCGACTCAACTACTTCAACGTCTCACTGGTTGGGATACAGAGCAAAGTCCTGGGCAGACTCCAGTTTGTTGAGAATGCAGCTGTTGAGTGCTTACACCTCGTACATCATTCCGTGAGCACATTACACCAGTCCCCTTATCCCATCATTGGCTACCAGTCAAATTCCGAGTGGATTTTAAGATACTGCTATTAACATATAAGGCTTTAAAAGGGCTCACCCCACATTACTTGCCGGAATCAATACATGTGTAGTAGTCGTGTATGGAGACGGAGTCGTAGTAGGAAGCAACACGTTTTATTTATCTCTTTAACAACACTCACTAGGACTTAACATGAAGGGGTAATGGCCCCTTCCACCCACAACCTGTGGAGGTACAGCCTCCGGGCTATCTATTCTAGCCACTGACCTACTCCTATAGCCCTCCGGCTGGCTGGAGCTAAGGAAGCTGACCCACCGCTGGCACCGGTGGGTCTCTGACCACTGGCCCATCCAGACCCGGCCCTCAGAAGGACGTCGGGCTGAGGGAACCTCAGGGTCCTAGCCTCTCGACCTCTGGCACCGCACTGAGCCCCGGCCCTTAGAAGGACGTCGTGGCTTGGGGTCCAGCGTCTCGTCTCCAGGTGGCTCCTCGACTTCGGCTTGAGGCGAACTGCCCTCTGCTCTCAGGAGCCCGCCTTTTATACGATTCCCCACCAAGGAGCGGGGTTCTGAGGGATCACAGATCCCCCACAGCCCCCTCCCCTCTGGAGGGGTTCTGGCCACAGCAAGCCCAACCGATCTGTGTTTGTTTATCCCGCTTTCTGCCTTGGGGCAGGGTTCTGGGGGATCACACACACACTCACAACACACACACTCACAACACACACACTCACAACACACACTCACAACACACACACTTCACAGCCTCTACCCCTCAAGCGGGGTCTTGGTCAGGGTTATCAATGACCCCGCTCTGGTAGGTACTGTGCAGCGTGTGTGTGTTTACAGATTTACTACCACACATGAATAGATTCCATCAAGGTCCTTAAGATCTTCTGATCTACAACTACTCAGCAATCCCAGGTCTAGGTTGCACTCTTTTGGTGATCGGGCTTTCGTTTGCGTGGCACCCAAGCTATGTAACGCCTTGCCACTTGAAATCAGGACATCAGAGTTGGTAGATATATCTAAATCTGCTTTGAAAACACATCTCTTAGTGGCCTTCCCTCTTTAGTTTTTCGCTTGCCCTGGTTCTGTTTTTGTTTCCTGCTTTTCATGCATTGCGCATTAGGATCCTAGGATGGAATGCGCATTAAACATTTAATAATTATTATTACTACTCCAGGAGTTCCAAGACCACAAGTGTTGGAAGATACTGATGGCAGAGTCATCCTGAAGGGCACCCAACGAGTGAATTGGTCACGGGAATTGTAGCGGTCGTAGATTTTTAAAATTTCATTTTATTCCTTATACACAATAGTTAAAGGCAGATATTTAGGTCATTTTCAAAAAACAGAATTGTCAAAACCTCTGCACTTTATAAGCAGAATTTGACCAAAATGAAAAAAAAAGTCCCCCCCCCAATAGGTCAACATCCTCTTGCGTACATTTTGACATCATCTAAGGTCACAGTTATACACACTCTCGTGAAACACTCTCGTGAAACCCACCGACTCAGTGCTGAGGTAATAGAGCAGATTGTTCTATCGAAGATAACGGATTCGTCAACTAAAAGTTGTAAAATGTTTCGAGGAATTAATTGCACGCTTCATTCACGTTTAGTTTGAATGGGCATTTTATTTCAAATACGTCCATTCATATAACATGCGTGTGCGACAGTTGTATGTCAAAGGTAATAGCTTCTTCCTGGATGCTTCTGAGCTCCGCTCAGTGCACGCTGCATCGTATGAGATGTATCCACAGACTCCCTTTTCGCGTTAGCCTTCAACCATCTGTTTTCTTATCGCACCGTTTTCCAATCGTCGCGCTAAATGTTCCGCCCTGGCTGTCTCGATTATATTATCAGCGTCATCTTAGATAAGTTGTCCCACTGCGAGTATGAAAATACAAAGACCATGCTGCAGAATCCATGCCCAGATTCTGCAAAAGCTTATTTTCTCGTCGGGCCGATCTCACTCCAGGGATAAACGAGTGACAGTGCAGAAGGAAGTGATGGGGCTTGGCAGGATACCCAACTCCCAGTGATGTTTTGTTGTTTATGCTGTGCCATGTTTGGCTATGTTTAATGTCTAACTTGCATCCGTTCAGCCTGTAATCGCTTCTCGTGTTGAATTTGCTGAGGACAGAGCAAATGAAATGATTCCATGGATGCCACCACTTCAATTAATGAGATAACTAACAAAGAAGTGAACAGTGCAGTTTGATTTATATAATTAGCCCGTGTATTTCCTCTCATCCTGATTAAACATATCTAGAAGAAAGATATATTTGCAGCAGGAGGCTGTTTTAGATGCTAATGTTTAGTTAACACTGTGCTACAGGAATCCCGATACAGGCACGCAGACGAGAAGCTGAACCAAGATCTTGACATTTCATTATGCCCCACATTTATCAGCAGCGATTACTATTTGGCAAATGAACCATCCGAAATTTTGTGACTCTCGTTTTTCTCTTGATATGTAAATTACGCACGTAAACGGTGACGAATGGCGTTTGAACGGTGGGACCTAAACCTTCAGCACGAGGTGCCCAGACTTTCCTTGAGAACGCACACACACAAAAAAAAATGTGCAGCTATCGTAGGTCCACGGTAAGCCGCTGTGGCTTCGTAATCGCAGAATCGCACGTGCCGTCAACAGAGCCAAGTGCGAATGTTGAATGACATCTGCGTTGCGCAGCAATTTTCATTGTTTTTTTTTGAATCAGCAGAAAATGAGTCTCGTTTAGTGACTGTGCATTTCTCGAACATGAGCCTGGCATTTGCCGGTAAATGATTAGGAATGAGCCGGCATGTAGAGTAAATATTCTTGTTAAATTATTGTAAACTGCTAACAGAAAGGAACAAAAAATATATTCCTTTGTAAGTGGGAAAAAGTTAACAGTCACAGTGGCAATTGTGTTTACAGACACGATGACGATGGTGGCAGTGCTGCGGTCCGCTCTGTGAACCCAGCCACTTGAGTTCGATTCCCAGCCACGGCTAACAGCAGTGGCGAGTTGACATTGTAAGATGTGGTCCCTTGTCCTCCCATCCACCAACTCACACTTGCCGGGTTAGTTGAAGTACGGTCAAAACAATTCCCATGAGCGAAAGGCGTACGGATACTTTCCAATGCAAAAGTGTTTATAAAGGGCTGTAAAATGTTGTATTTAATTAAAGGTAGTTTCACGTGAATATACGTCAATTAAACACTGCAGTAGTTTAGTTTTGTTTAGCAAGATAACAATCTGACAGTAGGCGGCGCTGATTGCTATGTTTAAGGCAAATTGATTAATTTGGTACATTTGGACCATTGACTCTTGACACACAATGCCCTAACTCTTGCGAATGACGTAAGGGGAATCTTTAACGAGCATCGTGAAGCAGACCGTTTCTAACCACGGTTATGACGCACGCGGTAATAATCGGGACAACCACTGGGTTCGAACCGGGAACCTCTGCGATGAGTGGGCCAACGCATTTAAACAAAAACCTCGATTTAAAGCTTTCGTGACTGCAATGATTCATCTTCTTTGGTTCTTTCGGTAAAGTCACGTAGAATGAGAATAATCTTTCACTCCAGCGCTGTCCTACCAGACAGTCTCGTCCCTTCACCTGATGAAGGCCGCTTGAGTTGTGGCCGAAACGTCGTGAGAATATTATTGTGTTATTTTATATTATCAATTTATTATTTTATTCTCATTCTACGTGACTTTACCGAAATAACCAAAGAAGATGAATCATTGCAGTTACGAAAGCTTTAAATCGAAATTTAAGTTGATCACTGTTTAACTCCCAGTCAATTATGAAGAGATTACACAACTGGGGGGAAGTGTATCATTTTACGACAAATGTTGACGCTGTCACCCAAATGTCACAGGAGATCTGAACACTAAATTCACGTGGCCTGCAAGGAGCGTGTGTGCAAATCGTGTGGTGATATAGAGGCAGTTTCTATTAAATAACACGAATAAATATGCCCAATGCTCTGCTACACAGCACTGATTCTTACTGTTTTAATATCAACGTTTTTCAGAAAGGTGGATTCTTTGAAACCATTTCACCCTGAGCATATCGTGGACGCAACTGTAAAACACAACTGCAAAACCAAGCTCTGATTTAAAAAAAAATTCCATGGAGATGCAAGTTGTTGTTTTGGCAACACAAAGGTACAAAAGTTATGTTTTCTCCAATGATTGTTCTCAAAAATAGATGACTTCAAGTCGAGGAAGAAAATGTAAAATTAATTATGTAATTCACGTAACGTGCTATATATTTTTCTCTACATATATATCAACAAACAAAAATAAGTTTTTTAAAAGTTCTAATCCAACACAGTTGGTGATCACCGCATAACAATACTCCAGTAACATAGGCTGCGATTGTTGTACTATTCCACAATGTCTTTGTTGTTTTATATGTACTGTATACGCAAAACATGCTGATGTGATACGGCACGATGAACGGTTCTGAGAATTTTCAAGAGCTCTGCAATGACAATTTTTCATGACAATTTTTTATGTAAATTTTTTTTATGAGAATTTTCAAGAGCTCTGCAATGATCGCGGGGCAATAACGTGCTAACATCTTACCTAGCCATCAAGTGAACACACTGGAAATTTCCCCCAAAAAATACACACTTTTCGAGCTGCCAAATACAACAATGTGCTTGCTGCCGCTACACTACCTTTTGTAAATGCATTGAACCATCTACACAGCCCCCCCACACACACAGCCCCTCCCTCCACATCCCACAACCCACGCACCCCATATGCCCCCCCCCCGCAATGAATTTCTTGGAAATGTCGAGTTTAAATAAATTGATTCGTGATTAACAACTTCTTTATTTTATTTAATATAATAAAATAAACGCATATAAATACGAAGAGTATCCACTTATTTTTAGTCAGGACCGGTGGTAACCGGTAGGCTCGCACCATTTGTCTGTGGCAGGCGAAAGGTAAAAACCAAATGCCACGTGGCTCTCAAGTGATGATGTCGGTAGAGATGAATAATATTATTATTGCGTGCCATATTCCCATTATTTTTAACAATGCTTTTTTATTAATATATGTAGACATAATAAATGTATACAAAAAAACACTCACATATTTAACGTTTTAGCTAGATGCTCAATGTTTCTACCAGACGGTTATATAAAAACGGACGAGTTAATTATCAATGAAGCAACGTGTTCTTTGTTGTCTAACCAGCTATGGCATATAAGAGCGAGTGTGTGTTTCTAATGTATGTATATTTAACTTATTTCGCACCGTACGTAACCAACCCGTTGCTAATCGGAGATGCGGGAAATGTGTCATTGTTTTATGTCATCGCAAAGCGAAAGGCTGCAAGGCCGTGCGCATTCCCCAGCGCCTTTCAGATGGAGAAACTCCTGGTTCACGTCACCCTCCTCCTTGGAGCTGTGGTGGAGAGCAGCCTACCAAGTAAGGGTCAAACCCATTGCACAACGTTTGCCAACTACTGAGGGACATACTAAAGCACATTTAAGCTATTATTTGTTTTATGATGCAATGCTTTAAAAGGCAGGTCTACTAACTGTGCATTTTTGTGCGCATACTCCGATGTGCATTCCAGTTGTGTCCCTGCAATGGATATGTCCATTTGTTTGAGTGAACTTGATGTATGCAACTTTTGTTTGGCCCACTTTTACTTTAGCCCAACTTTAAACCCCACTTTGCAAAGTTATATAATAACTAGTGCATTTTCATTGTTTATAATGACTGCGTTGTCAGCAAATATCAGATTGTAAATCCTTTTTCTATTTACGTTTACGCTTTTATTCTCATCGTTTAGAAAATATATTTATTCTGAAGTCGCTGTGAATGGTGTTTGCGAGAGCATGTCTCCCTGTTTAAGTCCCTCTGATTTACTTTTTCTTGCATTCATTGTGCGATCTCAGCGGAGCCATTACTTCATAAAGTGTTGATCATTTTAAAATATATATATTTTTTTATAAAGGCCTTGATTTTTTTGAGGGTTCAGATGACGTCGTGAGTTTCCACTAAATTAAATTACCCTTTGCGAGACCCCCCGCCCCCCTCCCAAATCTAACCAAATGTTAACAAATGTGTAATCAACTAAAAAAAAACTATAAATGCAGTAAACGAACAATCAAAGACAATACTTGCGAAATTATTAATCGTTAACTCAAAGTTTATGCCTCCAACCCTAGTCACGCGCAGTGGAAGGGGATACATAGTTTTTTTAAAATATATTTTTGTAAAACGAACAAATACATTCACACAAAACCATAATTTCATCTTTATAGTATAGTTGATCATTTGATACGCAGGTATGTTTTCCATTTCATTGATATGCTATATTGGTGTTAGTTTAAAGCTTTCAAACTGCATCGTGTCAGTCTTCACGGAAACAGCTATGGCATCATCCCATCGCGTATCTATTTTATTTTCTCTTCTCTGTGCTGAAGTTTCGCAAAACATCATCTTTGTCAGCTTTTCGAAATGGTAAAAAGTTGGTATTTGAAGACAAAGGAAAAACATTTTTTTACATTTATTTTGCTGTACACATTTGTACTCGTACGTTTTACGCGCATGTTATAAATATAAATGCCCGGCATGTGTTTTGAATACAATTTCTCAAGACTTCTAAAGAGAAAACCGCACACCACAATTTTTGCGAATTTAGGATAACATATTTCCCATCTGTACACCAATTGCTTCCGACTATGGTTTTTTGTAATACAAAGATTAACTTGTGTTTTTGCGTGCTCAACACCAACTCTAAGGAACCACAGCAATCATTATAGAGGCATCTTAACCACAGATAACCGTAACAGTGCGAGACTACTGGATTAACAATTTACGCAATAATCTATCTTTTTAAGTTTCACGACATCGTCACAAAACATATCGTATGAAAAAATTACATCAACTCTTACCTCGTAATGGTATTTACATGTTTAATCATGTAAAACTAATCCAGCGAGGCGTCAGGCTGCAGCGGTAAGCTCTCATTGAAAAGTCGTGACTAAATGAAATTACTGTATCCTTGCAAGCGCCCTGTGGACTGTGGTCCTCTGTAGCCACCGCAAGGGCGAGAGTGTGGCCCTGTTTCCATTCACAGTTTTGAGAACTCACATGCTGCGTGTGCTACGCGTTCTTTCCACAGACTCCCCCAAACCGGCAGTGAGAACGGTGTACGGCGCTGTTGGCTCGCCGATCACCCTGACCTGCGGCCCTGCTGAGGGACACCTCCAAGGCAATGACATTGCATGGCGGTGGAACGGAGATGTCCTGAGCCTCGGTGGAAATGCCAAGGCAGACGGAGCCCATCTAACCTTCGGCAGCACCAGCCCGGCCAGTGCAGGAACCTACAGCTGCCACTCGCACGCTTCTGGGAAAGAGGTGGATCGTATTCTTCTGAAAGTCGGATGTGAGTTGAACAACCAGTACGTGTGTTCAACATTTACGCTGCTCCAAAAAAAACAAATATCGCGGTTAATGTTTAACATTGCGTGGTATTTCTGTGCACAGCTGCTTTAGATATTATATATATTTTTAAACTGTTTGAACGTGTTATTGAAAGCAAATGTTAACCTTTGCCGTTGTATATTATTTCGATGCAGACCACCCGGAGAAGCCAAACATAACATGCCGCTCATACAACTACCCCGAGAGCTTCCATTGCATATGGGAACCTGGAAGAGACACGTTGCTCCGAACAAACGTCTCGGCTACCTACAGGCAAGTTCGCAGCGGTATCGAGTGGCAGCTGCTGAGAATAGAACAATTACACAGCTGCCTTGTTCGGGGGAAAATCAAGGACGCGCTTCATGGAAACTTGGGTGATAAGATTACATATTCCCCATAAAGGGGGTTTCCACCAGCGAGATAATGCCAAAAGTGATCGCCCACGGGCTTAATCACAGTGAGGAGATGGTGCCACAATGAACAGTCGCGGGTGAATCCTCCACAGGAGTCGGTACAAAAGCCTCATTCATTCACGGATAAAAAAAAAATACGTGAAAAAACTTGAACCCGTAGAAATTACGATAAAACCCATTTTAGGCACAGCCACTTCCATGAAGTGGCCGTGCTTACGTTGTCAAAATGAAAATGTGAAACCACACCACATTCGTAATAATTGATGCCTACGGTGTTGTAATTCTATGTTTGCCTCTTCAAAACTGTGAATAATTCGTAATAATTCAGTGTTTGTATGCACAGTCTTCACTCACTCCGGAGAGGGAAATATCCCCGGTGCGTGGGAAGGTGGCCAGGTCCGATGGCAACAATTTCCCAAGCTCTGTAGTCCTATATTGGGGATGTTTGGCTATTTCCGTTCATGGGTGTCTATACATAAATAATGTAGTGGATGAACTTCATTAAACATTACTTATTATGAAATATGATTTTGACTTAAAATTTTCGTGACTGCAGGAATTCATATTCTTTGTTCTTTCGGTAAAGTCACGTAAATAAAAAAAAATGACTTTACCGAAAGAACCAAGAATATGGAATATGATTTAAAAAAAATGTTTTTACTTCATTTTGACATTTTATATTATTGGGAGTTTTTTTTAGGAGGCTTATAATGTACATGAAAAGTCATTTTGTACCACCGATTTTCATGCAATCCCACTCTCTCTCTTGCAGTTAAACAATTTTGATAGCCTGCGCTCAGGAACATTGTTCACGTGCTAAATGATCTGCGTGAAGTAATTTCCGATGGCTTAACACTGGGGAATGTAAGACGCTGTCCATGACCATTGCAATAACGACAACTGATATGCATTTGTGTGCTACAGATGGAAAAGTTGTAAACTCATCTGTTGTTCGCAAATCGCTGAACCTGGTCATCCAAGTGCTATTAGTGCTTTATCACAGCATTATAATTTTTAACATTCATTATATATTTACTTTACAAATAAATAAAATGAGTTCTTCAAGCATGAAAATATTTCACTACCATTCATACCCGGTTGAATTTCAGCTTTCCACCTCTGCTCCATAGCAATGGCAAGTGACTCTTATTAAACTGGACAGTAGCATGTTTTAATAAAGCTATTACATTCGAAAAATGTGAACATTCAGTGATTATCGTGTTACTTATATGTTGTTCATTACGTGTAAATAACAATTTGTCATTTTCTCATGAATTCATTAAATGCAGTAAGCCGGACGTCTCCCATAACCAGAGAGGCTCTCCCCAGAATCAGTCTCGCTTCGAGATGTTTCACAGCACAACAAAAACTATTTTAAACATCACCGAGGTCAACGTTAAGCTTTATCAGTGTGCTCATGCTCGCAAACGTTCCAAGAATTTCATGTTTATATGAATAAGGTTATATCCCCTTTCAACTCACGCATTCCAGGATTTGTTTTTAACGCTCGCACTATTTGTTATTCTTTGCTTTGCTTCTCAGACATCCGATGAGTCAAACCTTCCTGCCTTGCGAGCCCACGGGAGATCGCTCCTGCATTGGAAGCGACCTGATGATGTATTCGTCCATGGCTCACGTCGTAACGGTCCGTGTCACGAATCCGTTGGGCTCCGCCGAAGGACGCACGCACTTCGTTCTGGAGAACATCAGTAAGTCTCGCAGTTTGGCACGTCGCTCGCCACCGAGTTGCCCGTTGCCCATACCGGACATGCAGTTCAATTTGCCGCCGCCGAGTCAAAGTATTGTGCGGCACTGTCGCGAACCAACGCTCTGTGCTCCTACGAGCTAATGTAATGATTTATTTTCTGTCATGGTGGGTTTCCCCCATAATTTACGGATTTAATTAAAAGAATGACACAGACATGGCAGGTTGCTTGTGTGGAGTCACTCAAGTCTATCGCTTTACAGTATACAATCAACGGGATTAGTATACAAATAATTTGCAAACGCTGTGCGCCAAATGTTACGGCAAAATATTTTGCGGCTAATTCAAATGTGACGAAACGGGAAGCACTCCACGCTTGCGGTCGTCTCTAACCAGATGACATTCAAACTCGATCGATTTCAAAGCATCCACGACACACGTCTAAAACTCATAAACATGCCCTACGTAACTTTCACAAACCTATTCAATGTAATCAAGCGGGGCGACAAAAAGCCTTCCACAGGATGAAGCCATTTATATACCTGGCCAACGGTCCAACTGTTACCAGCAAGAAAGTTCAATTGCAATGTAGTGCTGTGGTGGCGAGTTGTTAACTGCCTCGCCTGGTATACACGAGGTCGTGTGTTCGATTTCCGAATCCAGACGCCTATATATTTGGAGTTTGCGTGTCCTTCCCGTGGTCACGTGAATTTTTCTCCGGGTCCACCGGTTTTCCCCCTCCACATGTAGAAACAACATGTGCTTAGGGTCCTTGGCTGCTATACATTTCCCCACGATAAGCCACTTCATTTGAGATATCATTTGTGGCCAGGTCGCTTCTGAAAAAGAGCTACATAGCTCAGCGGGGCTTACCGGATAACAACTATATATTTTAAAACTGTTCAGTTGCGTTTACATGTTACTGACCACGCGCACGCGTCTTTGCCCTCTGACCCCCAAGTCCAGCCCGATGCGCCGGTGAACGTGTCAGCGAGAGCAGCCGTGGAGAGCGCGGCAGCGACCGTCTCGTGGCTGCTGCCCGCGTCCTGGTTCGATCCCTTCCTCTTCCCCCTGCAGCACCGGCTGCGCTTTCGTCTCGCCGATAGCGGGGACACCTGGATAACGGTACGCTCGGCGGCGCGGCGCGGCGCCAAAACTGAACGAAACAAACTTCTGCGGTCGCAACTCCAGCGACGGTCGCGAGCGTTGCTTGCGCACTTGGCACCGAGAGCACTTCCGTGCTCGTCGGAGTCAAACTGCCCGGGAAACGCCGTCGGGTTATTCACGTTCCCAAGCTGCGCTGAAGGAATTTCAGCGAGGTGCGCGGTCAAGAAAATGAGTCAGCGTGCAGCATGTTTACGTGGTCAAATGTACACAGATACGTGTTTGCGCGAGCACGTATACAACGCTCGATAAGCGGTGCTTTACTCATGCTCTTGCGAGACCGAAGCTATGATTGCATCTCATGTGCGTATACCGCTGCATGCGCAATGCTTTACGACATAAACTAACCCAGGGGTTTCCAAACCGCCTACCCATGTTTATAAATCTAATCCGTTCAAACACAAATTAAAGTCACTACACGCTACACGTACCTGATGAGTGCTCAGCCTACATGATCGGTGCACCTGCATGCACCTAGAGAGAAGGAATACTAATACATGACAATCCTGTGGCTATCTGTCCGATGTAAAACACAGATCCTACTTAACGCCCCCCCCCTCACCAAACCGTACAGACCAGTGTGGTGAAGTATGGAAAAATAAACCTCCATGGCAGACGCTGTGGGGGAGATCTCTGTCGAATAGCGTATTAACAAAGGGCTGTAAATGGTTTAAATAATTGTGATTAAACACGTCGCTGGAGACGTGTTTAGACTCTCATGTACGATAGAACAAAGCTTCCCCCGTAACTTTAACAGAACGCATGACTAAGTGCGGTTGTTATTTTAACCGGTACAAAAAAGGCCCTCATCCCTGCACATGCACGCAATAACCACTGCGCCACAGGCATCTGCTTGTGTTTCAAGATGTGTCACTGTTTATCTGCTGCGTATCTTCGTCACGCATGACACGCGAAGGCCACACGTGTGACAGAACTGCGGTCTCTCCACACTGACGCTGACGACGAAAGTGGAACTTACCCTTGAAAGGTGTACAGAGGAGCATCGCTAATGTGTGTGTGTGCTTCGAATTAAACTGAGAGAGAGAAAGAGGAACACGTGGATCAGGGAACAAACGCAAGTTAAAGGGAACGTCTTGACTCTTACTCAAAGTGGGACTTGGGCGGGACACGTCATCGCTCGGAGGGATGATAGCCGCTGGTCGATGTTAACAATGGAGTGGTAGCGAAAGGATGGACTCGGCCCGTGCAGGCAATCTATCAAGGGGATGGAGTGATGAGATAGGCTCGTGCGAAGGCGCTAGATGGATTGTTGCATCATGTGACCAAGGTGATGGCTTGGGAAGGCCTTCATTCAACAGTGGCTAGACCATGGCCCATGATAATGGTGACAATATGGAATTACACATGAAATGTCAGGTTTTTCTCGGGGCTCACATGAAAAACCCCAGCCTTCAAATACCATCGACACATTCTTAGAGTCTCCTAGCCCACTCGTGATAAATCACGTGGAATTTTTTTTTTAAAATTAAAGCTGGAACAAAGAATCACTGACAACCGAGACAACAACAACAACAACAAAAAAACATGTCAACATTTCAGTCAAAAGGCTGCCGCTTGGTGTTGAAAATGTAAGGGCTAAATACAGTGTATGTGTCCACCACGGAGCGCTGTAGTATCGCGTGTTTTTGGCACAGGCCCTGGCGCAAGGAATACAATGAGCCCCCAGTCCAAATGTAGCCTGGGCCCCTGGGGCCCTGGGCCACTCGTGTCCCGTGGGCCGCAGTGCAATTGCACCGCCTGCTTACACTGTAGGCCGCTGCAGTGGTGCAGCGGGACGCGACGGGGATAGCGGCAGGTGATGGAGGAAGCGGAGACACAGCGGGAATATGAGGAAATGGGGAAGGGGTGGGAACGAGGAAGGATAGCATTTCAATTGAAGGCAACAATGCAGGCGGTGGTATGGCTTCCTAAACCAACATTGTTTATAAAAAGAACATGGAGATGTATCGTCTACTGTACTATACCATACCAATAACAATACAGTGCATTAAACAGCAAAGTCTCAACAAACAAAACGCGAATGCACACGAAAAAGCGACGTGGGGTGATCATAAATTAGAAGCCTGACCATATTTGTTCGATGGTTCATATTTATTTTTCCTTGTCTAATTTACCATTTACATTTGATATCATCGAATATGTGTATCCAAATTGTTCTACGTGTAAGAAATTCAGCATATGATGTTTTGAAATTCGCCAAGGCAGTAGGGCCACATGTCGCATTGTAGGGCAAAATAGAAATGTCATGATCTTTAGTGGGAGAGTTTACAATCCATTTCTGATTGTGCCATCGACTCGCGCACGCCTGCAGAATGAGTGTCATACGAGAGCCAAGTTTGACACGAGGCCCACGTACGTAATATTACCAAAATCTCGTCTTTCCACTTGCGCAACATAGCTAGACTTCGACCACATGCTGTCATTCGCGATTGCTGAGAGGCCGATGCATGCCTTCGTATCAAGGTTGGATTACTACAATGCCTTGCTTGCTGGCGTGTCTAAAGGTGTTTTAAATAGACTCCAATATTTTGAAATATCAGCTGCCCGGATTTTAACCAGATCTAAATCCTGTGACCATATTACTCACATTCTTTCCTCCCTGCACTGACTTCCCTGTAAAGTACAGGATCTACTTTAAGATTCCTATTTTCACGTTCAAGGCCGTGAATGAGTTGGCTCCTAAATATCTCGCCAATCTGCTTAAGTTGTACATTCTACAGCGAAAACTTAGATCTGCTGATTCTGGTTTAATCATTATTCCAAAGACCAGACTTTGTTCGATGGGAAGTTGTGCTTTTTGCCACCAGGCTCCGCAATTGTGGAATTCCCTTTTATCCATTAAGGAATCTGAGTCTGTTGCACTTTTGTCTTAAAACGCACCTATTTTTTACAACAGGCTTTATCCGTAACTTAACAAGCGTTGTGTGTGCAAATTGCGCGATAGAAACCAGATATTTACATTATGAGACCTCCTTTGCCAGTAACAAGATATAGAAATAGGTTTTACCCTTTTAACTGAATATTATTATCAGTTGTCTCTTTTGTTTGCATTTTGACTGCTTGTGTTGTGGTTATTGCAAACATGATGCCTTGAATAAAGGTGTCAGTTTTTGTGCCAGTTAAAAGGATAAAACCTATTTCTATTTCTAGAAACCAGATATTTAATTGTAATCATCCACTTAATTCGCCTACTCTCAACAAACGCCTAATTTATGGAAACATTGGCAGAGCCACTTCTACCAAAAACCCAAATGTTAATTGTGCACCGCTGCCAACGCAGCATTGCCGACCAATCACTTTTGTACTGAACGGCTCAGGTATGGAATTTACTTTTGAGACCCTGTTCCCGGGAGAAAGGGTAGAAGAGCAGGAGCTGCACGGATGCAGGCTCACGTGTGAAATTTACTTTTCAGACCCTGTTCCCCGGGGAAAGCGTAGAGGAGCAGGAGCTGCGCGGCCTACGTCCACGCACACGCTACGAGGTGCAGGTGTCGCTCAAAGACCTGCTGGACCACGGCCACTGGAGCGAGTGGAGCGAGTCTGCGTTCGTCCGCGTGGCCGGATCTCGTCGCCCTGGCTGTAAGTTGGCACAAACCCCACGATGGGTGTAGATAGAATTATTCTCTCTTGACGCGACACCAATAGAGTGAAATCCATTCATTTTGCTGGACTTAAACGAAGTGGAAGACCGTTGAAATTCACTGGTATATATATGAGGGACAATTGATACAAAGTCACGTAGGTGAAAAAAAATTAAAATAAATAAAACATATTTTTTTTTCTTTTTCACCTACGTGACTTTACCGAAAGAACCAAAGAGTATGGATCCTTGCAGTCACGAAAACTTCCAATCTAGAACAAAGGTCTCTCTTGCAAGGAAAACCTGGGATGCGTACGTTTTCATCATCCCCAGCCTTGATCTGGTCAATCTATAGTTGTTCTGTACTCGCCTTACCTTTGCCAACACGTACTGAACCAGCGTGGTCAATTATAGTCCAATATCTGTCACAAGATGCATGTACGTATGTATGTTGAACTTAACTCACACCATATGCAGCCAACCGTGCTAACTGGAAGGTGTGGGAGGAAGGACAACAAACTAAACACGAAAAAATATACTTTAAAAGGATGTGCACAGGCCGCTCATCCAGCAGTGGATTTACATCACGGGTCGTATGCACAGCCACGTGCACGCACGTTGTCGATGATGACGTTCGATCGACTCTTTGTGTCCGGCCTGCGTGTGTCAAGGTGAACGCCACCGCGTGTTGTACGCGGCCGTGGGCTCCAGGGCGCGCATCCCATGCAAGGGCACCGCTGGCATCCAGCCCAAGTGGTCCTTCAATGGGGCCCCGCTGAGCCGCGGTGGTCCCAGCCCATGGCGACAGGGCAAGAGAAGTGGGCACATCACGCTGCTCAATGTGACGCTGGGCAGCAGCGGCATCTACTCGTGCCAGGCCAGAAGCGGCGGCAACGCCAGATGGCGGCACAAGCGATGCACTCGGCTGGTCGTGGGATGTAAGCACCAGATGATCTACGTTTGTGGGTCATTTAAATTTTTTTGTGTCTTTACATGCCCGCGGAACCGAACAGCGTGGGCGGGGTGTGGGCAAACGACCCCGCACGACTGACTTGACGTTGAGTTTGGGAAGTCCTTCATCCAGCGGTGGACTGACAACAGGGCTTTGCATTGTATATCTGCAGAACGGAGATGTTGACTGACGTGAGACACTTTGTGTATCTCTATCTCCAGAGGCGCATTGCCTGCGAGGTCTTATGATGCGTCGTATTAAATAGAAGCAAATGTCAAATGTGCAGTTAAATCTGCCTCCAGGAAAGACATTTTTCTTACAACAGCAGCTCTTAAGTCTAGCATTTTCACTTAAAAGTAGCACTGCTATGGCAAACAACCTGCCAGCTCAGAATGTGTGACCATCTCATGCCGCGCCTGTGACCAGCAAATGTTGCAATTGGCTAAAAACTTAAGAAAATTGCTACTTTTTGAAACTAAGCAGCAATACAGCAATGCGTATTGTACTGCATTTTTAATCGTGCGACTCCAAAAAAAATCTACTGGTGGCAACGTCATCAGATTGTGTCAAATGATCACGACAGCATGGGGAGGCCAAATTTCAGCAGTGAAATCATCATGGTTGACGACGATGATGTCATCCACTCCACCTAGTGGTTAAGTGTTTAAACTGCAACGTGTTAGAGGAGCCCCAAACGTGGTCAATGTTAATAAGAGCATTGTTCCCCACCTACTCCGTACTGGTTGTGCGGTAAGAATGAAAGATTAGATTGAACGCATCCATTGGGAGCCCATGACGTCTCTGCAGTAGTGATCACTGCCACCTTATGTAAAAACTATAGTCGTGAGAATACAGGACGTTAAGAGAGAAACATGAGCGAGCGTCTCGACTGTACGTTAAACTTGGAAATAACGAGTTGAAGTTCCACAACACCTCTGGTGTACCTCGGTGGTGGAGCCACTGGATCCTCAAGAGGAGGGCAGAGGACAACGAAGAGTAATCCACTCATCGCCTCCGAACTCGTCTATTATTTTCCCTTAAAACGTTCGTGACTGCAGGAATTCATATTCTTTGGCGTCTTTCGGCGAAGTCACGCCGATAGCGGTCGTTGCGACCGAAACGTCGTGGTTTGTTTTTATTCGCGTTATTTTTATTAACTTTATTTCGTATACTTATTTTTATATCTACGTGACTTTACCGAAAGAACCGAAGAATTCGTCGCCCTGTCCCCTCGTTACGATCACACGACGAGAGGAATATGGCGAGCCGGTTACAACAACATTATATGTCGTGTTTTTTTTTCAAAAGTAAGATTGTACAATATCTATAGGGTTGTATGTGTGTGTGTTCCTCTGCATTCAGATCCTCCTTCGAAGCCGACCGTCACGTGCCGCTCCTTTGATTATCCGGAAAGCTTCGAGTGCGAGTGGCAACAGAGCGAACACGGCAACAACAACGACAACGTCCTCAACACTTCCTACAGCGCCTCTTACAGGCCAGTAGCCGCATTTGTTCGCAGTAAAAAAAATTAACGCCTTCAAACATTCGGCCAAATGTCTTTACCCTGTCTTGAAATGCAGTCGCGTTTAGATGCAATGTTTATTTTTTGTTAAACATATTTAAATTGTACATTTCCCAATTGTATCGTAGTTTGCTTTCTCGCATCCAGGCAACTTTTCTACGTGCCAGTAGATGTTTATTTACCAAGACACTCGAGGTTTTTTGATCCACGTGTAATTTGGGAAGGTTGACTGGTCAAGGGATCGCGCCCAAGGCTGTAATTATAATATATATTTGAATATTGGGGGGGGATGTGTCCCTCCCAATATTCAAATATGCTCAAAATGTCCCCCCCCCCAATATATTGCTATAAAATAGATTTATGTTTATTTGATTGTGGTTATGGTTGTACTTTATTAATCCCTAATCTCTGCCATTACATACAATGAAACAGGAAAAGGTAAAAAAAGAAAAAAAACGGAGCAATGGAATACAATACACTATTAGACAGTATTGTTAAAAAATAAAATAAAAATCCATCCCATGTAAAAAAAATAATATTTTAGGCAAGAATGGCAGGAAATTCGTTTTCAAATTTAGATTTTTTTTCTGGGGGGGGGGGGGGACCCCAGACCCCCTGGAAGATTTGGTTCCCCCTAATATTGACTCCATGGCTACGGCCTTGGATCATCCTACAGTTGTCATGCAGACAAAGAATCTGCTTGAGTCCTGCAGCTGCCGAGTAATTTTTCTCGGTAATTACTCATCGGCAAAAGCAAAACATTTCAACGAAGTGAACTTTAAAGAGCTCTCGTCACACATCATTGAAATTTTCCTGAAGTAGGTCCTTGAGCATCAGCACATTGCAGCCCCAAAAAAAGTCCCACATTTTTAAATGTAACCACAGCAGCAGAGCTTAACGTCACCCAGAGCTGTCCATGGCTGTGGTGCAGAAAATATTCTTTGCCCCCTCAACTCCACGCTGTCGGTGGGTAGGGGGGGGCTGGGGGAGGATATGCCGTGGCTGTTTATATGGTTTTCATCGCAAAAGTAAGTAAATACCAACCGGCCCTCGGCGAATTCAAATAAAACGCAATCCGTCGATAATTAATTTGTAATGTGTTTCATCCTCTGCAGGAATCCACTGAACGAGAGCTCGCTGCCGTGCGTGCCCGTGGCAGACAATGCCTGCCAGGGCCGAGATGTGACCCTCTTCTCGGAACAGCCACACGAGCTGACGGTCACAGCCACCAACCCGTTCGGCAGTGTCGAGGTCCACCACGCGTTCCTGTTCGAAGATATCGGTGGGTATGCACAAGTGAACAAAAAAGAGCCAAGAGGACAAAACGTGGGTTGGCTCACGCTAAAGCAGGGGGCCAGCAACCTGCGGCTTTGTGACTTTGCTTATTAAGGACCCACCGTCTCGTACTCACATTGCATTGCGGCTCTTGATACACTGAGACAAGTTTTACCGGATTTGAAAAAGAAAATGTCTCTTCTTGTGATGTTGGTTTGCAGACCTCCGCGCTAAAGCAACGTGCTGTGTACCACCAAAGCAAATGGGGACAATGAATCTACAGTTTGTCTAGCCAAGTCAAGTACATTTTTTAAACATATATAATATATACAAAATCTGTAGCCCCTTTCTGAATCAAATCTGCCATGCAAGGCACCATCACATCGAACTCAAATTAATACGGATTTTTTTGAAAAAGTATGAAATCCACTTAAAAATATCCAATTCAAAAGCACGAACATAATTATTATGTTTATTTCCCACCAGCATTACCACCATCTTTGCCACAACCGTTGCCACATAGCAGATGTGGTTATAAGTTAATTTGTGTAAACCACACTCAAAATTGGTCACCAAAAATGGTTACCGGATTGCTGCAACATACAAGAATGTACCCCATTTAGGACAAATGTACAACCCTGTGTGTTTGTCCGTTTTTATGTCATCTTATTTGTGGCTCAATGGTTGTAGTGCACTTTATTTTGCAATCCATAGACAGTGGTTTGATTCAGCCTCCAAGCCAAGTAGTTGAAACAACGGGGAAAGTTTCTAAAAAGTCCTTCCTTGCCTGTCCACCTTAGCAGTATAAAGGGTACAGGGTTCGCGTGGTGGGGTAAAGTGTGGATTATGCTCACCTCTTCGTACACGTTTGGCTGTCGTGGAAGAGTAGAAAAGGTCCCTCTAGTGGAGGCCCTTCTGCCAGCCAGCAAGTAATTGCAGGGCTGCACCTTTCCCTTATTACTGTACGCTACATTTTACCTTAACAGAGAAACGAGCTCATGCACGGCGTACATAATGACAGTAATGAGGGCTGTTGCTTGACCATATTTCACCACGATGGCCTGTGCAGGTTGATAACAGGGAACACATTTGGTCTCGCATCTCGCTGAACATTCGACCGGTGTGGGTTCCCCTTAGCCAGTACAGCTCCTCTGATCCTAAAGGCTCTCAATTGTCTTCACCACATTAAGGCACTAACCCCAATTTAAAAAAAAAGAATACCTGATCAGCTGCCCTCTTACACTGGGCAGCACAACTATTTTCCTCCTATCTTGAGTGACAATTCTTTTTTCCGGCCTCAGTTCAGCCAGACCCACCTATCAACGTGCAGGCGAGATGGAGGGACGTGGAGAGCGTGTTGGTGAGCTGGGAACAACCCACCACATGGAACCTCCACCCTGCCTTCCCGCTCACCTACCGACTTCACTACCGCACTCTGGGCGCGCAGGGCTGGAGAAAGGTGCCACCCCGACATCCCGTGTGCTGTCCCCAGTGCTTACACCCAGAGGGCGCAAGCAAGCTACCAAACACGTTCTCAACACGCGTGGTTATCACACAGCGTAACAGTGTACGATGTGGACTTGTGGAGGAGGCTCATACAGCACGACGCCAATGTGAAGCCTACCGCTTTAAAGCGGCCTGCAAATGATATTCATCTGGTGCTGAAAGCATCTTGGATGAACTAATCAGGTTCTAGAGATGCATTTATTAAACTTGCCAATACTGTTTCAATCACACTGTAAAAAAAACCCTAGACATTTTTTTAGCATTATTAATGGCTAACACGTGTGTTGATGCGTGGTTCGCCAAAAAGTATTGAAATTATTATTTGGGCTTCGGCGAGGAAACTGTTCTCCACCCTTGCTCTGTGCAAACGTTTAATCACAGGGTGAAAGGAAACCATTCATGAGACAGGAGTCCCATTTATTTAGGGGTTTCATTACAGCAGCCCATTTACAACATCTGAGACATGACAACCAGAGCTACTTTACTCCTTTTAAATTTTAATTCTGTCATTTATGACACGGCACAGGTCGCCAAAATTCCAAGTGAAGGAACAATTGCAATGGGCCTTTCGCATCAAAATGCAACTGCAACAAATGTCAAAAAAAAAAATTCGCGGGCGCACTTGCAAAACGTCGCAGACTTGCTTGCAAAATTGGACTTCTTTTGAACTCGTCAACCCACGAAGGAGACTTATTCTGCGCACAGAGCCGCTATAAATTGTGAACTGCCATGCCTCGCGTGGCCCTGACGGCTGCAGGTGCTCGTGGATGGCGAGGGCGCGACCTCCTTCGTCCTGGAGCCGCCGCCGCCGCCGTCGCGGGCCGGCGCTGCGCGGGCGCTGGAGGTGCGCGTCTCGGCGCGCGAGGCCCTGGGCACCGGGACGTGGAGCCGCTGGAGTCTGCCCGCGCGAGCGATAGACGGGGCACACTGATGCGTGCCGTCCGTGCGGACTGTTCAAGGCTGGCTAACAACGGGGCGCGCGCCTTTCATGTCACTTAACTGCCCCACCCACCCACCCACCACCCTGATGGTGATCCGTGCGCATTAAAATTGATGAGCGCCGCGGTGCCAAATGCATATTGCCGCTTACGCTTTGAACCGCGTGCACAGGCATGTAACCCTACAGCTTGGACAGAGACGGGAGATTTATAATACTATACAATTTGATTTTGAATTCGTCAATCCGCACGACTGCAGGTGCATTCGCATGTGTGGGTTGTTAAGGGACGTTTGCGTCTATAGTTCCCATCCAATAATATATTTATTGGGTCTACATGTGTGATAAAACCTCATGCTGTTGGCAACAGCACATGATTACATTGTTTCATGAGGACCTTCGTGATAGGGTGGGGGCATCTTTCCAATACATTGATTACCGTTTGCAAGACTTACGAGGGTTGCCACCTGCCTTGGTTTGCCCAAGATCGTCCTTTTTGAAGGTACCTGCCCTGTGCAATCCGCGAGCCTTTCTGCTCCATTAAAAGCCTGAGGTTCCGTCAGTTGTGTAACAATACGATGCCTTTGCATGTGGCTCTCAACTCTCCTGGTACGTATCGTGAGATATTCTTCCCATGACATGTTTCAGCTTTATTTTATGCCTCAAAATCGCAAATCCGAGTGCATATGGTAAAAAGGTGAATGAGGGAGGGTGGAATGATTGATAGACAGTCCTGACATATCACTTTGCATTATGACGCTTCAATATATGTGAGGCAAAGCTTTCTGTGTTATTTACTTTTCATTGCAATGCTACTGTATGTTTACTGTACCTCATTAACAAATGCATTAAAATGTAGTTCATGGGCATTTATGTAAAAGCGTTATCAAACAGCATTGAATATTTTTGTTTAATCCAAAGTATGTTATATTATAACATGTTTACTAGTTACTGTATTGTGATTCCACTTTATTAGTGATTTAGTTACAAATGCATTACTATTTTAAATTTATATTTTTCTACCGCATACAGTATTAATGTCTCATTTACAAAACCTACACAATATTATATGTATTAAAAATGCAGTACTGTATTTTCATGATACAATATCGTATAAGATTTTAATCACAACACCGAAAGTCTTGTACTTTTTAAATAAAAATGGTAAAATCTTTACATTGCGTGCACAAGTCATTTATATCACGTTCATAAACGTCTACGGAATTTCCATTGCGATGATGTGCTAAGATTAGGGATGGCCATCGATAGTACAACGTCAAAATATTAAACCCACTCTCTGTTTTCAATGAAAACGTCAATGACATACACTCAAATACTGGGACTAAAACATCGATATAAGAATAGGTGTTACCCTTTCTGGCAATAAAACATGTGGTAAGATGTTAAAACACTAAACTGACATATTTTGCATTCCTTGCAAAAGTTTCAGGAATCATTCCTTGAAAAAGGTTACACATGGATTCAGAAAAGGGTAAAAAACCTCTTCTCATATTTTGGTACTGGCAAAGGAGGTCCCCTGATAGAAAACATTGAAGTTTGTACTTCCATATTCTTGGTAAAAGGTAACGGAAATTAGCAATGTAATTATCGATTAGTTGAATGAGGACAAACAGTTCTTTAAAATATAACGTTGAGTGCTGTGTAGTGCAGTGACGTACTTGTTAATCCAGCACGTTGGTAGAGTTGGGGGTATGGCGGACTCCTGAATCGCCACAATTCCAGCAAACTCCGTGATGATGAATTGTCTAAGGCATCCATCTGCTGGACAACGTGGGTTTGTAAGCAGCATTCCTCAAAGTAAATCGCACCTAAAATAACACCGCAGTGTTCATTAATGACGAAGTGAGGCCCCTCCAAAGGTATTGCAAGAGAGTATTGTATTACTAAAAGCTTAATATACACAATGGACAGGAAGGACAAGATCAAAGGGCTTCGCATCTACGCCTTTATATATGCAACGAAACCGGTGGACTTCACAAATCTGGCTGTCGCCTGATGAAGCTAGTTGTAATTACTGGCGAAACGTCGTACTCAGATTGCAAATGTTGTGGCTTGGCTTCTCCAACACACCGGTGTGCTGTACTAGTATACTACACTATACACTGCAAACTACACTATTAAACACTATACACTACATTAAACACTACATTATACACTACAATATAAACTACACTACTATGCACTACTACTATACACTACACACCACACTACTATACAATACATATACACTAGACTACTATACACTACACTACTATACACTACTGTACACTACACTACTATACACTACACTATACACTATTATACACTTCACTATACACTCCACTACTATACACTCCACTACTATACACCACTACTATACACTACACTATACACTACTATACACTACACTATACACTACACTATACACTACACTATACACTACACTTTATACTACACTATACACTACACTATACACTACACTACTATACACTATACACTACACTATACACTACACACTACTATACACTACTTTACGTTACACTATACACTACACTATACACTACACTTTATACTACACTATACACTACACTACTATACACTATACACTACACTATACACTACACACTACTATACACTACTTTACGTTACACTATACACTACACTATACACTACACTTTATACTACACTATACACTACACTATACACTACTATACGTTACACTATACACTACACTATACACTACACTTTATACTACACTATACACTACACTATACACTACACACTACTATACACTACACTATACACTACACTATACACTACACTATACACTAGTGCTGTTCCAGTGACGAATTGGCCACGTTCTGCTGACGTGACAACCCTCACTAGTTGGCTGTGTCGGGTGGTGGCGGGTTTTAACGTACACATTTATATATTTACGCGATCCAACCCAAAACAACCTCTATTATGAAATTGCAAAATCTTTCTTTAGAACCGCTGTTTGTGTTCAGTTTGTTGTTCCTTGCCCTGCACCTCCGATTCTATCAGGGTTGGCTAAGTTCTAAATACATATTCTCCGCCCACCCCAGACATTGGAATTTATTGGAATGATTCTCAAATGTCTCTGGGTACACTGCCCATCCCCATTGCACCCGGTGCTATGGCAACCACAACTGAACCACCACTGGCACGCCACTTGCCCACGCGGAAACACCACCAACCCCAACAAGTACAGTAACACTGCCAAAAGCATACCAACCATAAACAACACTGACACGTCCAGACAGGGGCCGTCCATAAATGACGTCACGCGATTTTGGACGATTTTTGAACCCTCCCCCCTCCCTCTCGTCACACGGCGTCACAAAAAGTCAGATTCCCCCCCCCCCCCCTCATGTATGACGTCACAAAGCTCTGCTCCCCCCCACCCCCAAAACCATATTTCCATTTTGAAAATAAAACATGCTTCAAATCGCCTTAAACTATTGTCATTGTAGTGCGTGTTTAATGTGGCGCTGCACTCTGATGTTGTAGGAAAAAAACATTTATTAAAAAGTCTATTTAATTAAGTAGAACGTGCTGTCTATATTTATTTAAAGTTGCGCATTTTGATGTGACGTCACATTTCTCACCCCCCCTCGTCACACATCGTCACAATTGTCTTACCCCCTCCCCCTCCCAGGTGCGTGACGTCATTTATGGACGGCCCCACAGACATCCCGACAGGTTAGCAGTGGGGGCTGTGGGGCCATTACAGCAGTTACCTTGGGCATGAAGGGTCATTTAAATTATAATGTGGCTTCTAACTGGTAACTTTTTATTTTATTTGACCAGGTAAGGTCCGCTGGAGCTATATAGCTCACCGGAAGTGGCTTATCACGTGGACATCTATAGCAGCCAAATACTCCAAACGCATGGCTAATCATACCTGCGGAGAGAGAAAGCAGAGGAACCGAAGAAAATTCCACGTGACCACGGGGAGAACATGCAAACTTCAATTATACAGCAGGCGTCAGGGTCGGGATCGAACCCACGACCTCCTTGTATACCAGGCGAGGTAGTTAACATCCCCTAGCCACCGTGGCGCCCCGAGATGCCCCGAAACTGGAATAGACGTACAGTACAACAGTGTATTTCGTTGCACTTCCCAATGTTCTTCACAGCCTATAACACCTGCTGTGCATGGTGGCTACCCGTCCCTGTACTATCGAGGTATATGTGGTGTTTGCATGTTCTCTTCATGGTCGTGCGGATTTTTCTCCGGGTCCTCCGGTTTTATACTCAACGTCACGCGTTTCGAGCATTTGGCTGCTATAAATTTCCACGTGATAAGCCCACTTCGTTAAGCTATCATTTGTGGCCAGGTCGCTTCTGGGTCATAACTGGTAAAATAAAACAAAATAGTTCACAGTTAGTTCATCGTAAATAATCTTCTCCAAACAGCAACTAATCATCGTCAGATTGTGGTCAAATAACTCCCCAAAGACCTACACGGTGTAGGGAAGACTTCATCCAGCAGTGGACGGACATGGGCTGTACATACATGATTATTTACGTATAAATTTAAGTTAGCATTATAAACAATTACTGAAAAGAGAAAATGGCAGGCACCTTATAACCGACGGAAAACTTAATTTAAACTCAAGCTTTGTTTAAGGGCACAGCAATTTACACGTTTGGCTAACTCCATTTATAATTGTTTGAGGCATGAGGAAACTGGAGCCCCGGGGAGAAACCCACCACGCGTAATGAGGAGTCACACACCTAAAGGCCCCACACAGATAGATTCAAGAATCCGTTGCTGCATGTACTGTCACGTCCATCCGGCTTGCAGACGTAGACAATTGTCCAACATTGCTTCTATTGAACCTGCAAGCTTTGTTTGAGTACGAAGCCAATAAAAACCCCCAGCAAGTTGCATGGCAGGAACCCGATGCACAGCTGAGATAAAATGTTTAGTAGAATTCCACCCCCACCCACAACTTACCACCACCACGACTCAATTGGCCATGTGCTCATGCACCGTGGCGTGTGGACACAGATTAGCACGGTTGGCTTACGTACGGCTCCGAAAGAAGTTCAACATACTAGGGAGACAGAGACAATTTGAACTTTTCGCACTGGTGGGCGCTCGGAGAAAGATCGATACTCCCGCCGTGCATATTTTCCTCGCTGATAACACTTCCACACCGCCCCCCCTCCCCCCAGATTTTCCCCTCGGATATCAGAACAATCTCCGCCTGCACAAAAAAAAAACACGACGGGAACCACGGCCTCGGACGTTGACGTTGGCCGGGGACAGATAACACGCGGCCGCCACTGGGCAGCAGACGCAGACTCAGTGGCCACTTTTTTGAATGCGGTGGCGCAGGACCCTTAACAGTCCAGACCCTCACCCTCACCGCCACCGCCGCCGCCTACCCCCCTCAAAGTCTCACGCAAACGCGATGCCTGATCGCAAGTGCCACGCGTTCGTCTTTGCGTTGTTGTACGCTTCTGGCATCAGTAAACGCCGCAGACACCACCGGCCCACCGCGCCACCGGTCCCGCGCGGAGGATCGTTGCGTTCATCCTGCAGCCAGGTTTCAAGTCCCCACGCATTGGGCCTGAGGTTAGATCCCCCGAGTCCTGTCAAGTGGCACACATTCGTCGCTCGTTGCACGATTTCACTCGTTGGCCGTCACGGTGACGGGGAAATTTAACCCCAAAACAGCAGAAAGGCGTTTGTTCGGTTTCCTGAAAATGTGCGGGGTTTTTTGTTTTGTTTTACACGGTGTGAAGTTAACCAAAAAAAGGCCCCAACAAATGTTTCGGAGTACACTACACTACTTCTTCAACAACGACGACACACGCCTACTTGCTACATAGTAGCATTCATAGTTGGGCAATATCTAATGCAGTGTGAAAGAAAGTAGTGTGACTAATGGCATCTGTTAAAACTGCCACAGTTTTACTCATGAACAAAAAAACCCCCATTATTTAGTCTTCGTCCTTTGTATGGAATAGTCAAACTCCACCGGGTATACTGTAAACACAGAATATGTCTGTTCACTTTGGGTCTATGGTACACTATGGATGGACCTTATGTATTGTTGACCCTTAAGATTAAGGTAAAATTCAATGGTTACGTTCACATCACGATTGCCATGCTGGGCACAAAGGCGTTTTGTTTAAGTCTAGATTGAAAACGCATTTCTTTCGAACTGCTTTTTGTGTTTAGTTTGTTGTCCTTCCCCCGCAACCTCCGATGAGCACGGTTGGCCACGTACGGTGCGAAAGAAGTTCAACATACACATGCGACGTGGCACATCTTTAGGTTAACACGACAAGAAATAGCATGCTCACTGGGCAGGTTTAAATTGTTGTACCTCATGACATCGTGTGGAATGATTGTTTTTCGATTCTCATTTTCAATCTTCAGCACATTATAAAGCGCAGTGACTCAGTCTCAGTACCCAGCATTTGGTTTTGTATCTGTTATCAAAAACCGCGGGCAAGAAACCACACGAATTTTATATTTACACACATTATAAAGATAACCATAGCCGAATAGCACCTCGAGATTCTGCTAATATGCTATGTGATCGTTATTATTATGCTCAATTAACAGCATTGTTCTACACATACACAATGTATATAGTATCATTTAGATTCCTACTATTCGACCTTTAGAAGTATACATGATCAGACTTGTACCTGGTAACTACACATCTGTACTTCAACGCCTACATCTTAACCCAATGGCACATAGAGAGTACAGTATGATATTATGGTGTATCCAGCAGTAGACTGATCGTGGCTAATGATGATATTTACCTGCGACAGTTATTGAAAATATCTCGAGTGAGTTGGAGTGCTGTTGTAAAAAAAAATAACTTTGATAATTGTACCTCCTGAACCTTTATATCATTCATACTCTTTGGTTCTTTCGGTAAAGTCACGTAGGTAGAAAATTAATAGATCACGACGTTTCGATCGCAACACAAGCAACCGTCATCAGGTGAAACAAGAGCTGCTGCAACAAGAGTTTATATAGGATTTTGGTGGGCCCAACCCAAGGGTGGTAAGTGGGCGGAGCTAGAGAAGAAAGTTGTAAGTAAATGTAAATGTGAGAGATTAGCATGTCAATGTGAGACGGCCCATCCACCGGAGGTGTGCTAATGAAAAGATTAGCATGTCAGAGAGCTGTCTCTCTCTGTTTGTATGTCTCTCTGTGTGTGTGTCTCTCTCTCTCTCTGTCTCTCTCTGTATGTGTATCTATGTGTTTCTCTCTCTCTCTTTGTGTCTGTGTGTGTGTGTCTCTCTCTGTGTGTCTCTCTGTGTGTCGGTGTCTCTCTCTGTGTGGGGTTGTCTCTATGTGTGTGTGTCTCTCTCTGTGTGTGTCTCTCTGTGTTGTCTCTATGTGTGTCTCCATATGTGTCTCTCTCTTTGTGTATCTGTGTGTCTCTCTCTCTTTGTGTCTCTCTGTGTGTGTGTGTCTCTCTCTCTCTGTGTCTCTTTCTGTATGTGTCTCTATGTGTGTTTCTCTCTCTCTCTCTTTGTGTCTCTCTGTGTGTGTGTCTCTCTGTGTGTGTCTCTCTGTGTGTCGGTGTCTATCTCTGTGTGGGGTTGTCTCTATGTGTGTGTGTCTCTCTCTGTGTGTGTCTCTCTGTGTTGTCTCTATGTGTGTCTCCATATGTGTCTCTCTCTGTGTGTCTCTCTGTGTGTGTGTCTCTCTCTATGGTCTTGTTCTCTTTATGGGTATTTGTCTTTCTCTGTGTGGTTGTTTCTCTGTGTGTGTCTTTGTGTGTCTCTCTCTCTCTATGCGGATGTCCCTCTCTGTTTGGGGGTTGTCCCTCTGTGTGTGTCTCTCTCTCTCGGTTTGTGTCTCTTTGTGTGTGTCTCTCTCTCCATGTGTATCTCTTGCTCTTAGGAGGTTTTTGTTCCTGTTGCCCGGCTCTCTCACATTGACATGACAATCTTTCACAATGACATTTACGTACAAATTCCTTCTCTAGCTCCGCCCACTTACCCTGAGGTTGGGCGCACCAAAATCCTATATAAACTCTTGTTGCAGCAGCACTTTCTCCTGCGTCAACAATTCTCCTGCTGTGTTTGTTTCACCTGATGACGGTTGCTTGTGTTGTGATCGAAACGTCGTGATCTATTAATTCTCTATCTACGTGACCTTATCGAAAGAACCAAAGAGTATGGATTCCTGCAGTCACGAAAGCTTCAAATCAAGATTTACATAATTCCATGTTAATACAATATCTAACGCCACGTGTTCAGAAAGTCATAGTCACAACGACCCTTTGTCAATGCACTGCTGGATGAAGGCGTCACTATGCCGTGCCATTCATGGAGGTGTTGTGGAGCATACTTCACCATGCTGGTCAAGCGAGGTTGCATCGACGTTGGAGTATGCGATGCACCGTACAACAATCGTCGCTTTTTGCTGCAATGTTTACGCACCCGACAGCCCATGAATATAAAGTGTCTGATACACATGCGGTAAATAATGGTGCGTAATATAAAGTAACAGTAAACGTATACTCGTATCCCTTGATGGTATATATACACAATATAGTACTTCACCCTCTAGATGGGTTGTGTAAGCACTCCCTCGAGTGGCGTGAACAAGCACTTGCAGGGCTGCGCCTTCGCTTTTACAATGCGTGGAAATACTTCCATACACAAAGAAAAACGTCTCCCAGTACAGCCTTCACAGACTGTTGGGGCAAATTATGTTATCGAGCGCCTATGAAGGCCTGCACGGCACACGAGGGGGTGGGTGGGGCACGCCTTTGTCTCCCTGGTGGCTGAGTCGACCTAGAGGAGGCCCAGGACCGGTTCAGATAATCGTCACAGGTGTTGGCCGTGAGCGGGAATCGAACTCGGGTCGTCGGGTTCGTAGCGCAGCGCGCTAACCGCTACTACACTACCGCTCCCCACACACACACACATACAGAGAATGTGATGCAAACACTTAAATACCAATTTTTTTTACACCACTCTTTAAACAGTCTCTTTGATGAATGTGCTGCAATTGAATTGCTACCGACAGGTCGACTGCGATCGTTCGTGAATAGCGCCGATATCAGTGGTCATCCAGAACAGAGCGCGCAACATTTATCAGTCAAACGACGCAACAACGCCCCCCGATCCACACAAATACGAAGGAGACATCACAGCGATGATATACCCCGCCACCGGCTTGACAACACAACGAACGTGGGGATTATGTGTCCGTTCGTTGCTCCGCATCTACATGAGCCGTCATAGCTGTCAACTTCATAGCGTTTACAACCGTATTCTTGTAAAGGGAAATTTAGTGTTTCATGTCCATACGGCGTACAGCCGTTTCAATACGGGCAAAACATAATTTATCTGTTTGTGTCTGTCCCTTGTGATGGGACTTTGTAGGATGAACGTTGAGATGTATAAGGGCACGTGGTGACCAATAAGATCTGAATTGGTCTGTAATAAGATAGGGTACTGGATAAGGGGTTGACAGGTGTGTAGTGGTGAGTGTAGTAATGGTGAGTGTACTAGTGGTGAGTGTAGTATAGTGGTGAGTGTAGTAGTGGTGATTGTCTATTTGTTTGTGTTTCTCCCTTGTGATGGGACTTTGTAGGATGCACGTTGAGATGTATACGGGACACGGGGTGACCAATAACATCTGAATTGGTCTGCAATAAGGTCGGGCAACTATAAGGGGTTCACGTGAATGCTCATTCCTTAACCAAACTGTGCCACGGCCAACAGCAACCCAAAAAAAAAACCCAACGGTGAACTTCAGCAAATGAACACGAAGGCGACCCTCACCCCACCCCACACGAGTGCCGCCCACCCTTTCCCTCTCTCTGCCCACCTTCCTATGCCGGGCCGCCTGCTGTCCAGCGCGAACGAGAGAGCACGCGGGCTAAGGCGGTGTGCCGAGCGCGGGTCCCGTCACCGGAGCATTGGGTCGTGCGCTCGACAGTAACCGGTGCTGACGGAAGGGGCTTAAACCCGGTTGGGGGTGGGGGTGGGGAGGGAGAAAGGGGGTTGTCTTGGAGTGGGTGAAGTCTTTTAAACTAATGTTGTTATGCTGTCTGTGTGCTAGGGCTGTGTTAGGAGAAAGGTACGTGTTTATATACACATACACACACAATCACTCGCAAACCTTCGATTAGCAAGGCTGGCTTGCTGGCTGCGTACGGTGAAGAAAGAAGCTCAACAATAACATTCCATTGGCAGGTAAGGTGTGTTTGCTGTTTGTCGGGGTTTTTTTTTGGGGGGGGGGGGGGGGGGGGGGGGTTGGAGGGGAGGATAACCCGAGTGCTATTTGCAGCTATGAATCGGCGGGGTGTAATGGGAGGGGTCTCATATTCTTGGGTCTTTCGGTAAAGTCACGTAGATATGTTCAAAGAAAGAAAGAGAGAGAGTAAAGGTGGGACGCGCCGGGCAATGATGTCGCACGCTCTGCAACGCCGACAGACTCTGAAGGTGGCCTTATAGCCAGCGAGCGCCTATTCACATCGGGAAAGGACCGTACGAGAAGGGAGGCGGGGCAGTCCTGATAATTATTGATTTTTTTCACACCGTACCAAGCACGGTGTAAACCCGCCGGCGCTGATTCTTGGCAGGGTATCGAACGGTGCTGACCGGGTTCGTAGCGCAGTGCGCTAGCCACTGGGCCACGGCCTAACTCCACAATGACATTATTCCTTTGGGAGGGGGAAACAACATAATTCACTGACCCCAAGAGCTGTTTACACTCTGGTCTATGCCCATTGATGTGTGTGTGTGTGGTTTGTTTTTTTGCAGATGGCGTGTTTTGAGAAAAAGTGCATCATTGTTACAGCGGTCCTTCTCACTTGCTGGTTGACAACTGCCAGTAAGTTGAGAAACAGTTTATTTTTTAACATTTACCTTCCTTAGGGTGGTCATTAAACTAATCTCTCTCCATTCATGTGTCTTTCGCTGGATCCCATGTTTCATACTTGACAGCCAGCCAGACCGTGGTCTACCTCTTCGGCTCTCGTAATACCTTTCTGTGTTCCCACCAACGCCAATTCTTACTTGAAGTCGGTGTGATAGAATTGACAACACGTCAGCTTTATACGTGCAACTATAACAGTGCATACAGGGTGAACACAAACTTGATTCGAACTACTGCAAATAGGTTCGCAGAATGACAGAACAGCACTGAACGCAACATCGAGCGGGGGGACTCCCGTTCCTTTGCTCCACGTGAACTGGGGAGTGGTTAGCGCGCTGGGCTTTGAATCCGACCATTTCAGTTCGATTCCCGTTCACGGCCAACACCAGTGACGATTATTTGAACCGGTCCTGGGCATCCCCCTAGGTCGACTCGGCCTCAAATGAGTTACCGGGTGCGATGTGTAAACATCGCTACTGGAGAGGCAAAGGCGGTCGGGCGTGGTGCTGGCCACCCACCCACTCGCGTACCGTTCCGACCTTCATAGGTGTTACTCGCGAGCGGAAATAACGGGGGATCTTTGTCTTTTTTGTTGTTGGTCACTTTGCTTGTATTCGCAGGCTCGCTCAGATTCCTTTACGGAGAAATCGGACGGTCGTTTGAGATGCGTTGTCTGCCTGTGAGCGCGGCGAGAATTCGCTACGACGTTGTTGCGTGGCGCCTGAACGGCTCAGCGATGGACAATAGCTCTGACGTTTTCACACAGAGCACGCTCCTGAGATTAAAGAAAGTCGCTCTCTCGAATCGAGGAGAGTACTCGTGCCACGATGCCAGCACGGGCCGCGAGTTGGACCGTATTGCTTTCAAGCCAGGATGTGAGTATGCGCAGGGAGAAATAATATGAGCATTAAGCGAAATGCCAAGTTGCTGTTTGTGTTTATTTCAATGGTATTAGTTGAGTTACGTTTGAACAAACCGCATTTTTCTTGTGCATTTCAGATCCTCCACATTCGATAAACGTCACCTGCAGGAGCAAAGATTACTTGGATTGCCTCTGTACCTTCCATTTAAACAGAGAAACTTTCCTGCCCACCAATTACACTGCCGTGTACGGGTGAGCAACAACAGCACAGCCGCAGAATCATTATTTACTTTGAATTCTCCTGCTACTGTACAGTGCCATGCTCTGGACAATGCATTCAAAAATCCATTATTCGGTACCGAAGTACAGTCAGGATACATTTAATATTCCATGTTCTTTTTTCAGATATCACATTTTCAGATGTTTACACCCTTTTGCAAAATCATACTATATGAGAAAAAAAAGTTTTGCAGCCTGGCTGGCCACGCGCCGCTCAGCACGCGTTCTGACTGGCCGGGGGCCATGCTTCGCACAGCGCGCAGAGCGGAGGGGGGCACGGGTGGCTTGCACTTGGGTGGGGGGCGCGGGTGGGGGGTAGCCAACCAGGGGAAGCATGGATGGGGGAGTGCGTGGGGTACTGATATGCGGGGAGGGGGGGTCCTGGGGGTTGTCACGCGCAAAAGGGGGGCACTCAGGGGGGACGTGAGGAAGTGCTGGATGGCGTTGAACGACGGTACTTTTATCACACTTTATGGAGGGAAAAAGTTTTGCTGGCTGGAGGGAGGGAGGGACAGTCACGTAACATTATTTTAACAACTTTCATCGTGCATGAACCGTATTGAATATCAAAACAAATGGTACTTTAATTTATAGTTATTTTATTACACAGTAAAAACGTAAATTAAGCAAAGTGACATCTCGTATTGGCAAAACGATGTCACGTGACGGCACTTTTGGCAGGTAAAGTGCCAACGTGACGCCATGTGAACGATGTCGCTTCTGGTGACATCACATTTTTTGATCTATTTGAAAAAATAATGCCTGAGCTCATCTGAAATGTCATATCTGTGTCATTGACATGGCGATGTTTTGGCTTAATTCGAAAATTCAGGAATACATCTTTAATTTACATGAATGCATAATATATAATCACTTCAGGTATGAATTATGTGGACTGAAAAAAAATGTGTGTGTGTGTTTTTAGGGACAAATCATTCAAAGATTGTCTCACAGAAAGTAAAGACAGCTGTCTTATACGAAATGTATATTTGTTTACTGTTGAGATTTTCACACTCACAGTAACTGCAGTCAACGACCTTGGATCCACAAATAATACCGCCACCTACACGGATAACATCGGTACGTTATACTGGTAGGAACCTCCTGGTTACACCACCAGCCCACAGGGGATTATTGTGTCCGTCCGTCCGTCGTGCATTCAAAAATGGGAGGGGTGGGGCTGGGTGGAGAGGGGAGAGTGGGGAGGGAGGGGCTGGGTGGGGAGGGAGGGGCTGGGTGGGGAGGGGAGGGTGGGGAGGGGCTGGGTGGGGAGGGGCTGGGTGGGGAGGGGCTGGGTGGGGAGGGTGGGGAGGGAGAGGCTGGGTGGGGAGGGAGGGTCTGGGTGGGGAGGGAGGGGCTGGGTGGGGAGGGGAGGGTGGGGAGGGGCTGGGTGGGGAGGGGCTGGGTGGGGAGGGGAGGGTGGGGAGGGAGAGGCTGGGTGGGGAGGGAGGGGCTGGGTGGGGAGGGGAGGGTGGTGAGGGGCTGGGTGGGGAGGGGAGGGTGGGGAGGGGCTGGGTGGGGAGGGGCTGGGTGGGGGGTGGGAGTGGTGGGGCTGGGTGGGGAGGGGCTGGTCACCCCGTGGTGCCCTTATAAATCTCAACGTTTAACATACTCACGCCGGCTTGTGCCCGTGCTCACAGTCGGGCATATTTTCGGAATACACCACGTGGTGCCGTTGACCCTGGCCATTGACCGAGCAATCCAACGTTCCTACCAGCTCCCTCCGCAGGAATGTGTTAACTGTAACACGGCTGCTGTGTGTTTTGCTCATGATGTGTGTATAAACTGTACAGGTCGGGGGTGAGCAGCGGTTATGTGAAGCAACGTCAGGGTTAACGATACGTATGTTTTCGTAATCATGTCTGACAACCCTATTTGTCTTATGCAAACAATGTTAACGTTGTATCACTGGCTCAGATCCATCATACATAGGTAAATGAGCACTGCCCAGCTAGGAGAAATGTATGTTTTGTGTGTTACTACCATTCGTACAATACAGTGGGTGTTATTGTGGGGAAAAATGAGACCATTATATATTTAAATAAACGAGATCATAATGTATTTTAACGCCTGCAATGTTTGTATTATGTGAATCAGCGTATCCATAATTAAGCGTGTGTCTATTCGCCCTCCCTTTGCGATTCGATGAACCGTCACGATTCGGTGTTGACACGATTAAAACAAATATACTTATTGGTAATGGTAGCCTCCAGCGCCTTACAGGGTCCTGTATGTAGGTAATACAATTAGATGCAACATTGTACATTAATCGGAAATAATCGATCCTTGTGTGTATGATACGATGCATATTACGATGCATAGTACAACTTCAAATCAACACATTAATGCGTCATTACCAGTGAAATTATTACCGTCGGTACATATGCAGTGGAGTATAGAGTAATATTCTCTGTACGGAGTTTATTTCACATTTTCACTCCAGCAAGGACAGTGCGGTTGAATGTCTACTTTGGCACACACACACATTGCCCGTCTAACTAAAATGTGCCATTTTTGCATGTTGTGTAAAAAAAAAATCAGTTCAGCCGGATCCTCCAGAGAACGTGACGGCACACCGTGTGAAGAATGCCAAAAGCAGCATTATTGTCACTTGGAAGGAGCCTTCCACGTGGAATACTGTCATGCAACTCAAGTATGAAATGGACTACAAGCCGAATCAAACATCAAGCTGGCAAACGGTGAGTACAGGCAGGGAGGGCACCATACTCGGCCTCGACAGTGACTCCTCTACTTACGAACGAGTTAGGTTCCAGAGGTCTGTTTGCAAGTCGATTTGTTCGTAAGTCCAACATTACTCCTGTTGATTCCAAACATATTGTTGGCGTGTACACTGAGCACGGGGAATGGATTTAAACGTTGTATAATCTCCTGTAGATGTAGATGACACAGGTTCTTCACGTTCTGCAGATGTAGATGCCACCACCGCCATGTATGGCCCGGCGGTTGAACTTATGACTCTCGGTCCGAACAGGCAACTGGACATATGGACAGGTTTGCTCGTATCTCTGAAAGTTCATAAGTCGAATTTTCGTAAATAGAGTACCTGTATTGGAGAACTTATCTTACCATGGCGATGTGGGGGTAAAATACGAATGTTGTGCATCCTGTTATCTTAAGATAATTGTGGATAATAGGAATAGTACCATATTATAGGTCGTGGATAAAGAGTTTTGCACTTTAATCGCTCTGCCCAACCCCAGCACTGTGTTATTTTTACTGACAGGTGGCTACCCTCCTTCCCCAAGGGTTCAGGAATAACTAGGCAAATAACTGTGGCCTATGTGAATGAGCAGCGAGGTACTTCTGCTGCGCTAAAATAAAAAAAAATTCCACCATCGGTGGCCTTCACATGGCCCTGCGCAGAATATGTACACGTGCTATGATGTCATCTCGACATGCTAAGTATGCTGGGATTCACCTGTTTTATATCATCACAGTAGATTAAACACATTTTTTCATGGCTGTGTAGTGTACGATGTCTATTGCAGTGCACAAAGATGTGTAATTCAAAATATTAAATTCCAACATGCTTGCGTCAAAAAAGATGTGCAGTACTCTGTAGACCTTTTGAAATTACTAAATGTATCGTTTTAAAACTTGCTTTAAAACTAATTTTAGCATACAGTTACTGCAGAACATTGGAACAAGAGCAACATGGATGTAAACATACGTACCGTACGGCAAACAATTACCTAAGCCAAAACAACTCTATTATGGATATTGGTTGCGAAAGCCTACGTGTTCAACTGTTATATTTGCCTTTGATTAGAGTGTTTTGCCGGTGACTCGAGTCGTGGACGTAGCAGATGCCCCGTACCTCTGTTGGCAGGTGGAATTGAACGAGAATAATTTCACCATCACTGACGCTCATCAAGGGGGGGAGCCGTACGTGGTGCGTGTGCATTGCCACGATGTCTTTGTGGGCAGGTGGAGTGAGTGGAGCCCCCAAGTCTACGTAGGGACACAGCAGGGTGGGTAACTCTGCATCCCCATCGTCCCTTTGTGGTTACACGTGAATTGCACTGTTTAAGAAAAAAAAAAGGACCCTCGTTGTCTTTCAAAAATCATTACCGCACATCTACGCTGCTCTGAATACATCACTGGGCCCGACGGCCAAATCACGAACCCGCTCTACTCGATTATAAGCTTGTTTCAGTAACCTTCCGTTTTGGTGTTGTTTTTAATTGGAGGTGTACATACAATGACTCAACTCATGGAACTAAATAGCAGTTTCGACCTAATACAGTAATGATGGTGTGCCTATACATCATCCGGAATGCACCCAATGTCAGAAGCTAAGATGAGCTGAGCCTGGATAAGTACTGCGTGCAAAAGACAGGTACAATAGGCATTGTGGCCAGTATAGTACAATGCAGCAACATCCATAATGGTCAGATATCCTGGCCCGTAAGGCGTGGGGAGGTCCTTATCCAGCATTGAATTGACAAAATGGAATGTAAATGAACACATATGCAGTTCTGGATATCATTATTATTATTACGTGGAAGCAAAGGTCACACGTTGGGCACGTACATGTGTTGTGCAGTACTTGACTCCTTCCTCTGAAGATGCATTACTGCACATCGCTTCACATAAAACCACCCCCATAATGTCAGTTTAATCCGAGGTGCAGATTGACGTCTTCGTCATGGTGGAGTTGTATCCCCTCTGTGTCACTGTCACGCAGTGTTTGGCGTTCTTGGCTCGGAGGTCACCTTGAAGTGTGGGTTTCCTGAAGATACAATGGGTGGCCAATTTGTGTGGACATTGAATGGCTCTGGACTCACGCCCAACAGCGACGTCACTCTCCGGCAGAACCGCCTCACGCTCAACAATGCCAGTGCCCAGTACGCAGGGTCCTACTCCTGTTCCCCTGCCGGCACGAATGATGTTGTAGACTACATTCTGCTCAACCTCGGATGTAAGATGCATACCCAGCGTTTCGATTTGTTTTATTGACCGCAACTTTGTATGCAGTTTGGCGCGCGTGCGTAAATATATGATTGGATTTTTTTTTTTTTACGTAGAGCAATGGCACAGTCACGAGTGCACTGCACTATAAATTCAGCGACCCGAATTTTTGATTTCCAACCACGGAGAATTCTACACAAGCTGCTTCTGGGTCCCTCATCACAAACTCACACTGAGCACTGCGGTGGAGAATAATAAAACAACCCCCGTCGCACTACGTGGAAAGGCCTTCATCCGGCAGTATTCATAGTTATTCTGTAACTTAAAAACATCTCTTCAAATAATTGTTTTATCCTTTACACAGCCATTTCCCAATCCCCTACGAGATGAAGGCATCCCAATGCCGTGGGAGTTTGACCAGGTTTAAAAAAAATGGGACCTCAGAATGCACGTGTTTACATGTATACAGCGGTGCTGTGTGCGTGTAAATTAAGCAATTCTCTGCATTCCAGAAACGTTCATATTGATGCACAAAATAATCCCAGAAACATTGACTTAAGTGTGTAGAGTATATTCAAATGCCTATAAGTGATGTACAATAATGCGTTTTTATTATTTTCCATTGTTTTCCCTAGCAATGCCAAAAACAGCAACAATACAATGCAGAGCAGTGAATTACAATCATTTTAAGTGTGTGTGGAGTAATGAGAACAACATAAACTTCAAGGCCCAGTACCGGTAAGTATAGTCTAAGTTCATTGCCAATACAATTAATACTGTGCATGTGTAAAGTTAACTGTTGAACAGTATGATACATGTACAGTAGCATTGGTTTATATATATATCTAAAGGTTTGCTTTAACGAATTTTACATTTGAAGATGTGCTACTGTATTTAAAAACAACACTGCAATGGAAACGTAAGACCTGTGTAAAGTGTCAATATTCGTCATTAACCATGGTTTTTGTTGTGGCCCTTCCTTGCTCTTGGCTTTAGGTTCGTGGGCAATGACACGGTTGTAGAGTGCACATTGCTCGGTGGTGGCAATGTGTGCATCGGCGCATGGCCAGGAAGTCCATCACCCACTCTTGAGTTGCATGTGTCAGCCTCAAATTCCTTTGGCGTCACAAATTCATCCGTTCAGCTCCAATTAAAAACCGTCCGTAAGGCCCAACCTACCTTGTTGTGTATGGCTTTAATGGTGTCTAAACCTGCTTCACGTTTGCTGACAAAATGTCAAAGCCAGCAGATTATAATTTCAGATTGTGTTATGCATTGCAGTATGTTGCTTAACCTGCTTAGGTGTTGAAATAAGTTTGTGGACTATTGTGTTCATGAAAATCACCTCTCGATAATTTACACCAAATAGAAAATATTTGCAAATACAAGTACACTAAACATTCATTTTAATCTCTGTTGGCATCCAACGCTTCTGCAGCATGGACATTAATGTCATCTTAACAGGAGTAAATATACATCTGGATTATATAACATTGTAGAGGCTGCAGCTGAAAGTCTGCAATGGCAGAATGGTTGTTTCCATCCTGTAGTCTCGTGCTGAAGCCGAATGACAATGTTTAACCAGGGACTAGTTTCAGCTCCGTCTATCTGGATCAGCAACCAAGGACATCTTCCCAGTACCCACATCACCATATCCAGTAGACCTCTCGCTATGGCTGTGGCTATTATTCACGTGCCAACGCCGATCTACCAGTGGCCTGGAAAATATTAAGAGCAATCATGCCCTGGCAGTCACAGCTTAGCTATGGGTGTGCCCACTTTTGTGCCCCACCCCCCACCCCGCCAGTGAGACCTGAGCATCCAGTGGTATTGCGGAGCTGCCCATCAGATCTGGCACCACGTCCATCCAGCCCTTCAGTGTGCGTGCGCTGGGCTGCACCAGCCTCCTGGCGACTGCCAGAGGTCTTCCCCCTGCAATATCGACTAAGGTTCAACGTCAGCCATGTGGTACATCTTGCCATTTGTGGTTATTTTTACACGTGCTATATTGAGTTTAGATGTAGCATCAATTCTTACTTAAGTAAAAAAAAAACATTTGTGACGGTATTTAGATTGTTTCATATCGCCCAGTGATACATAGTTCAAGGTCAGACTTCTAACTAAATAGCGAATAAAAAAACATTTAACCTTTTTGGGGATTGTTCTTAGCGACGTGATTGGCACACACGTCTAGTTTTCAGTGACGGGAAAGGCACAAGCACGTCCAATTTTACTACCCATATTTGTTTGGAATGTTAATTACGTGATATAACATTGCAAAGTATTTACTTAAGTGTAATTGAAAGTGTGGCTTTTCACCTTTCAGGTAGAAGTCTCGGGCTATAACACGTACAGCTATACCTTGACTTGTGTGGCACCATGCATTCAATATGCTATTCAAGTGGCAGCAAGGGATGCTGCCAATAATGGGGAGTGGAGCGAATGGAGTCAGCCCATCACCCTCCCATGTAGTAAGTACAACTTCTCATTGCATACTAATCCATCATTTTTTCATTCATTTAAAACAATACTTGTTTTTCCCCAATATTAACTTAGATAATTTAGAGATGTGCACATGCGATGACTGTGGTCTTGTAAACATCCACAATGTTTTTTTACAGACCAGGCCACTTCAGTTTCTGAATTACAATTCATCATCTTGGCGTTTGTGGCGAGTCTTTTGGGACTGGAGTTCTGCTGAGCCAAACCAAACTGGCACTTCGAGCAAGCGAGGTGGACCGCATCAATGCCACCAAGGACATCCCCTTGTCCATCCAGGAAGGTGGCGACTTTGGCCCTGCATATTAATTCACCGAGACTGTTTTAATTCTACAACACGCACGCGCGCACACAGATACACAAAGGCGCGTGCACTGCGTGCACAAAAGCTCTCAGCCTTATTCATATCATGATTGTATATCTGTTGCCAGAACAATTTACGGTGTGGGGAAACACACACATGCAATTGAATTGATGGATCATGTATTGAATCACCATGTAAACAACACCCACTTGCAAGCTGTCAGAGGGAGATGTGACAAGTGTCTGACCTATACGCAGTTTGAGTAGTCGACCCTCATGCACAGGCTTTCTGTAGGTACTCGTTATCTCTCAGTTGCAAGCGAGACAAAACAAATGCAAAACCTATACTTTTCAAGCATAACCTTCACGAAAAAAATATCTTAACATTTACACTCCAATGATGACTGCTCTTATGCCATCTTGCGTTTGTAAAAATGTGTTTGTTTATATCTAAGAAAGGTTCTTATAAGCTGTACTGTGTAATGACAAATCCATATTAAATACCAAAACACCATATTAATATTCAAGATGTAAATAATATTTTGTACCATGGTCTAATATGAACAAATGTAACGCTGCAGGTACTTGTACAAATGTTTTCCTTGACTGTGATGAAAGTGGAACGAGGATGCTACATAGTGCCACTACTCTTATGATACACACCAACACTATTCCTGGCTGTGCATTTGAATAATTACATAGTAGATGCATTATCAATGGTTGCAACATTTCTGCAGAGCTGTAAACACTGGAAAACGTTATACTCGTGGAATAAAAAAATCAGAAAAAAATCACTGCCTTTATTAACTCATTTTCAAAGTTCAATGTAAAGAACACAAAGTGGAGAAACATTGGATAGTGTTTCATCATGAACTCACATCAGGTATAACCAATAGAGCATATGGTTAATCAAACAGTATTCAATTGAAAATAATGAGCCTGATGGCCAGAGCAAGGACACTTACAACTCCTGACACAATGCATATTTAATAATTTCAAATGGTTTCTGGTCAAGTGGTTCCCAGTAAACATACGATGGATCAACTCTGGCATGTGGATGGAACCGTAGGACCAACGTTGGCCCCGCATTGGTCCAAAGTTAAATGTTCATTGGGTTACCAATTATCTACAGTCACCAAATAGAGTTAATGTTTCCATGCCATTAGCACATTGCACATAACAGTGCAAGTAGCTTTCATGAGGAGTTTTTTGTTGTTGTTGATCAAGGTACCCACTCACCAGTGGTTGGGTTGACACAGATGCTGCCACAGCTGAGTGTGTAAGTGATAAAGAGATGTACCCCCCCCCCCCCATGTTTGCCAAATATGGAAAAGTGAAACACATGACAGAGCAAGCACTCCACCAATCATCTGTTAAGATTGTGCTTCTCTGGGGAAATTTACAAACCCAGGACAGATCACTTGATCGATTTCAATTGAAAGGCTGTGTGGGCATCCAAGCTGGAGCATGGGTTTGATTTTTGTTACCATAAAGCATGCAGGCCCAAAAATCACCCTGAAATGTAGTTTAAAGTATCTCTTCTGGACAAATGCACATCTGACGAATCATCATCGATGGTATACTCTTAATCCGAAGCCATGGAGATGAAAAACACGTTAAATGTGGTATGACCAACCATGTTCCAATCGACAGAATCACCATACTCAATATCTCATTCTGGTAGACTGACACCAATCAGATCACTGCATCAATAGAATGCAGGGTTAAGAGTTCAGTAAACATTGTTCCGTTGGTGTGCGCCTTCAAACACAGACCTTGCATTCCATTTTCCTCCTAACAGATTTCGTAAGCAGAAACCCTATCCTACGTCCGTGGCCAAACATCGCAGGCCAGTGTGCGTCTCAACAAAACAAAATCCAACCTAAAAAAAAAAGGTGGACGCTATCACTTTTGGCGCTTGTAGATTTTGCGAGCGAAGGCCAAAAAGACTTCTTCGGGCAGGCTGCCAGCGTGTTGCTTGATGAGCGCCGTGAGCGTGCGGTAGCTGCGGTCCTCGTACTCGTGGTAAACCCGCTCAAGCTCCAGCGCCGTGTACACGTCCTTGACGCGCGCCGTCTGTTCTGCGTCGTGACGCCCGTAGTTCTCCTGCGACGTTAGACACGAAAGCCACGTTGGCGTCGGGAGCGACACAAACCGCTGATGCCTCCTTTGTGTTTACGGCCATTGGTTTGTAACTGAACCACCTTGAAAACGTGTAAATCAAGTTTAGTTTAATAATGTATTGCATAACATGCCAAATTAATAATTACGTTGAACTTCTTTCGCACCATACAAAGTGAACCGTGCTAATCGGAATTAACACATTAAATTCTAAAATAATTTTATAAATAAAAGCAATCATTGTTCTTAAAAATAGATATCCACAGTGTACCCATACTACGTGAGCGTGTACAATGCGACAAAATGTATATTTGATACTTGAGATTATCCTGTGGAGTTGTAATGGAGCACCATCTGGTGGATGGTTAATGGAACAGACAAACTTTACCTCCAGGATAATCCTCTGCTCAGGGCTGGCCTTTTTAAGAGCTTGCACCACCAGCCAGCCACACTTATTATCTTCAATATCGGTACCGATCTTTCCCGTCACCTCTGGATCTCCAAAGCAATCCAGATAATCGTCCTACAGCAGGCACACATGTGTGGTGTCATGAGGGCATGGGAAATGGCATTAGCTAATTTTAAATGTTATCTCATCAGTTATTATACAAAAGAGAATATGTTCCCTTGTCTAAAAACAGGTAATACAACTGCCTTTCTGCTCCCATAACAGAAAAGGTAACATTTAACTTATCTAAGCTGTGATGAACGAAGTGATTCGGAGAAATAATGGAAGTCTGGAAAATCAAATGTAATGTGAACTGCCTTTGGAGTTATGGATTCAACATTTCCCACCCTAACGGTGAATGTTGGGCACGCGAGGCCGTTTCTAGACAAGAAGCAGCAGGCTCGGGCAAAGTTTGCTACGATAGGGAAAGCTCAATTATGAAGAAGCGCTGGTGAAGCACCTGGATTTGAAAGAACTCCCCCATCTCCAGCAGAATTGCTTTAGCATTTTCATGGGCCTCTTCACTCTCAATGCCAGCCTGAAAAAAAAAGCCACCACCGATAAGTTAGTTATGTTGAAATTGTACTGATGCGAATGGTAATTTTAAACATCAACAATCTTCCTTTTTTAAATGGTACATGGTGGTGTAAATGAACCAAACATACTTACAATGTACATGGCAGCAGCCACAGGCAAATAGAATGAATAAAATGCCGTCTTATATTTCACGATGGATTTGTATCTGAAAAGGCAATAAAAAAGAAATTAACAATGTACCTCTTACGCTCTTTGAACTGGAAACAAATATTCAATTATTGGCAAAGGATAAAAATATATAGCACTTAATTTTACTTGTCAGTTTCCATTTTATAGCCACCGCCCAATACCTTAAGACCCCATACACTTGCTGAAACAAAATTAATTTAGAATTGTTATAACCGTGAATGAAACAATTGTTACCGATTTCACTGGTAATATAGTTCCCAACTTGGTTATAAACCACTGCTCTTAAAAGTCCATACATCTGGCTTAATAATCTGCAACTCGCAATAAACCTTACACTGCAAACATGAAAGCAGGCAAGGCATTTTTGAAGGTACACTCCCCCCCCGATTTGTTTTTGTCAGAAACTTAGGAGATTTCCTCAAGCCATCATTGTATAACCAGACCGTGGGTCATACCGCTGTTCTGTGAATATGCTCAGGTCAATTTTGTTTGGCTGTGCCGACATGAGATCCAGCGCTTGCCCCAGCTCAGTCTGGTAAGTTGTCTGAAAAATATAGGAGAGCACACCAAAGGAAAAACAACATAACCACAATTTACTAATTCTCTGAAATGTAATCAGACCAAAAATGATTCCTTTTAACAATGCACAGAATGTTTTTGGGCGGCACCCATTTCAGGCCTATATAACACCCTGCTTCAGCAGCTCTCTTGCTATATTTTTTCACCTGAGGACGATTGCTTGTGTTGCGATCGAAACGTCGTGATTTTTAAAATTATTTTTCTATCTAAGCGACTTTACCGAAAGACCCAAAGAGTATACTTTGCATAAGAACACCTCCTCTATATCCACAAATAGTAGGAAGATGACAATTTTGTGCAAATACCAGCAATAGCGCGGTTTATGTTGGGGATGCGTTCCTATAAGTTGCGACAAACATCAAAACCACGTAAATCAAAGCAAACAGTCTGCACGCCGTAAAAACTAAACCAACACAATGGAGGGTGAAAAAGGATGGAAAAATTAGTCAAATGACCTCTAGAGCTCCCTCTAGCGGAGGCCCTTCCACCTGCACAGGCATGACGCGAGCAATGGGAGGGTCTTCTCCCCTTTACAAAGTGATAAATATGAATGCATAAGATGACAGGTCACGTGCAAATGCATGTTTTCCTTTATCATTCAAACGTTAAATGGTATTAGAGGCCCAATCTCAGCACTGGAACATCTGAGCTACAAGCTCAGAGACAAGGAAGAAGAATACACATGAACATCGGTCCATTCCTAAACCTTAGAACAGTCTTAAATACCTGAGCCCAGAACGGCAATGACCTGGCCAACCCCCCCCCCTTCCTCCCCAAAGCAAATTCCTTCCCCCTCTCCCCACGCCTGACCTAATGAGTCCTGTGTGCCTTATACCGTCGATGCACTTGGCAACGCATTCCAGAACGTCAGGATTTTGCAATATATGATGTGAGGGAGGATGTGGAATAAAATATATTTAATATATTTTTTAAAAAGTTAAATGGTGGCTGTTTTAATTGTGGCTTCTTGGCCGGTACCTGCAGAAAGAGCTCCACAAGGTGGAGGTAGTAGGGCTGTCCTCGGCAATATTTTTTCAGCAACCTGTAAATGGTGGCCTCCAGAAGAAAGGAATCGTTGACAGCATCATTGCCTACGTTCTCCTGCCAACACAAAGCACGGTTCAATTAGCTACGCAAATGTATGTTAAACACAAAAGCGCCAATGGAGCTCAAGGCAATACAATAATTTTCTTAAGAACTATGCTGCTGGCAAACTTATACCTTCTTGTACCAGCAGAGCTGTCCTCTTCTTGTCGTCGACTGATCCATCAAGTCATCGGCAACCAAGAAAAATGCCTGGAGCTGCAAGAATGACACCAAGTCGGAAACTTAACACTGCATTTAAAAACACTTCTGCAGGATAAAATCACATACATTCTCTGTTTGAGAGGAGACCTGATGGCTCATTGGGACATTCTGTCTACAGGAAACCCACCCACACAGATTCCTACTTGAAACCTGATTCCCACCACCACCCGACGCAAAATAATTATCTCATCAAAACGTTATACCACAGGGCTCATTGCATTTCGGACCAACACCACCTGACCAGTGAATTAAAACATGTACATTTGGCCCCAAAAAGGAATGGATACTCTGACCGTACCATCCGCCAAGCTGTTTCTCCCTCCATACAGAAACAACCACTTGATACTCCGATCAAAACCATCACACTACCATATATAGCAGGCGTTACTAAAAAGATCTCCAAAATTCTAAACAAACACAAGATCCTGGTCCGGTTCAATACAGTACACAAAATCCGTGACCTGATCCCTTCAGTGAAGGATGTCATTCCTGACTTACAGTACCCGGGAGTTTACAAATTGATCTGCACCTGTGGTGACTGCTATATCAGGGAGACGAAACGACATGTCTCTGACCGAATTCGCGAGCACAAATCAGATTTGAAACACGGCAGAACGAATTATTCTGCCGTAGCTGATCACTGTTACAACACTGTGGGTGATAACAATATAATTTTCTCCGATACCAAGGTTCTTTGCAAACCCACGGGTTTTTATCAGAGATTTATTCACGAGGCAATTCAGATTTACAAACACAGACACAATTTCAACCGAGAGGATGGTTTCAAATTAAGCAACCATTGGAAAGATGTTCTGAATCAAACCAAACATGAAACTAATTTTCAGTGGTACAGTATATTTTTTCAAGGAGTGGTATCCCAAACTTTCGCAGCTGCTTAAATTCCCTTTTCACACCATCAATATGTAAACTCCCCCCCCCTCCCCCCGCGCCGGTCTGCACATGCTCCCCCCCTGTACATCGTTCATCATGCTAAGTCCGCCAATTAAATGCTAATTTTTATGCTAATTCCTTTGTCAAGGCGCTCTGCTTCCTCTCACACAGCTTAAAGGTCGCGGTCTGAGCTTGGCTGTGTTCACTCCAGCGCTGTCCTCTAGACAGTCTGGTCCCTTCACCTGATGAAGGCCACTTGTGTTGTGGCCGAAAAGTCGTGAATTTTTTTTATTTTTTGTTGTTTTTTACGTGACTTTACCGAATAGAACCAAAGAGTATGGATCCTTGCAGTCACGAAAGCTTTAAATCTAGAATCACATACATTGTATGCTTCACTGAAAAAAAACGACATTGTGATGTGACCAATTCCTTTTCAATTAGTGTTTTCACGTGGGAGGAATCTGTACAGTACGCAAGGGAAAAATTGCACGCATGGACCCACTTGAGCTGTTGTGCCAACTTTTTCGCCACTCACAAACCAGCAGTTTTTAGTATTATACAAATATTCACCAACCCTCGTCTCCAAATTTCCGTATTACAGGCGTGTGCCACTGTGCCTGCTCACAGCTGTTGTGTACGGCGGCTTACCAGCTCGACGCACCAGCCAACGACCAGTGCTCGCGTGACATTCTCCTCCGTGTGCTGTGACGTACTGGCCAGCTCACGGAATGAGGCGATCACAGAGAGCCCACGGTTACGCTTCCCTCCCGGCACGTTGTACTCCAAAACCTGAATTTCAGATTTCACACAGTGACATCCGACAAGCAAATATTCCCCCTCCCCTAATGAGCCAAGTATTTCAACCAGGTCACCCAATGCTGCAGCAGTGACAAATATCACAATTCCAACTGTGTAGATTTTCGCGGTTGTGCTGTAAGGATCTGATGTCGATATTTCTGGGTTGTTCGGCATGACATGTGTTTAATTATTTGACCAGAGCCCAGTAAAATGGCACAGATTATAAAAAGAGAGGCGATTGGAAGTCCAAACTCAGTGTTCCTGGGTTCTGGGAAGGGGAAAGGGTTGGGCTCACTGCTCCACTCACGTAGGTACTGTGAGCGGGAATGTAGGTTTTTATACGATGATGTACGAATTTAAGCTCTATGTGGAGGCAACTTTCTCAGGAAATTAAGTTCAGAAAACTCGAAAAACCGAAGTGGAGACACTCCCCCGGCAAAACGTTGGTACAACCCGAAAACACATCGGAGAGATGCAATTCTTCCCCCTCCTTAATGCCTCACCTCCTTGAGCCTCTTGATAGCATCACCAATCTCAGGGTGCTCGAGGTCAGCCTGGGTGAGATCAGCTGCAAGCTGGCCAAAGAGCTGGTCAAATGCCTGGGTGTCCGCCTTGGCCTGCTGCTTCTTGTCATTGCTCATGGTTGCTGGGTATGGGTCGCAAATGCTGCTCCAAAATCTGAAACTGAGCACACATGCACACACACATATTCCGATTTCCCTAGGGGCTAATTACACGACTATTCTCTCCTCTTAACAAAGGTCATCGCCTGAAAATGTAAGTGGAAGGTTTTACTTGTTCATTACAGGTGAGTTGAAAAATGATGCTTCCACCGCAGCCAATCGCTCCTCTCCACTGGTTCCCAATCCAACACCCAAACATATATACTATGCTCACCATTTTCAAGATCCTACATGAACTCTAGCCAACCTTCCTCCTGCCTCTCATTTTCACTTCCCTTCTAAGCACCCCACAATCCAGTAACAAAGGTCACTCAATCTCGTCTCCTGCCCCGATTGAGTTGAATGGAACTCCATTCTCCCAGCCACCTGGGCTATTTAACTTCCTGCCACTAATCAAATCCAGGCTCGGGACTTTCCATTTTAGCTTCTTTTATATGCCAAGAGGTACAGGTGCTCTTAGATGCTATACGAATCCTAATTGTGTTGGTTGTGTATTCCAGACAATGATGGCCCAAATAAAGTCCAGATTTAGGAACATCCCCTATCTGCACACAATATCGGGTTGAGACGAGGTCTTGAGTTGAACAGGGGGCAGGCAGAAGACAGGACAGACTTGTGGAGGAAGGGAGTTCGAGGTCTATGGGGAGTGGCAAATTAGAACGAGTTACATTTATTGTACAGATTTATAAACTGGGTTATTGAATGATAATAAGCCACGATCAATCCACTGCTGGGTGAAATCCTCCACAAGCCTACCACTATCTCGTACGATCATGTGACGTAATAATCTAACCAGAAACTGCACACGAGTTGATTTAAGTGATTGCTTCATAAAATTACATTTAAAAAAACATTATCCAAATATGTACTGTGACAGGGCGGATGTGGACAAGGCTGCAAGGGACTGGAATAGTACGTGAAAAAAATATGACAATGAAACTTAAAGCAAATATATACAAATCCGCAATCTGATAAGTGATATTATTTGAACACGAGACGTTGGCAGTGGCGCACAAGCACAAATAACCAACACCACAACACATGCCAACAACACTGCATTGTTGTGCAATGTATAAGCGGTGACGTTTCGGGCAAGGACCCTTATTAATGTGTTAAAGGCAGTGTTATTGACGGATGTGTGGCGTTTTTTTTATATTTACGGAGCAGAAAGCTGGGCAAGAAGAGAAAATGCTCGAAAGAGCAGAACTGTGAACGACGCCGAGCTAACAATACAAATGAGGACGATCAGAAAACAATTGGGGAGGGAAAAGTATCCTCCACAAAGCGAGCAGAGCCAAGACTGAGACTACAACGGCCATATGACGAGGGAATCGTCATGAACGGAGTCGTTTAAAACGACAGCAGGAAGACGAAGGAAGGGCGATGAGGAGATGGATAACATCTAAAGACAACGCAAATGTGGGGGAGAGTATGATAGCTGCTGGGTCGACCACAAGCGATGCCTCCAACTCCACTCACTCACCTGGCCGGTCGCGCCTCCGCTTTGAGCAGTGGCAGCAGCAGCAGCTGATCGTGACACGGGCGGCGCGCGAGTGACGTCGAGCGGGGGCCTGGCCTCGCCCGCACTCCATTGGACGAGGCGCTCGCGCCACGGAACCGCTCGAGCAGCCTCCGCCAATGGGAGGCGCGCGTGAGCCCCATGCGCGGCCTGGCGCGAGCGGCGGCGGTGGGGGGCGGGGAGGATGGGGCGGGGCTTCGCTCACTGTCGCCCCCCCACCCCTACAACCCCTCACAATCCCCTCCCCTCGGCCCCACCTCGCTTCGCTCGCCTCCGCGGGTGTGACGTCACTCCATCGCCTCGAGCGATTGCGTCATCGAGCCTGTCGAATAAATGTTCACGCGATGATAGGTCACTTTTGTTGAGTTATCATTTTGTGTGGCCAGGTTGCTTCTGCTAAATAAGCCAATAAGCTCCGTGGGGTTTTAACTGGTAAGACTAAAACAAAGTTTTAGTTGTGTGTGTTTAGTTGTGTATTTTTTTAATGTGATGTCTACCTTTCCTATGCTTTTGCACTCCCGATCCTATTTTTGTATTGTTTGTCGTAACGTTCTGACCCGCCCCCTACTGGACATGTGAAGAGCTTTGTAGCTCATCGGATTCCTTCAGCATAAATATTCTGATACAATGACGTCACCAAGCGCAACACGGATTTAATTCCAGTGACGTCACAACGCGGAAGGCCTTCCCACTGCACACGGCCAGACTTGTTTGTCGACACACAACGCAGTGGTTATATTTGTTCTATTTGTCGCCCGTAAAAGGTAAAACAAAACCGACCATAACGCGAGGAGAAATTCCTTTGTACGTACCTATTGCACGAGGAGTTGATTCATTTGTCGGGCGCGCGATTTAACTTTAAACACCGGTGGACTTTAGCGAGAGCCATAGGACGGATTGAGGCGCTTCACACCGTCGGTCGCAAGGGCGTCACACGAGCGCGTGACGCCATCGTGCTAAATGGTGAGATGATGTCACAGCGGGTGACAGCTGGTCGTGACATCATTGTCAATATTTAGCGCGATGCCTAACAACAAAATATATCCTCAAAAGATTAAACAAAAACATAATTACATATCTAATTACGCTGCTGCTGCTTTGGCAACAATATCGGCTGGCCGAAAAAGGCAAACTCCACACATAGGCGACGTTTCGGGCAATGGCCCTTAAATAGCACGTACAAATGAAAAATAAACAGCATAAAACGCTAACGTAATTGTGGAGGGCTGAGCGGGCCAGTCATCCCAGTCACACACGGCGTGGCTCCCAAGAGCCCCCCACCCCACCCCACTCTTCATCCCATCCAGCAGTGGATAAGCTCAAAGGGCTGCACGTGTTCTTTTAAAACGTCGGAGCAATGGGGCTGCGATATTGCAGTGGGGGAGGGAAGCGATAGCCACTTGCACTCGGCGACGAGCCCCAATTGAGAGGCAACTTGTCCGCAGTAAGGACGAGGCTGTGAAGATGTAAACTATGTCAAAGATTTTCCACTCGTATTGTTAGCTCTTTCGGTAAAGTCACGTTGAAGGGAAACAATAAAATAATAAAGTATATATATAAAACAATAAAGCTTAGTTTTTTTATTGTTTTATATTTTTTTATTGTTTCCCTTGAACGTGACTTTACCGAAAGAGCTAAGATTATGAATTACTGCAGTCACGAAAGCTTTAAATCAAGATTTTCCACTCGTTGTGGAAAATCGTAGTCACCACCGATTCAGGCGGAGATTATTTGCGTGGTTTGCATGTTATAATCTATGGTGCATGGCTATAATTTTTTGTAATTAACTAATTACTGCTCAGCACGTATATATATTTTTTAACGAAGACAGATTAATGGATGTAAATAGCGCTACCGGCAATAGATTCTTATAATATTAAATTAACGTGTGTATTTAGTAACATATTTGATTAACATACAAGCTGCAGAAAAGGCGAAGAGCCACGCGTTTAAAAGTATTTGGCCGCTATACATTTCCACACGATAAGCCAAGTCGTTGAATGTGGCCAGATCGCGTCTGAAAAAAGAGTTATATAACTAAGTGGGCCTTACCTGGTCACATAAAAAAATAGTTTAAATGTCTCGCCACATAAAAATACTGATACTTATCATCGGCTCAACGGCGCAGACATGAATAATTTTAGCAGTATTGATTCAATGCAAGCAAACCGTGCACCCATTTCAACAGTATCAGCAAGTCGGGATTGCTTGAGTCAATGCTGGTGAAATATCTGATTTTATCGACAAGGACCACCAATTTTTTTTTTAATACGGGTCCAAATATGAAGCTTAGTTATATAATAAATATCAAAACAAATACTTTAATTAGCGTCCTGGAAAATGTCCATGTACTGTGCTCACATTTGCCCCTGGAGTAAGTTCTTCCCCCTGGGAAGTGCAAGAGACGACAGAAACCACCCCCATCACATGACCATAACAGACGAGTTATACTCTTTGGTTTTATTCGGTTAAGTCACGTGGGTAAAAAACAAATAAAAGAAACAATAAAAACACGATGTTTTGGAGGCAACACAAGCTTCTGTCTTCAGGTGGAAACAGTCACAGCAAAAAATCGCTGAACCTGAAGACGGAAGCTTGTGTTGTGTTTTAATTGTTTCTTTTATTTAATTTGTTTGTTTACCTACGTGACTTAACCGAATAAAACCAAAGAGTATGAATTATTGCAGTCACGAAAGCTTCAAATCTAGAACGAACGAGTTGTCAATATGCCAGACCGGTTTTTATCTCAACCAACTTGCACCACACATTGGTTATCTTATCAACCTTTTTTCCTTCTTCACTTAGTAAATGTATGCATAAAATCCCTTGAGATGGAATATCTCGTTTGCAAGGGTGTCCACCGTAAAAATACATGTATGTTGACACCAAGAGAAAATAAAAGTGAATGTTGACATTTGTCACGTCAACTAAACTAGTACAGTACTATGATACCGTATGCTTATTGCAGTACATGTGTAGTGAGTCCAACGGAGTCGCAGATGTTGTCTGAGGAGCAACACTATTTATTCAATAAATCAACGTAACATAACACAACCTACACTTGAGTGTTGAATGTTCATCTAGCCACGCAATGGCAGAACTAGACACGGTTCGCTATCCCAGCCCGGACCACAAGCTGGGTCCCGGACCGCGTGGCTAGAGGCTTCTTTTACCCGACGTGGATCTTCATCACCAGCAACACGAAGAACCCCGAGCCCCTCACGGGGCCCCTGTTATATCGGCCTGGGTAGGGGCTGGCTCCGCCCCTCGCCCTGCCCACATTCTAGATCTCTCGAGCTCTTTCCCGAAGGCTCCCCGAGAGCTCTTTTAGACCACGTGACCGCCCAGCAGCCCCTGTCCACCGGTGGCCCCCATCCACTATCATCCGGTCACGTGTCGGCAGGTCAACCAACGTATCATGCCCCAACGTAACCCTGGCTGACTGACGCTCCCTCTCGCTCCCTCACCGGGAGCCCGCACCACACACTGTACGTGGTGCCTCCGCGCTGACCAGCGCTCACCCAAGCCCTGCTAGGGCTGGTACTACGCCCAGTAAGTGGGCTACACATAATGCCAACACATTATCCGCCGTGGCTTCGTAAGCTCGGCACCACACAGCGACAATCATAGTCACTACACATGTGTAGTGACGTATATTGAGTCACTATGGCGTTGGGCCAGCTACTGAGAGAAGAGTGTAACTGCGTCTTAGAGCCTCTCTCTGTCACCAGAGTACGTATGGCATACGTGAGAGTCTAGGTGAACCCAAGAGGGCACGTGACCTGCAGAGGATAAGGGTGGGGGCCAGAATCCCAGAACCTTCTGGGAAGATCCCGAAAGGGGCGTGGCCGAGGGCGGAGCGAGGCCGAGGGCGGAGCGAGGCCACACTCAGGAGGATAAAGGGGCAGTCCTGGGAGCGTTCTCGGCTGTCTTCTGGAATCAAACTGACGTGCTACGCTCTTCGGTCGTCACATTCGACATCGTGGGTCAGGCAGTACTTTACTGACCTCAACGTTTCTATAGTGACCTTGTTGAGGTCTAGCTCCGTGGTAGTAACCACATAGTTATCCCGAGTGTTTATGTAGTTTATGTAGTTACCCTGATGGGGTGTATAATAAACGTGTTGCCTCAAAGTTACAAGTGTCTGACTCCGTGGGACCCACTACACATGTGTAGTGACTTACTTAGAGACGCAATTTCTTGGAGGCAGTTATTTTATTTAACCGACCACCCTTTGCACAATACACACCCTACGCTGATACACACTTATCCCTCTCGTTTATACACAACTCTACGTAAGTTGCAAGCCTATACACAACACTAGCCGTCTGACACTGACGGCGCTGAACTGAGACAGTCAACTACCGTCTTGCAGCGCTATATCAGGTGAAGACGACAGCGACGAGACGACAGCGACGATGGCGACGATCTTCAACAGCAACGACGGGGATCCCACTCCAAACGACAGCCCTGAGCTCCCCTCCCGGGACCCCTCTTATACTGTCGACGTGGCCTGGCTCCACCCCGGCCACGCCCCCCTTCTGGAACCTACTAGCAGGTTCTCGATGTGCCCCTTCCATAACCTTTCCCCTACACCCCTCTCTGGTCTATCACGTGCCCTGCTGTCAGTCAGGGCTGCTGCAAGCTGCAGATCCCCTTCCCTACCAGCAGCCAGCGCTATGCTGCTATGTGACCGATTCTATGTCACTACATGTTTGCACTTGACGCATGTGTTTTTGCGTTTAAAAGGTACTATAGAATATTGCAAATATAAATCTCGTTAACCTATTAATCAACAACCACCTCCGTCCAATTAATATGATAAGAAATGTTAAATTTACACCACTGGCTGAGATATGAGCCCTGTAAAAAAATGTAGCTTGAAAATTGCGTATTTTTTTACAGGAAGTTAAACAGGAACAGATATATTTTTGGGCATTTTAGAACAAGTTATTAAACATCTTGGTATACTTTTAATGAACACGAAGGCATTTGTAGAAACCCGACTGCGAATCTCCACGTTTGTTTCTCAACACTCGACTGTAATAGTTATCGTATACGGCACATAAAATACACTTTCATAATCGTGTATTTGCAAGTAAAGCCACGGATGAAAAATAACGAGTACTCGAATTGTTATTTAAATAGGCGATTAAATGTCAAAACCATTCATTGCATCAGAAATGTCGGAATATAAATAAAAAAAGCAGCAGTGAGGTGCGTTGAGGAAGCATTCTCAGCTGCTCAGCTGCTGAACAAAAGCGACAATGGACAGGCGACCTTGCTGCGGGTCTTTAATCGGTAAACAAGTGGCTTTCTAGAGCCTCGTGGTTCGAAAAAAAAATGTCACGGAAATTGCTGGACGCCGATTGGCTCCAAATTTAATAAGGGAAAACCAGAGCATAAAGAGAAGGCAGTGTATAAAGCTCGTCCTCTGCCTTTATTCTCCAAACCCTTGGCTCAATGCACTCTGCGGAGCAAGTGCAAAACAGCAGTGGCAGACAGGGAGTTCACGTCGCCTATATTCTGAGCCTTTTAAATGTTATCCACACGTCAGCGTTAACATCTGCAATTAATTATTCATGCTCTTTTTTGCTCCGGTGAACAACTGGGTAAGTCCGAATCTTTGTTGCCACATACACAAGTGTGATTTGTGCTTTTGTTCGTTTTACTGGGCACGTGTCCATTATTCCACGTTTCCTTCTTGTATTTTAGATGCAATTAAATACTGTATATAATTAATAAATGTAGTATTGCACATTTACACTGCTATGCGTGATTACAAACTAAAATCGTCAACTACGATGTATCCACTGCTGGATGAAGGTCTCTGCAATCCGTCACCATTTCTAGTTCTTGCGATGTAACCACTAATGTTTTTAATTATTGAACCTGGCCCACATTTAACAACTGGCTAGGGGAGCTTGTTACTTGTGCGTGCCTTCCATAAAAAAGACTGATGAAACGAAACTTAAAGAATTTGATATGCATTAGCATTTTATTAAATGCATCACCCAACCACATAAGCTGGGTTGATGGGGGGGGGGGGGGTATTTCGACTGAATATCAACAAATACCATTATTCTGAGGTTTTTTTACATAAAAAAAACGTTCGATTCGGTGGACTTTAATGCATTCATCCAAGCTCTCACAAACCTAGGCCGAAATGATAAAAAATAGGGGAAAAAAACTAGGACAAAAATGGAACGGCTACACAAGTTACTACACAAAATGCCAATACTACATTTGATAATACATAATACAATAATACATCAGTCAGCCAAGGAGGTACACTTTCACCATAGTTGTTCATAGCTTTATTAGATGTCTTTTGAAAGTTGAATTGGAGAAATAAATGCGTACATGTATACGATATAACAATCTCATGATTTATTCCTGACATGTCCAAAGAACAACAAAAAATCGGACTTTTATTCAGTCAGCACCGTCATATATTTGTATAGCACTTCAATTACGCTTTCAGAAAGGGTCATTTCTTTTTAAGATTAAAGCCACATGGCCTGGGCAGGAATAGCGAAATGGGGGTTTCAAGGCGCTTTCTTCATCTTGTAGTGCTCCTTCGGCAGGCTCCTGAGCCGTTCAGCTGCCTGTGGAAAGATGCAGTATGGGTGGACGTGTGTCAACAAGACTTGAAAGTGTAAGAGTCTTCCACAGGCCACTTGCATTTATGGTCTTTTATGTCAATGGCCATTCATCAGAGATCTTGACATAACTGTATTTCTTGAAAGCGTATATGAGAAATATTGTAGGAGAATAAAAAGATGAACATATTTGACCAATTTTGGATTTTAAGCCAATTTGGACAATTCGCATTGTTAATATTATTATTTAACTAAAAGCAATGTTTGCTCATGATCATGAATGCAATTATATTTTCAGCCTGCTTCAAAGCAATATTGTATTGCAAGCAATAAATATTAGTTTTATGCCAAATTTCACTGACAAATAATTGTAATGCTTGACATGAAGAATAATCATTCTAATATGTCTTGTGCATTCGGTGGTACACAAACCTGCTCAGGAGTGAGATCTCTCTGTGCCTGAGCCAGCATTTCGTATCCAACCATGAACTTGCGGATGGAGGCAGAACGCAGTAGGGGAGGGTAGTAGTGTGCGTGCAGTTGCCAGTGGTCGCAGTTGCCCTCAGTCAGCCACTCTCCCGTCGGTGCCCCTGTCACCACGATTACGGGTTTGAAAAAATATATTTGTCAACCTCAGATGTTGGGTTTGTTACCTGAAATACAATAATTCCTACCTGCTTACAAACACTCTATCTGTTTTTTCAATAAACATTTGAATATTTGGCCATTAAAAGAAGACCAATAAGATCAATGTAGTATTGTACCTTCAATGATGATGCAAGACAGCTGTACATACACACCACACTGTCCCTAATTCACCACTTGTAAGGGTAACACAAGGCCAGAAAAACGGTTTAATTAGCTCTGTATTGACTCAGAATTTCAAATGTAGATTGAAATGTTTGTTAAAAAGCGTGCTGCTTTGTAAGTGTATACGTTCCAAATAAAGTAAAACCATCTCACCATGCCATCCCATTGAGTACGGGAAGGAATTCTCAAAGAGGTTGTCATACTTCGTCAAAAGCCGCTTCATGACTTCTGCCAAACCTTAAAGGCACAAGCAGAAACATCATCAGCCAAGGCATAGATAAAATTGCTTGAATGAAGTGGCATAGGACATTTGTGTCAATGGTGCATGTGCCAAGCCTTACTGTCCCTCTCCGATGCGGTGAGGTCGGTTAAACGCTGGACGTGTCTGCGTGGCAGCAGCAGAGTCTGGAAGGGCCACGTGGCCCAGTATGGCACCACTGCCAGCCAGTCTGAGTTCTCCACCACCACACGCTCCTGTGATGATCCACAGTATTAACAGCTGCAAGGTCGGACCTCTTGTGTGCTATAATATAAGTTTTTGGGTTAGATCGCGTAAATATATAAATGTATTTTACTATAGGTGAGGTTGGCTGTTGGGTGTGGTTGTGTGTTTCCAATCCTGATCTTCATTCAGCAATACCTACAGTGAGGGAAAAACGTATTTGATCCCCTGCTGATTTTGTTCGTTTGCCCACTGAAAAAGAAATGATCAGTCTATAATTTTAATGGTAGGTTTATTTGAACAGTGAGAGACAGAATAACAAAATCCAGAAAAACGCATGTCAAAAATGTTATAAATTGATTTGCATTTTAATGAGGGAAATAAGTATTTGATCCCTCTGCAAAACACGACTTAGTACTTGGTGGCAACACCCTTGTTGGCAATCACAGAGGTCAGACGTTTCTTGTAGTTGGCCACCAGGCTTGCACACATCTCAGGAGGGATTTTGTCCCACTCCTCTTTGCAGATCTTCTCCAAGTCATTAAGGTTTCGAGGCTGACGTTTGGCAACTCGAACCTTCAGCTCCCTCCACAGATTTTCTATGGGATTAAGGTCTGGAGAATGGCTAGGCCACTCCAGGACCTTAATGTGCTTCTTCTTGAGCCACTCCTTTGTTGCCTTGGCCGTGTGTTTTGGGTCATTGTCATGCTGGAATACCCATCCACGACCCACTTTCAATGCCCTGGCTGAGGGAAGGAGGTTCTCACCCAAGATTTGACGGTACATGGCCCCGTCCATCGTCCCTTTGATGCGGTGAAGTTGTCCTGTCCCCTTAGCAGAAAAACACCCCCAAAGCATAATGTTTCCACCTCCATATTTGACGGTGGGGATGGTGTTCTTGGGGTCATAGGCAGCATTCCTCCTCCTCCAAACACGGCGAGTTGAGTTGATGCCAAAGAGCTCCATTTTGGTCTCATCTGGCCACAACACTTTCACTCAGTTTTCCTCTGAATCATTCAGATGTTCATTGGCAAACTTCAGATGTGCTTTCTTGAGTAAGGGGACCTTGTGGGCGCTGCAGGATTTCAGTCCTTCATGGCGTAGTGTGTTACCATTTTTTTCTTGGTGACTATGGTCCCAGCTGCATTGAGATCATTGGCAAGATCCTCCCGTGTAGTTCTGGGCTGATTCCTCACCGTTCTCATGATCATTGCAACTCCACGAGGTGAGATCTTGCATGGAGCCCCAGGCCGGGGGAGATTGACAGTTCTTTTGTGTTTCTTCCGTTTGCGAATAATCGCACCAACTGTTGTCACCTTCTCACCAAGCTGCTTGGCAATGGTCTTGTAGCCCATTCCAGCCTTGTGTAGGCCTACAATCTTGTCCCTGACATCCTTGGAGAGCTCTTTGGTCTTGGCCATGGTGGAGAGTTTGGAATCTGATTGATTGATTGCTTCTGTGGACAGGTGTCTTTTATACAGGTAACAAGCTGAGATTAGGAGCACTCCCTTTAAGAGTGTGCTCCTAATCTCAGCTCGTTACCTGTATAAAAGACACCTGGGAGCCAGAAATCTTTCTGATTGAGAGGGGGTCAAATACTTATTTCCCTCATTAAAATGCAAATCAATTTATAACATTTTTTAAATGCGTTTTTCTGGATTTTTTTGTTATTCTGTCTCTCACTGTTCAAATAAACCTACCATTAAATTATAGACTGATAATTTCTTTGTCAGTGGGCAAACGTACAAAATCAGCAGGGGATCAAATACTTTTTTCCCTCACTGTATGTGTGTCATGGTATTCTCATAAGACTATAAAAACCAACACGTGTTCTCAAGCCCCAACAAGCATTTGTTTAACTAGATGCGTGTTTCAAAGAACGTTCCAACTTTTCCTGTCCACCCTGGATCTATTTGATCCTAAACATGTAATGTTTTAAACCTGTCAAAAACAATATATTTTTTTACATTTACAAAACAGAGCTGTTCATACCTTCTTCTCGGCCTCCATCTGTGCATACTGTAGAAGCATTGGAACTCCGTTGGTATTGTAGTAGGCTTTCTGAGTCCTGTCTGCTATACGTGGCTCATTGGGCAGAAAGGAGCTCGCCCACACCTGCACACCACAGGTTCACTGCAAATTAAGGCATTTGTATAAAAATATTACACATGACAAGGACTGTTTGGTGACAATTTTAGTGATGCTGATCAACAGCCAGTATCAATAACAAGCAACCATTAATATTAGTCATGCCAGTAATAGGGCCAGAATAATTAAATGTAATCATAATGTACATATTAATGTGATACAGTGATAAACATGAATTTATGAAAATTAAATAGCAATGTTTGATACCTGACAATGAGGGTGAGGGTTGGAACATCCCATTACAGCTCCTTTGTTTTCAAAAATCTACAAAAGAAACAAACATTTTACGTTGCTGTTTCTTGAACTAAATTGACAAAGTTAAATTTTATTTTAACATAGTCTGGAAGGGCCACGTGGCAGTGCTTACCTGTACCCACTGATATTGCGATCCAAGTTCTGTAACGATGTCTGCCCATTTGTCAATCACTGCGCGGATCTCAGGAATGGACATCAGTGGCAATGTGACATCAGACCACGGGTGGAAGCACATCACCTTACTGTGGAGTTCATTCAGAAGAAATATCACCAATGTTAATTAGTGATCAGTGGCAATTATGGCATTGAAACAGCATGCAGCAGCATGCATCATCCGATGCCAACCCCTAGGGTCACTTCTTAAATAGTCCCCAAAGTAAGCGCCTTTCACATCCCCAAGTCTCTATATTAACGGTCGATCTGATGAACCCTCATCCTCACTTTCCACCCATGAGGAACTTGAGCACAGAGAATCTGGTGGGCAGGGTCAACCGAGGGGAACCAAGCCACATGCCCAACGTTTATTTGTGGAGTTTTATTCAACATTGCAACAAACATGATGAGACCAAGCAACGAACGGTATGCTACATCTCAGCCACACCATGTCCGACAAAGACAAAAGCTGGATCTCACGTAGACGGCCAGAGATGGGTGTATAGAGTATGACAAGACGTGCAAAATACTTCGTCTAAAAGAAGGCAAGCAAACAATCTCCCAGTTTGTCTTCGTAGTATTTTAAAACACAAATGTCCAGGGTTGGTTTATGTTGAACTTCTGTCACACTGTACGTAGCCAACTATAAGGGAAAACAAATATTTTATAGGTTGTGCTCAAATTTACCAGTCTTACCAATTGCCTCTGGCAGCCTCTGTCCTAAACAGTGGGTGCTCACTTGGGCCTGTGGAACACAAGGTGTGGTGCAAGCATTAATGGATGTCTCTGCAACATAACATACAGAATGCTGTGCTTAAAATGCTTGATCCTTACCTGGGCTCGGAGCATCAGGCTGCAAGGCTGGGAAATCATTATCAAACGTGAATGTGCCTTCATAATCAGGGTTTACCTGTGAGAAAGCAATAATAAAAGCGCACACTTTAAACAATGCAACTTGCACCCATATACATGCCAGTGGGCTATCAATGAGGGATGGTGAACTGTGATGTTTGCGAGCTGAAACACTCATGTGGGTCTGATTCAGACCAGTGGTAGTACATAAAACATATAAATGTATCGGCCTTTTCATTAAACTGCTGGATGAGGGCCTGTCCATGCCGTGTTAGTAGTAAGGGTTATATGAACATACATCACACCATTATGGTCAGTGTGCGTTAGTGGGGGGAGCACAGCGGTTTCAGCAATGAGGTACAGCACATAGATTTTTTTCTCTACACTGCCCTCTGCTGCCCACAACCAAGCACTAAAACGAGCCAAAATGACAACACTGAATTGCAATTAGAGGTTAACCTATGCGACAACAACAAAACAACAAAGTTCAAACTCTGCAAAGCCGCATTTCCATTGGGCAAGTGAAGTGCACCCAGGTGTACTGGGGCCAGGTGGTTCACCTGTCCGAGAGCACGGACGGCGCCCGGGCAGAGTGGGTTTGCCGGGTCCCTGCGTGGCACCTCGCTGTCTGCCACGTGCTCCACCTGACCCTGCCACGGCCGCAGCATGCGGTGCGCGGACACCAAGACCCACTCATCGCGCAGCGGGTTGTAGCGGATATGCTGGTGCTCTGTCACATGCGCACACGCGCAGGCACATGCAAGATCACCAAGTGCTGTTGGCGAGCACCTATTAGGCGAGGCAATTTTTGCTTATGGCTGCAAAGTTTGGTCGTACATGTCATGTATATCGTTTATTGTTAAATTTGAATCAAAGTTCCTATGATCACTGTTACGTTGTTTTTCTAGCTTTATTTTGGTGATTTCGAAAAAGTTTTGGATTAGGCATATTTGTTTGTTGTTGTACAGAGTTAGACTGATAACTTTAATCTAAATTGTCTTATGGTTGTTATTGTTTGACTTGCATCCCACTGGGATTTTTTGCACACAGCATTTATATACGGTGCTTTTTCTGGAAGAGTTTGCTGTTTTTTCCTGGATTTTTCTGTTCCGCGTAGTCACTTGAAGATGTTTCTTGTTCATGTTTTTGTTTGTTGCGGTTGCACCCGATTCAAGAGCCGAATGGCTCACAGGGCTATACCTAATAAATGAACTGAACTGAACTTGACAGAGCAGTGTGGTCAGCACCACACCCGGCTGTCTTTGTCTTGCCAGATGTTATTCCACCGATGTTGCTATTCAAGGCTGAATAACATCTAGGAGAGGGTCAGGAGAGTGGCGGATTCCACTTTCCACCGATGTTGTGCTTTAGAGGAAATCAAACCGTTGCTAGGATTGAGGTGTAGACTTATTGAACCACTGCTCCACACACATTTATTCCATGTATTGAGGTAAATCAGAACGTATACAGTATATTTACATAAATCCCCATTGAGACTTAAGGACAATGCAGGATATCCTGCTTTGAGACGTTAGACCAATAATTTTTTTAGAACCCTTTTTGCATAGTGACAGTAACTCGTGTTCTCTATGCCGTAGCTCTTTGCAGTAACGCGAATTGCAATGTTAATCATTGAGCCTCCATGTGATCCCCTAACCACGTTGATTGGTAATGTCGATCGTATAAAGAAGTATTTACGGGCACGCAGGTCACGTGATGTCTTTGTGCTGTCACGTGGAAAGGTCATTCAAAAGAGCTTCTCGGATCAATGAGTTTTAAGTAACACCCCTGGACAAAAATAGTTGTTTATAAATAAAATATTTAATTGCCTCGGTCATTTTGTATTATATGGTACCCCGGGGTACCGAAATAAGGATCAATCATCATACGTTCACACATTACACAGCAAAATACGTTCACGCCCCAAGTAACGACGTTTACAGTCAACTACGATCGTTTAAGTGCGTAAGCAATGCAATTCGAACTTAATTAAAAACATTGGTATTCGTCGTAGGGGTTGCAGTACCATAAAACTGTATTGCATGCCGAAATTAACTTTGCTCCCAATAAAATAACAGTCAAGCTGCAGCCTCGCCTTGTTGTTTAGGATGGGTCATTCAAAGTATTAAAATCTACGAACCCTATCTCGTCTAATCAATGGTGTTGATAACGCCACAACACCCCCCTCACACATTTGTCTTATGCTAGATCCCCAAGCTATTGTCAAGTCTACCAGCCGGTGTCTAAGGTATATCCTATGTAGCCTATCGCAGCTGTCGACTTACATCAATAACACGGTAATTACATGTTTGTTTTAATCAATTACAGCACGCAAATAAGACTCAAATCGAGTAGGAAGTGCAGCCAACATAGCGGTCCAGTGCAGTGTCACTTACGAATGACTTAACTTACCGCAGGGGTCAAATTGGTTACTTGAAGCTGCTTCGGCCATCTGAGAACTCAAGCAAAGCACCAAATATTCGAAATAAAAATTAAAAAGGTAAAAAAACCCCTTAAAAGTGAGTGTGAAATAGTCAACCCGTAAAGAGTGCAGTGAAAGCGACACTTGTTCGCCGCTACCACGCGGAACGCCCGCCCGGACTTCCGGGATAGCGTCTCATTGGTCGGTCTCGCGGGGTGGCGGGGGGGTGTTGGTGGTGGTGGGAGGGTGTTGGTGGTGAGGGTGTTGGTGGTGTTGGTGGTGGGGGTGTTGGTGGTGGGGGTGTTGGTGGTGGGGGGGGGGTGTTGGTGGTGGGGTGTTGGTGTTGGTGGTGGGGGGGGTGTTGGTGGTGGGGGGGGGTGTTGCTGGTAGTGGGGGGGGGTGTTGGTGGGTGTTGGTGGTGTTGGTGGTGGGGGGGGGGTGATGGGGGGTGTTGGTGGTGGTGGGTATTGCTGGTGGGGGGTGTGTTGGTGGTGGTGAGGGGTGTTGTTGTGGGGGAGTGTTGGTTGTGGTGGTGGGTGCCACAGTCATGCCCTCCCTTCTCGATGCTTGTGAAACGTGGATCCCCTCTAATGGAACATCTGCGCCGGTTAGAGACATTCAGGCTGGCATGCCTACGATGATCCATCCTGGTGATTGTTTTGTTTTAATATAATTTTATTGTATTTCTACATACGTGACTTTACCGAAAAAAAACAGAGTAATTTTATGCAGTCACGAAAGCTTTAATTCTTTATTGATCCATCCTGGGTTTAACCAGCAGGCTGGGTTCTGTGAGGAGCTCGCCCCCACCTCACCAATACCTCGCCATTGGCCACGAAGTGACGGTGACGTCACCACGGCGCCTGTGCCAGGCCAGGTGCACTTTGAGACTTTGGCGTGAAGTGTCGAAGGCTCACTGCTGACAGGAGGAGGTCTCGTGTTTTTGTTGTGGTTGCACCCGATTCAAGAGCCGAATGGCTCACAGGGCTATACCAAAATAAATAAACTGGAAAAAAAAACCCAGCAAGGTGCCGTGGGTTGGCTGACTGAGATGATTGTGGGGGTGCTTGGGTGTGGTGGTGACTGAGATCAGCGGTAGATGCAGCAGCTGTAGCCCCGCCCCCGCTGCTCGCCCCCACCTCTTTAACGCCGAAAGCCGCTCGCTATTGGTGGGTAGAGCGGCGGCGGCGGTGGGGGCTTGGGGGGTGGGGGCTAGGGGGGGCGGAGGCAGCGGCGGCGTGTGGGTGGGGCGATGGCTGGAGGGGGCCGACACCCGAACTCCAATGACAGCCGACGACGATCACGTGGGCGGATTTGTTTACGGAAGTTAAGTTCTCCGTTGCCCCTGGCAACGCGGAAGCGTTCGGCGTCGCACCGGAAGCTGAAAGCGCGTGCGCGGCGGCTGCTCGCTGCTTTATTATCTTATTTTATTATTATATTTTTATTGTTGTGGAAGGGTTTTTTTTTCCCCCCCACAACCCATATGTTGTTTTACTACAGCGATACGTTATTGTCGTTTTGCGGCTGTGCGCTTGCAACCGTACTGTTGTCGCCGGTCGGTATTCTTTTTTTTTAAATTTCTTTTACCGGGGGTGAGGCGTTGAATGCGAGCGCCGTGTTGTGTTTTTGCCCTCCTCGGCGGCCGCGGGACTGCGTCGGGGAAGATGAATCAAAATAAGATGAGGGCTCGCGTGGTGCCCAGCACGGTACGTGGGGGACGAGACGCAACCGAGACACAATGGGACACAACAGCGGTTTGGCAACAACAACCAAAATAGTGCAGCAGCGACAAAGGCAACGACAGATTCGCGAGACTACAGCATAAGGGGCAGCACAAGTCGACACGTCACGTTGGTGACCCCAGGTTACTCTTGCAAATTGGACTATCTCCCACCCTCCGCCCGTCTGTTGAGTTCTCGCTGAATTAAACAAAGAGAATTGGGCATACACGATGAACTAATGGGATACAACACAATGCAGCAGCACGAGGCGATACGAAGCGACACAATGCAACATTAGACACCAGGCTATACAGTGCAGCATGAGGCAGCGCAATGTAACACAATGCAGTACCAAATTACGCAACACTGCAACAACATACGCCGACACAAGGTAACATTCGTTCAGGCAACACAGGGAATCAACATAAGGCAATACTGCACGATACGACAGAAACAGCGCTGCAAGGCGACACAAGGCAAGAAGACTAGGCAAACAAGATGAGGCAATCTAAGGAAAGAGCGCTGGTCAACACATGGCGACAAACTCTAGGCTATTCAACGTAATGAACACGAGGCAGTGCAACATGACGACACACAAGCCAACACAGCACAAAGAGCTACATGACCCAACATTGGGCTACACGGCAACAACACAAGGCAACGGCAACATGAGATGCCGTTGCGTTCAGACGTCGCGTGCTGTACATCCAACATTGCGTTGTATTGTAATACAAAGGACACAACTCGGTGCTACAGAGAGCATAAGGCGATGCCACACGAGTAGCAATAATACTCGGCGACAGAGCACGACATTAGCAAGGCGATACAGACAGCGCAACAGAAACAACGCAAACTGTGGTAATAATGCCGTGGCGTCTGTACACATCCGTCACCTCGACCAATTCTATTCATGGCAATATGTTCAGGAGTTTAAATGCCAATGTCGAGGGGTGCTGGTAGCCACCACCACGAGAGAGAGAGGACTTTCAGGAGAGAGTTCGTGTAGTTTGGGTATTTCTCCGATGAATGAGTGGCTCGCTATTTGGTCGAAATTTTGGGTTGCATGGCCGCAGTCAACACAGATGCGATTTATGGTTACGCCAGTGTGTTCGAGGATTGTCTAAGCCAGTAGGTGCGATGTCTGGATCTCGAATTAGGTGTTTATTCTGCACGTCGGGGTTGCTTCCACTCACTCTGTTCGCCAGCGTTCTTCCGGATCTGGGAGAGATTGTCTATGATGGTCACAGCAGCGCGATCCCAGAAGGGGGAATCGCGGGACGTCTCGAGTCGGCGGCGAGGGGACATTGTTGAGGTCTTGGTTGACGGATAGCTTGTTGTTGGCAATTAAACGTGTAAACTCCATTGCAGTTTGCATATCTCTGCGAGTATTTGGTGGCATAATGCTCGCTAAGAACAAGGCAGAACCGGGGGGGTTGCTGTCAGTTTCAGTGTTCCGGTTATGGTGTACATTGCCTTGTTTGAATTGTTCATCAAGCAGTTTTGTTTTACGAGCTTTTGCTTGCGGTAGTTTAAACTCAACGTGCTGGCGAGTTGTTTTGGGGATCGCTTATTTTGGTGAGCTTGCCCATCGGTGCCTTTGAGCAGGACGGAATGTCGCCAACTACTGCCATCCAAGCTGTGGGGGGCTTTTTTGTCATAGTGTCGTCTCCTTATTCTTGGTTCTTTCGGTAAAGTCACGTACGTAGAAAATAAAAATAATAAAATATAAATTAAAATGTTTATAATTTTTATTAATAAAAAATATATTAAACATTTTAATTTTATTACTTTTATTTTCTATCTACGTGACTTTACCGAAAGAACCAAGAATATGAATTCCTGCAGTCACGAAATTTCTAAGTCAAAATGTGTCGTTCTCTGTTGTGTTTGAGCCACCTCGGTTCCGGAGGAGCTGCCTACGCAGTGCGGCTGAAATGAATTAAGTCCAAGTCTGCATTGACGTCTTCCCAACGTTTTCTGCGTGTAGAATTCACCGACTCCCGGGAGTGTTATGGGTGTCCCTTATCTTGGTCACCAGTTCGGACCTTGTACAATTGGGCCTTGACCCACACGGGCGCCGCTGACTACAGCATCCTCCCTTTCTCAGCCTACCCCACCACTTCAGCTGTAAATCGCCGTCGACTCACGTCGTTTCGATATTCGTCGTACTTTCGGGAACGCGTCCCCCACGTAAACCGGGGTAATACAGTACGATAAATTAACAATGGAATTTGCTGCACTTCCCTCTGCTGCCTCACCAAGATTTGCAGTCTGTACCCTATAACACACGCATTCCAGGTGATTTCGTCTTGTGCGTTGTTTCAAAAAAAGCGACATACCACTGCCTTAATACGTTGCGTGTGTATCAATGTTGCCACCGTTGTAATGGTAGAGTATCCTTTGACGGATTTATATTTTGACACTTTATAAAGCCAATTTTTACAGCATTGCACTCACCACCTCTGTATACACAAGCAGTGCCCAAAGTAAACGTGACATTCATGCCATGTTGGCTGACGTTACAATGACAGCTGCCGCGGGCAAAGTTGCTCATGTTGAGCATTTGGTCGGTGCAGCTGAGACAATACTATTCTCTGTAGTGCAGGAGCATTGCTTTATCTCCTCCACACCCCCCCCCCCCCTCCCCAACAAACACTGTCGACTGTAAACGGTGGAAGAAGCACAATCGATGTTGGAGCTTTACCTGCTTGTGGTCATGTGGCCAAAACAGTAGGGATGTCCACAAAACGAGGATCTGAGTTGGTAGGTCGAGGCTCCTCTGCAATCCACATGTTGTGTTTGCCTCGAACATTTATGGTGACAACATTTTCATCAGCATAATAATGATAAAATATGTAGCCTATAGTCAAGGCCCCCCCACCCCATCCACGATGTATCAGTAATGTGGGTTGCTTGAACATATTTCACTACAGAGCCCAAGAGGCCCAAAAGGTGTATGAAGGGAATTTATTTAGCCTCACATTGTGACATGTATGTATGTTGAGCTTCTTTCACACCGTACGTAGCCAATCGTGCTCATCGGACGTGCTGGGGAACGACAACAAACTAAACGCAAAAAGCAGTTCTAAAAAAAAAAGAGTTTTCAATCAAGATTTAAAAGTGCATAGCTCCAGTGGCTTCGTAATATTGGAAGGAAGAGTGTTCCAGACGGCCGCCAAAGTGCATCTGAAAGTGTGAAATGCAGTGACCGTCATTGTTCTATGGTTAGCTAAAAGCTGTTGCGAGGATGACCGGAGTTTTCCTGATGGGTTATGCTCCTTGATGAGATCAGCAAGGTATAGCGGTTCACTTGCGGCAAGCACTTTGTGTGTAATGAGTGCAACCTTATGTATTTGTTTGGCAACTGGAAGCCAATTCAGCTCAGCGAACACTGGATGGACATGGTCGGACAATGTCGAAAAGGGATACACTGTACTGGTGACTTAAAACAATGGTGAATAAAAACAAATTGTCGTTGTAATATTATATTTTAAAGGGCCACACTTTTGCTTATGTAAGGTATTTGGCACCAAAATAAACAGCCTAGCCGTTAGGCATGTAGTTGCCAGAGAAAATGGAACGGATTGTAAGTTTTCCCATGACACATTGGCTTCTAAATGTATTCCACATTGGCATGCATTTGTTTGAAACTCAAGCTTCGTTGCATTCTACAGCCAGCTTGAAAATTGACCGTACTATAGTTTCATCACCACATTCATCAGATGCACATTGTTGCACATAGCCAATTTTTTGGATATCTATCTGCCCCAAGAGTATGTGTAGCTCTATAGAATTGTACCAGCTTGTCGGATGTTTGATTTGCAACGCTTAACAATGTTGTCTTATCTCTAGGTGAACATCTATGGCCTACAGATAATACCCAAGACCCTTATTAGTGACAGGCTGTCTTCACCAAGTAAACAGCAGGTATATTCACTTTAATGCAGTGCTGTTCAATTTTGAAACATTATAGACATGCATGTGACTGAATACATTTGCAAGTAGTGCTTTCTGGCAATTACAGAAACACTTATAATAATAAAAAAAAAACCTCTTTATACACCTACATTGAGACTTAAGCGTAACATATAATAAACATGTTTAAATGCTGCTCTGAAATAGTCCAAGAAGCACATAGGCTAATGGACCAAAACTATTAATATTTATTTAAAGAGTTCGATACTTTGTTAGTTTATTTCTTTACAGAAATTGTTGGTTATTTTAATATGCTTGAATCAATGTTCAGTGAATTAACACGGTTATTAATGTCTGTTCTGTGGCAGTGTTTAATTGAAGCTATGTATACTGCTTTAAACTTTGCCATGTGGCAATATTTACATTTTATAATTTACATTTGACAATGTAAATTTACAAACAAGTGGCCTGCTATGTTTGCCGTGTTTGATTGTTTTTCCTGGTTACTAAGTGAGCCGTTCATTTCTGTGACAGTCTGAGTACAGGGTAAACAAGGACCAGCAGGCAGGGTCAAAAGTCCCGGAGAGCCAGCTCTTCTACGGCCGATGCGCAACTACAGATGGGCAGCTGCTGATTAGAGAAACCCAGCACCAGCCCTACAAGCTCGGTTAGACACCTGGCATGCCACACTGCCTAGATGGTGCCCATCCCTGGCATGTGACACCGGAGAGCCGCTTGAGGATACTTGATTGTCCCTTGTGTAAAATACGAAGCTCGCATTTCTTGTCGATTTTTTTTACCATCATGTACCGTGTCCTTTCAACAGACGGCCGGTTGTCCCGTGGCAAGGTGCGTGTGCCGGCCACGGCTTTTGTGGCCGACCTGTCGGTACCGGCGCACCACACGTTACTTCACAGGCCCACGGAGGCCCACAGCACCTTTGCCGTGTTTCCTGACAACCGACTGGCCCAGGGCCCGGGCTCCACGTCACGGCACGGTGCACAGCGCGCAGGCTCTGCCAAGGCAAACAGCAGCCAGGCCAGCATGCCCTACTTGCCAGGTTTAAGCCCTTAACGAAATACTACTCCTGCCCAAGTACACCACTTGAACAAAAATATAACAGGGTATAGGCGAACCAAATTATTTTAAATGTTAGGTAATTATGAATAAAATGTGTGCTCTCTAGAAATAAGAAACTGCTTTGTTTTGTGCAATGTTGCAAAAAAAATAATAGGTAAAGCAAACACTCTAGAAGTACTTCTTGTTGCTGTCCAAACAGTAACCTTGTTAGTTTTTTAAAAAGTTGTTCAAGGTATATTGAGATGTTTAAAGTGTTTTCACACTAAATTACAGACATGCTTCCAGTCTACAGCATCTCTCCCCATCACAGGACAAATCGATTTTTGTGAGCAACTTTGCCACAGCCATCAATGAAATATTTTGGGAATACTGCAGGTGCCTCCGAGAGGCTTAGAGCAAACCAAGCTTTTTCGATTTAAAGCTTTCGTGACTGCAAGGATTCATCTTCTTTGGTTCTTTCGGTAAAGTCACGTAGAATGAGAATAAAATAATAAATTGATAAAATAAAATAACACAATAATATTCTCACGACGTTTCGGCCACAACACAAGCGGCCTTCATCAGGTGAAGGGACGAGACTGTCTGGTAGGACAGCGCTGGAGTGAAAAAAAGCCACATTCAGATCACGACCTTTAAGCTGTGTCAGAAGAAACAAAGCGCCTTGACAAAGGAATTAGCATATAATTTAGCATTGAAATGGCCGAGTGATTAGCTTGTGACTGGTCACAGAAATGGCTATGTTAAAGTTAAAGCATACACATCCGCAGAGGCACCCCTTGACAAAGGAATTAGCATAGAATTTAGCATTCAAATAGCTAAGTTAAAGCATACACATCCGCAGAGGCATCCCTAGACAAAGGAATTAGCATAGAATTTAGCATTGAAATAGCTGAGTGATTAGCTTGTAACTGGTCACAGAAATAGCTGTGTTTAAAGTCAGAGCATACACATTCACCGAGGCACCTAGTACAAATCAAACAGGAGAATTTAGCATTGAAATAACTAGGCGAATTTAGCATTGAAATAACTGAGTGATTAGCTAGTGACTGGTCACAGAAATGACTATGTTGAAGTCAAGGTCTACACATCTGAGCTATTCACAGTAACTGGGTATACAATACAATGTATAATGAATACTATATAGTGAACAAATAAAAAACTAAAATATAAATGACCTTAATGTTATCAATAAACTCTATATTCTCCAATAAGCTAAGCTACCAACAATAAGTCATTATATATCACAATGCTATATGGCGAAAAAAATGGGTGGATTCTTACCCTCAACTTTAGCAACACGGATAGCTACGGGCCCCGTTCAGACGGACGAGTTCATCCAAGGTCGGAACAGAGGAGGGGGAGAGAGACAGCTGCGAGGCGCTATTATACTCCATGTTGTAAACCATACCATTAACCGTGGTGTGAGAGGTATTAAGAGTCAATGCTGGTGAAAGAGCTGCAGTCTGAAGGTCATCGTAAAATACAATTAATTAAGAACGGAAATGGTTTAAAACATCTTTCCAATGGTTACTAAGCCAGAATCCATCTTCTCGGTTGAAATTGTCTCTGTGCTTGTATATGTGAATGGCCTCATGAACGAATCTCTCATGGTAGCCGGTTGGTTTGCAAAGAACCTCCGTCTTGGAGAAGTCAATGTCATGTGAGCCCACTGAATTATAACAGTGATCTGCCACGGCAGAGGAGTTCATCCTACCGTGTTTCAAGTCTGCTTTATGTTCACGGATGCGGTCCGAGATATGTCGTTTGGTTTCTCCAATGTAGCTACTACCACAGAGGCACTTTAGTTTGTAAACGCCCGGGTACTGTATGTCTGGAACAGCATCTTTTACAGATGGAACTAGATCACGGATTTTATGTATTGTGTTGAATCGGACCTGGATCCATATACAAGCACAGAGACAATTTCAACCTGGATCCAGGTCCGGACCTGGATCCATATACAAGCACAGAGACAATTTCAACCTGGATCCAGGTCCGATTCAACACAATACATAAAATCCGTGATCTAGTTCCATCTGTAAAAGATGCTGTTCCAGACATACAGTACCCGGGCGTTTACAAACTAAAGTGCCTCTGTGGTAGTAGCTACATTAGAGAAACCAAACGACATATCTCGGACCGCATCCGTGAACATAAAGCAGACTTGAAACACGGTAGGACGAACTCCTCTGCCGTGGCAGATCACTGTTATAATTCAGTGGGCTCACATGACATTGACTTCTCCAAGACGGAGGTGCTTTGCAAACCAACCGGCTACCATGAGAGATTCGTTCATGAGGCCATTCACATATACAAGCACAGAGACAATTTCAACCGAGAAGATGGATTCTGGCTTAGTAACCATTGGAAAGATGTTTTAAACCATTTCCGTTCTTAATTAATTGTATTTTACGATGACCTTCAGACCGCAGCTCTTTCACCAGCATTGACTCTTAATACCTCTCACACCACGGTTAATGGTATGGTTTACAACATGGAGTATAATAGCGCCTCGCAGCTGTCTCTCTCCCCCTCCTCTGTTCCGACCTTGGATGAACTCGTCCGTCTGAACGGGGCCCGTAGCTATCCGTGTTGCTAAAGTTGAGGGTAAGAATCCACCCATTTTTTTCGCCATATAGCATTGTGATATATAATGACTTATTGTTGGTAGCTTAGCTGATTGGAGAATATAGAGTTTATTGATAACATTAAGGTCATTTATATTTTAGTTTTTTATTTGTTCACTATATAGTATTCATTATACATTGTATTGTATACCCAGTTACTGTGAATAGCTCAGATGTGTAGACCTTGACTTCAACATAGCCATTTCTGTGACCAGTCACTAGCCAATCACTCAGTTATTTCAATGCTAAATTCGCCTAGTTATTTCAATGCTAAATTCTCCTGTTTGATTTGTACTAGGTGCCTCGGTGAATGTGTATGCTCTGACTTTAAACATAGCTATTTCTGTGACCAGTTACAAGCTAATCACTCGGCTATTTCAATGCTAAATTCTATGCTAATTCCTTTGTCTAGGGATGCCTCTGCAGATGTGTATGCTTTAACTTTAACATAGCCATTTCTGTGACCAGTCACAAGCTAATCACTCGGCCATTTCAATGCTAAATTATATGCTAATTCCTTAGTCAAGGCGCTTTGTTTCTTCTGACACAGCTTAAAGGTCGTGGTCTGAACGTGGCTTTTTTTCACTCCAGCGCTGTCCTACCAGACAGTCTCATTCCTTCACCTGATGAAGGCCGCTTGTGTTGTGGCCGAAACGTCGTGAGAATATTATTGTGTTATTTTATTTTATCAATTTATTATTTTATTCTCATTCTACGTGACTTTACCGAAAGAACCAAAGAAGATGAAACCAAGCTTTGTGTGTAGTTGCACACTTCAGCACGACTGCATGGGTGATGCTTAATGTGAATTTCCCAGGAGACCGTGTGATCTTCACGGAATCTTCCACCGCGCCTGGAATTCCCATTGTGTACCGGACAGTGGAGGAAAGAGCATACAACCCAGAGAGACTCAACCTTGACAGGTATATCTCTGTACAGGTAATACAACAACATAATTTGCGATTGTTGAGAACATTTATGTATCATAGCACCTTTTTTATTCAGGACAGAATCACATTCTATTTGGGTTTTTTTGCACTATTTATGGTAATAGATTAAACAATTGTAAAACCACGTTTATAAAACAGGTTTCAACCTTGGTATAATGTACTTTGCGGATCAAAAGAGCGGAGGAAAAATTGCTCAAATGAGCATTCGGTGGTGCTATTTTGATCCAGAGTCAGAAGTGGAAATTCTGTATTACTGAGGCAGGGACCAAATCCTCCTAAGTACGTGTGTGTATGTGCGTTGAACGTCTTTCGCATTGTACGTAGCCAACTGTGCTGATTGGAGGTGCTGTAATTCCACCAAGGACAGACAACACTGGCTTCCTGGCAATGTGGGTTTTTTTAAATTACTCGCAGGACACTTTTATTGACAATTGGACCGTGAACTTAGAAGAAGAAAGGACGGAATGTTAACTTGCCCTTTTGAAGGACGCGGATGCCCACGATCCCACACGAATGGTTTAGATGACCACTTTCACTGCCATTGTGAATGTCCCACATGTATTTTTTTATTGAAAACATCTCTGTATGCACATGCAGTGGTTTACCACTGGAAATTAAAACATGTTTTTACGAACACGTCAAACATTTATATTATATGTTTATAAGTACTTTGCATTTGCATGTGAAAAAATATTGTTTTACGTGAAGGTATAATTTATATTCACAGGTATGAAGTCTTACATTTCTAAATTTGTTTTGTTTTATACTACACAACAATTCTAAAGTGGAAAAAAAAAAAACATCGTTTCATGTTTGACATTACATCTTTCATATTTGTGACATTTGTAAGGCCAAGATGATACCTTCAAAAGTTACTTTACATATAAATGGTCTTCCATTAGTTCTAAATAGCAGAGTTTAATAATTTATTAAAGAAATGCTAGATCACGTAGCATTGGAAGTGGTGGCCATCCATTTGTGGTTTATATTTAAACCAATGCACAAGCTGAATGTAACAAAAATAATACATGAGAACAAGAGCTGACTGTGGTTGTTATAGTTGCACTAGTTATAGGGTCGCGCTCATTAGACGCTAAGTGCTTGACACAAATGAACCACACAATACCTTTCTGATCTCATTAAGGAGCATAAAACATGACCTTAACTTTGGTCATCCTCGCCGCGGCTTTTGGCTAGCCATTGAACAGAGACGGTCGCTGCATCGTGTGCTTTCAGATGTGCTTATGCAGACACCTGGAACAGCTTTTTCCGATATTAGGGAGCCACGGGAGCTATACACTTTTATATCATCCAGATTGAAAACGAATTTCCTTAGAACTGCTTTTTGTATTTAGTTTGTTGCCCTTCCCCTGCACCTTCGATTTACACGGTTGGCTACGTACGGTGTGAAAGAGGTTCAACATACATACAAGACAGATCCCCCGTATAGTCAGAACAGACTGTTTGGGCAAGTGCTATTTGCGAGCACCTATGAGGGCCGGCACGGCACACGAGGTGGTGGGTGGCTAACACCATGCACGGCTACCTTTGTCTCCCTAGTGGTGATGTTTACATACTGCACCAAGTACTTATTTGAGGCTGAGTCGACCAAGGGGAGGCCTAGGACCAGTTCATATGATCGCCATGAGTGGAAATTGAACTAGGGTCGCCTGGTTCATAGCGCAGCATGCTAACCGTTACACTACCGCTTCCATACATACAAAAAAAGCTCGACCGTATAGTCTTAACAGACTGTAGGGGCAAGTGCTGTTAGCGAGTACCTATGAAAGCCGGAACAGTACACCAGGGGGTGGGTGGCCAGCACCACGCCCAACCGCCTTTGTCTCCCCAGTATGTTTACACACCGCACCAGGTACTCATGTGAGGCCGAGTCGACCTCGGAGAGGCCCAGGACCGATTCAGATAATCGTCACTGGTGTTGGCCATGAGCGGAAATCGAATCCGGGTCGCCGGGTTCATAGCGCAGTGCGCTAACAGCTGCACTACCGCTCCCCACACACACACACACACGTACTCATACATACATTATGCTGCTCTGTTTTATTGCCATGTGCTCGTTCCTCCTAGCCGTGGGATGACCATGTGCCCCATCCTGGATGGCGAGGAGGACCTGCGGCTGCTCAGCCTGCAGCACAACCTCATCCGCCGAGCGCAGCACCTGTCCCACCTCCGCCGCCTTGTCTTCCTCGACCTGTACGCTAACGAGCTGGAGGAGATCTCGGGGCTCTACAACCTTCGCTCGCTGCGGGTGCTCATGCTCGGCAAAAACAGGTAGCCTCCCCATGGTTGCCCTGTTGAGAGATCCAACGTCGACACCTTATGTCACGACTCCAAAAGTTTAAGCATGCATGTAAAAAGATGACGTGTAATGCAAATGGCATAATAAGACAAAGCCAACTTTGTGCACCCTCAAGTCAAGTCAAAGTATATTTCTGCACAAATGAGCAATGGTATGGCACTGCAACGTAATCCGGAGGATGAGAGGCAACATTCACAGCAAGCTATGTTATTAAACTTACGACACTGATTAGGAGTCGCACAAGCAAATGACGGCATCACCCAGCTGGATAGTCTTTATGCTTTGCGCTTGTAACTCGGTGTGATTGTGACACCCTTTTATCCAGTAACATTGAGATTGACCTGGACACGTGCCTCGATGCTTGTGACGGATGATTTCTGACAGGCGAGAAAGACCAGCAAAGGGATGAAAATGTGACCCAGTAAAGTTAAATAGAATAGAGAACAGGCCAGACAAAGGTCACTGTATGGCAATCGCTGTGAATGTGAATGCGTGCACAATATAGAATGCAACCTACAGATTTTAACTTCGTAATAATGCCAATTATGCGTCCATAAATTCCTCGAGACTTTTGAACCTTTTTCAGAATTTTTCGATTTAAACCTTTCGTGACTGCAGGGATTCATCTTCTTGGTTATTTCGGTAAAGTCACGTAGAATGGGAATAAAATAATAAAAAAACATAATAATATAATATCTTTATTATTTTATTTCCATTCTACGTGACTTTACCGAAAGAACCAAGAAGACTTTTTCAGAATGTTTGGCCAATACCATGAATGAGTGTATTCATGGTATCCTACAGCTCCATGCATGCATCACCCGGCACACTCTGGTGGTCAACCATCCAAGTACTAACAATGCTTAGTTCTGCTTAGCTTCAGAGATATGTCAAGATCGGGCACATTCATGGTACATTTTTGGTCAAGCAAGTTAATGGTGAGAAAACACTTTTTGCCACTAGGGGGAAGCCTTTGTCCATTCATGGACTATATATGTACATATACTTTTTTAGACATCGTTCTTCAATATCGGAACTTTTTTTAATAATAATCGATATGACGACAATTGTCTCAACAGATTCCCATTATGTCGAAATTGAAAATGTATTTCAAAGAAACCGAGAGTCTTTGATTGCAATGTGGTACGTTCAAGGCATTTTCCGTGTATCGTATACCCACCAGTAGATGACTAACAGATGCCTGTCAAATGTGTCATTTCCATAGCGCTTTTGACCTTATGTTTAGGTGTGCTGAAAGTAAGGCCGTGCATTGTATGCGAGGGTTACTGTGTTTGTCCGTGTGAGCATGCATGCATGCATGTGTGCACATGCTGACTTCCCGGAGGACTGGAGCAAGGGAGCGTCATGCAATATGCTGATAATTGTATGGCTGTGGAACCATATCCTGTGCAATTCACAAAGGAAACCTGTGGTTTGCCTTGAAGTTAATCTTGGCCCGAACTGATGTGCATTTTTAATAAAAGTAATGTAAAAAAATATTTATTGGGTTAATGCAGTAATTTTTTAACTATGCAGCATTAGTTCTATGCATGGTATTTATTAAATTATTGTTCGTGCACTAAAGATACGTTGCTTTTTAGAATGAATTAATCCGCAAATGTGTTGCCACTGTTAGTAGATATGAAATGTACACTGCAGCACCATGATTAAGTTTTATTAGCTGTAGCCACTCAGCATCTGTAATGATAGTCCTAAAATGTTAACTACAGCAAACCTAAAAAAAAGATTTGTATCCTCTGGGATTTGAGTTGAATGTACAACAGCCATGATAGAGTAGAGCTTCACAGCATGAAACTATTCATATATATAAAACAGCAGGTAGTGTTGATAGCTTAATTATCCTTAAAGACTGCTATTAAAATAGTATTGATTGTAAAAAAAAAAACATACTCCATATGGTTTTAAATGCTTTGAAGGTCTGTCGCAAAGGGTAATTTTCGCATGAGAAAGATTTAAGAAGTGGTCACTTGTAGCTCACCCCCTCTTGGTTTTGGGGACCATTGTGCGGAACATCTTGCACAGAGGATGTTGTTGAGCTCATTGCACCTGTTCTAAAAACTGTCCCGTGGCATGCACTGGAGGAGATTACAGAAGCTGATTTATGTTTCTGGAGATGTTCATTCTGGAATGTTCTGTGTGGGGCATGCCAGAAATCACCGGCCACGTTCTCCCCCGTGGCCCTAGAGCTTGCATCTACCATGTCCAAAGCAGCTCTTCTTGTTGGTCTCCTTTACTGAAAAGTTGTCATCTTTCGCATCAATGCAATTTTGGGACTGGGACTTTGTGCCAGGAGCTGTATGAGTGACAGCTCCAATAACCGTTTCTTCTTGGCATCAATACAACTCTTTATTAAGTGATATAATTAAATACTGTGGTGGAAGCAACTTTTAAATTATGAGTGACCAGTGTGTGAACCTTATAGACATTATCCCAATGCAGTGCAGTGTGAGCAATGTGGAATCTTGCCAAGCCACATTGGGTAAAAAAAATTCTGTCCAATTCATCATTTTATTTGAGAAGTATATGACCCCGCTTGTGTTGTATTTCACTACATTTTTTTCACCTATCTCAATAATTGCATTGCACAAAATAGTTGTTTTGCTCCAATCACAAGACACATTTTCTGAACACTACCCAATGCGTCTGTCTTGGCTATATGTTTCTAATTATTACGATCTCACATTCCACGTGGTAAAAGTGTCTATGCTAGTGAATTGATCAATAACTACAAAGAGTGGCTCGCATTGTGTAATGCATCTTGTAGCATTTACATGGCACTGAAGACAGTTTTGGTAATTGCTTATTTCATTTTGAAAAAAAAAAAACTTCCTCTTGCAGATGTGATTGATTGACTAGCACTTGCAGCTTGTGATAACACTGACGAGAGCAGTGGTCAAGTGTGTTCATTGCTTGAGCACGAAGCAAATTCCCAGCCCAAATCACAAACTTGTTTACATATAATATGCTATGTTGTGTTTTGCATAAGCAAATGCTGCTGAAATGCTGATGTATGCGCGACAGAGGGTTATTGCAGCTGGATCAGATTAATTGTTTAAAGGTCATTCAAAATAACTACATGATATATTAAATCAGGTGAGAGCCTTTTCAGACTAATTTCCCTTTGCCAGAGGAGTCTGGCTTACAGCATTTTGGTAGGGGTTTTTATTTTTTATGTACTTAATTTGTTATTTTCACGTTTGGTATTTTGGCTAGAGCACAGGCGCCCGGTAAATGTGTTGTTCTCTTTGCATTATGTTACATTGCCAATTCGTAAAGTAAACAAGTAACTAAATTCCCATGTGCTTATTTCTCGACACATAATATTTTCAAAGCATTTGAAAACGTGTGCGTGTGTATAAACTGCAGTGGGGTATAACGTTCCCCTGCTCTATTAAGTACAACACATGCCCGTACAAACCCTCGCTATGCTGCATGGCAAGTGAATACTGATCACTCAGGTATGCTGGGTTAATTCCAGCAGGGTCCGAGCCAAGCACCAGGAAACTGATTGTGCGCTATTGTGCTAAAAGTAACTTTATATTTCCTATGGTTAAGATAACTCTCAACTATGCACAATTGGCAGTTGCAGGCCCACCTTTGCCTTGTTAATGAAATAGAACACAACTTATAATGTACGACACCAATGAACAAACTTAGTGTAACGACGTGTGGCACTAAAGACCTTTAGCTTTGTACATTGCTGTTACTGAATGGTTGAGAGTTGATATAATCAATTGTGTAAAGCAGCCCCCCGCCACTGACGGCAAACTGCAGACGCGATAAAATGACGTAAAAAAATACTCAAGTTGAAACACGATACACAACACTGCATAACACATTTCCATGGCACGTCAGCACCTTACTGTGTGTGTCCAACAGTTGTGGGATAACATTCGCTAAAATGGCTTTGGGACACTCTCTGCATTGTTTTCTCACGTGGTCTCGTGGCTTGCACATGTTTCAAGTTTCATTGATTAGGTATAGCCCTGTGAGCCATGCGGCTTTTAAGTCGGGTGCAACCACAACAAACAAAATATGAATCTACATTGCAGAAAACTATTACACCACAACCAGACCAAAATAAAGCTACAAAAGCAATGTAACGACATCATGGAGCCAATGCACAGCCATTTACCGAAATGTCATCTTCCTGCTTTGAGTTCTGCTCACAAGAGTGAAGCCTGGCACGCTGCCTTGGTCGTTAGGTAGCCTTTCTGTGTCATTCGCAAAAAGCTTCAATAATAAACCTTTTCATACACAGATACTGAACAGATGTTAAATTATTCAAAGCCATTTTTGTCGATTTTAATGAGGAAAGTGTGTGTGCCTTGCCTTTCTTTTTTATTTCTGTTCAGATGACATTGGTTTCATTCTGCTCTGTTAAATATACAATCAAAGCTTTACTATAGAGTGCCTCAAGATTATTGTAATGAAATTCAGAAAGAATATCATATGATGATGCTTTTTTGTTTGTCTTTGTTTTGAAATAACATGAAATATCACTGTGTAATACACACCAGTTGTATGTTGAACTTTTTTCGCACCGTACATAGCCGACCGTGCTAATCGGAGATGCGGAGGAAGGACAACTAAACACAAAAAGCAGTTCTAAAGAAATTAGTTTTCAAATACGTGACTCGGCTCAGTGTCCTTCGCTGTCTGATGTGCAGTTGAAGCGTTCTTAATAAAAAGGAAACTTTAAAGTTACCATCAAGCTGATCGTTGCGGCTCCCACGTGACAGCAGTGTGATGTCAGTCCCACATGGTTTACATCAATGCGGTAGCCTCACTAGAGGTTTATGATGGAGCTTCTCATTATAATTAAGAAAGCTTTAAATTGATGTTGGATAGGACAGACCAGTCTCGGAATGTCTGTATGGTAAGAGCTATTTTTGTGGCTGTCTTCATTTAACAGTTAAGTATCAATACTGTACTGGAGTGTATTAAGATTATAATAATAGGGTTCAGAGCCTAGAGACTGTATTTAAGATTGTATCGTTTGTGGTGGGTTGAATCTCAAGCTCATGGTCATAACTTTTTAAATTGAACTGATGTCTGCCTGCCTTATATGTCATTAAAATGACCTGGCATTTTAATTGAGACATTACTGCAGCAACATCAAACACGACCAAAGATCTTTATTATTTTTTTGTAGACGAGCTGGTTATAAATTAATATTTGTGTCTTGGTGTTTTATGTTGAGATAAATCACATTTTATGGGCTCTGCAGGGATGTCCATCGTGGAGATTACATCCTTAGCTCATGCCTGGGGCAGGTGTGTCAGAAAGCACTGGCCAGTTTAGCGACTGGCCCGACATGTTTCCAGCTTCAGCCCACGTTTAAGCAGCTGTACAGTGTCTGTTGGTAATGACTTAACGTGACCAGACAGCTGGCCTCTCCAAAGCTTATAGAGTTTTTTGCTCGCTCATTCCTAGTTGAAGAGCAACTGGGACTGAATGTGGAATGTACGATTTGGCGTCTGCGCAATATTGGCAAAACATTATACGGGGTTAATTTCATCATATCCTTACCAGACCTTAACAAAAAATTAAAAAAAATCTAAAAATGTTGTTTTAAATGATGTCCATAAAAGAGGCCACAAGTCACTGCATATTTTTCTGCACAGACATTTATGAGGACTTAAGAAAAGATACTGGGTATGCCGTTTAATGCTGAGCTGCGGTCTTTTTGCCTCCTCATCCTTTCAATGGCCTGGCATTTTAATTGAGAAATAAATGCATCGGAGAAAAAAATATTACCCATTCCCTCCACCCCAACCCCCCCCCCCCCCAATCGTATTTTGCCTGAGTAGTTCCATTGCAAACAGACAAGTACACTAGCCATCGTAAAATTACCCCTTTTAATGTGGCCGCCCGTCCAAATGAATAGACAACATTGCTGGTCATGCATTAATAATGCCGTTGACAAGCTTAAGTCAGTTTTATAATTACAAAGATAAGTGGGCCTCCTGTTCTCGAGCAGGGGAATTAGCTGTGTGATGTGTTTTGACATGCTAGGAGGTAGCATGTGAAAGCTTTGGGGTCTTGCATATCATCCAGAGGCCATTGCCTTTTAATGGCCCTCTTCTGACTTCCAAAAAAAACCACAACAATCTTTTATTACAACCTATTTGACATTGCAGCTATGTTTTAATCTGCAATCAAAGTCAAAGTTGTAAGGCAGTAGTAATACAGATGTTTTTTGAAGATGTAAAAAAAAATACAGCACTTGCACTGTGTTACAAGTAAATCTTAATTAATATGATTATAAGACTTTGTCCATGTGAACTGAACACTTTATTTTCCTGTATTAAGTAAAAGCACTTGGTCATTATGATAACTGAGAAGAGTCTTAAAACACTTGCTTAAACACCAGTCTCTTAAATAACAAGTTAGGGATATATTGCTCACATATCGTACCGGATTAATATATCATCGGGGTTCAGCAGTCGTATGTTTTGACATGATGCTGTGAACATAATGCAGGAACTCTCACATGTCACTCTTTCAATGCACTTATATAAATGATGTGTAAAGATAGACATCATTTTTTATTTATATTTTCTCTGGTATTTGGTCTGCAAAACGTTATCCCTGCCCCTTCTGAACAACAGTAGATCGTCGTTTTTATATTAATTTAATCATCTTCTGCCCTGCTTGCCTTTCAGGATCCGAAAGATCACAAGCTTGGAGAGCCTCACCAAGTTGGACGTCTTAGACCTGCATGGCAACCAGGTGAGTGGACAGAGGGGAAAGGAAAAACACAGCAGGCATGGCTCACATTCAGACGTCTTTAAGGACGGGGCATTTGAATTTACTCTGACGATTGATATTCCCTCTCATTGGCATCGGTGGGAAAGTTCTGTTCATTCTTTGCAGCTAAAATGGGAATTATGCGATGGGAATGTTTTAATGATTGAAGACATTAACCTAATACAGATTACTGCTGCCTTAATAACACTGGATTTTCCCAGTGGCTTTGTACAAAGATGTCATTTAATTAAGCGGATCGTGTGAAGCGTCCTCTTTACCAGGAGCAGTGTCTGTGTGCCACATAAGTCACAACCCTCTGATCGCAATGGGAAGCATTTAATTAGAGCTTTGACCGCATGCAGAGGATAGCTTTGAGACTTTTACCGGCTTCAGAAATGGGGTCTGCAAGGCATTCCAGTTCTGAATGGTTGTGGATGCTAATCCAAGTTCTTTCAAAGATGCCTTCTATCATTGTAAAAAAATTTGGGCGGGGGGTCCTCACAAGAAAAGGATAATCCCGTGCCATTCTCTCTCCGGATTACGTGACGGTGTTCTCCACATCTTTCTCAATGCTGAATAGTAGGCGATTATGCCGGCGGATTTAGGGAAGCGTATGCTCCGTTTGACACATTTATTGCACCCATTTTAATCGCCGCTATAAAGTGGTGGAAGCCGGTGACTCATGCTTTGCCAAATTGGGATCATTCCATGTTAGAGAGTATCTGCAAGGAACGTTCATTTACCAATTCCACATTTTAGTTGTATAAAACTTTCAGCGGGAAATGGGAATGCAATGCTTTTGAGATATGCAGAAGCTAGGGTATAGTCTATAATACGCCTAATACTGCAGTTTGCTATTTTACTTCACTTTTCCTTTGAATACGTAAATTATGTATGTTATAGTTGCTCTATAGTACTTTAAGATCAATGGCTAGTTGGATCAATAGAAATAAATATACCCACGTTAATGAACTTCACGTAGGCATATACTCTGTCGTGTTTATTTTTTCAAACCTCTGTAAATTTTTCAAACCTCTGTTTATTTTTTTCAAACCTCGTATCTTCACTTTAACATAGATAATGCACATTGGTAATAGCCTTTAAAACAGAATACTGTAAATACACTTGATATGACCTTTCACATAGGAAAGCTGCAACCATTTATTTGGTGTGTTGGTTCAATTTACTTTAGTTGAAATGCATTAAAGAGCAGCCTTCACTCCCATACATATTTTTGTTTTATTCTATTCGACATTTGGTCCCTCTCCATTGTAGCTGCATTCGGATTGAAGTCCTGCCAGCCTCGAGCAGATGTTGGAGTGTTTGATGTCGTTCGTCTGTCCAATAATAACTGTTTTGACATCAATGAGGAAAAACTGCAAGTGGTCTCACTCGAAGTAATGCCTGTGTCCCATGATAACACTAAGGCAGGAGTCAGTCGTGGCACTATCAATACAGCTAATTAAGATTACAATTTGACTTAATCTTGGCTTTTGATATGAGATTACGTTCTCAGTTCCACGCATGGGCAAGACTCTGTCTTGTACAATACAACACACTTTTAATTCATATTGCATCTTGATGCAACCACATTTGAAGACACTTTACAAGAACATGTAGGCATATTTATTTTACAGAGAGGCAGTCCATCATAGGCCAAAGCAAATTGTAATATTTTGAACCAAGACTTGATTCAGAGGCTGGGAGTTGACAGTACAGATGGCATGCAGAAGTGAATTCCATATCATGGGGGCATCGGAGGAGAATGAGTGACCTCCCACTGAGCATAAGTTGACTGAGTGCTTCGACAGAAATCTAGTTGGCTGGTGTAAGAATGCAGCTTTTCTAAGCATGTTCGAATACTGATTTTATCTGATCAATTTGCAAACTCTATATCAGCTTTACATTTGCAAAACCAATTTAACAGTATGGTGTACAAGTTTGAAATGATTTTGCAACTGCTTCCAAAGGAGGTTTTGTTTTCATTAGCTCTATTTTTGGATACTTTACCTTTTTTGTAATGCACTTTGGCATTTCTACATGTGTTGCTAAAAATAACAATCAGACATTGTGTTGGCATTGAAGCAACATTTGCTATAATTTGGCTCTAAGGAAATAACTTTGTAACAAAATAAAACTTTAAAAGAAGCACTTTAATTCAGGCTACAGTCATGGTCTATGCAGTTATTACCACACATGTGTGCACCATGAATAATACTTTATGGAGTTTATAAAAACGTTTAAAAGAGCTTTTACAATTTACGATGTTAACTGTAAAACTGTAAATCTTGTTAAAAGAAAACTATGTTTCTAGATTTTCTCCTTTGCATTGATGTTTATAATTGTGACCAAATGTTTCTCCTCCAAACTAAACAATAACTGTAGCAACCGTGGGACATTTGCAGAGCCTGTGCTGCAACGGCAGTTAGCATGGATGACGATTCCTCACGATTTACACTTCACCCTTGGAGAGTTGAACTTGAACCCCCTGTCGACACCTGCTTCAGTCACGCGCCTTGCAATGGGGCCACGCATGGGACACCACTCACTCTCTGTCCCTCTGTGCATCTGTCTCTGTTAGGCTCTGGTTTTCTCTCATTTTCCATATCTGTGTGTGTCTCTCCTAGTCTGTGTATGTTATCGCTCTTTTGTCGTTGCGTTTGTCTGCGTCTGTCTTTTTTTTCTAATCTCTGTCACTACATTGTCCTTCACCCAGTGGTGTCTTCACACTACGTGCTTTGCTGAAAGCGAGCTGTTTGCCCTTCTCGACCCTGTGGTGATGTTTAACTCTCTGCGGTTGCTGTTAAAGGCGAGAACCAGATCCAGACGTACAGTGAGGGGAAAAAAGTATTTGATCCCCTGCTGATTTTGTACGTTTACCCACTGACAAAGAAATTATCAGTCTATAATTTTAATGGTAGGTTTATTTGAACAGTGAGAGACAGAATAACAACAAAAAATCCAGAAAAACGCACGTCAAAAATGTTATAAATTGATTTATAGCATTTTATACAGGTAACGAGCTGAGATTAGGAGCACACTCTTAAAGGGAGTGCTCCTAATCTCAGCTTGTTACCTGTATAAAAGACACCTGTCCACAGAAGCAATCAATCAGATTCCAAACTCTCTACCATGGCCAAGACCAAAGAGCTCTCCAAGGATGTCAGGGACAAGATTGTAGACACAAGGCTGGAATGGGCTACAAGACCATTGCCAAGCAGCTTGGTGAGAAAGTGACAACAGTTGGTGCGATTATTCGCAAATGGAAGAAACACAAAAGAACTGTCAATCTCGCTCGGCCTGGGGCTCCATGCAAGATCTTACCTCGTGGAGTTGCAATGATCATGAGAACGGTGAGGAATCAGCCCAGAACTACACGGAAGGATCTTGTCAATGATCTCAAGGCAGCTGGGACCATAGTCACCAAGAAAACAATTGGTAACACACTACGCCATGAAGGACTGAAATCCTGCAGCGCCCGCAAGGTCCCCCTGCTCAAGAAAGCGCATATACATGCCCGTCTGAAGTTTGTCAATGAACATCTGAATGATTCAGAGGACAACTGGGTGAAAGTGTTGTGCAGCGCCCGCAAGGTCCCCCTGCTCAAGAAAGCACATATACATGCCCGTCTGAAGTTTGCCAATGAACATCTGAATGATTCAGAGGACAAATGGGTGAAAGTGTTGTGGTCAGATGAGACCAAAATGGAGCTCTCTGGCATCAACTCAACTCGCCGTGTTTGGAGGAGGAGGAATGCTGCCTATGACCCCAAGAACACCATCCCCACCATCAAATATGGAGGTGGAAACATGCTTTGGGGGTGTTTTTCTGCTAAGGGGACAGGACAACTTCACCGCATTAAAGGGACGATGGACGGGGCCATGTACCGTCAAATCTTGGGTGAGAACCTCCTTCCCTCAGCCAGGGCATTGAAAATGGGTCGTGGATGGGTATTTCAGCATGACAGTGACCCAAAATACACGGCCAATGCAACAAAGGAGTGGCTCAAGAAGAAGCACATTAAGGTCCTGGAGTGGCCTAGCCAGTCTCCCGACCTTAATCCCATAGAAAATCTGTGGAGGGAGCTGAAGGTTCGAGTTGCCAAACGTCAGCCTCAAAACCTTAATGACCTGTGAAGATCTGCAAAGAGGAGTGGGACAAAATCCCTCCTGAGATGTGTGCAAACCTGGTGGCCAACTACAAGAAACGTCTGATCCCTGTGATTGCCAACAAGGGTTTGCCACCAAGTACTAAGTCATGTTTTGCAGAGGGGTCAAATACTTATTTCCCTCATTAAAATGCAAATCAATTCATAACATTTGTGACATGAATTTTTCTGGATTTTTTTGTTATTCTGTCTCTCACTGTTCAAATAACCTGCCATTAAAATTATAGACTGATCATTTATTTGTCAGTGGGCAAACGTACAAAATCAGCAGGGGATCAAATACTTTTTTCCCTCACTGTATGGGCCCTGACGTGGCGCCATGGCTAAGTTGTGTTGCTGTAAATTTCACGTGGATTAAAGCAGTTGGTTGAGCTGTTTAAATCGTGCATGGCATTTTTTGTTATTGTTAAGATGGCCCAATTGGACCATTGTCATTTTTTAAATGGGATAAACAACTGTTTAGTTTTAGTCATGCCATTAAGAAAAATTATAAATACAACAATACCATAACATGATATATTCAGTATATGCGTAATTGCATATGTGCATAAACTTGTATTTATTTTAGCTGCAGGCTGGTTTAAAATTACGTGATTGAGCAATTTTTTTTAAGTATAGTATTTTGGCCTTCGTCAGCTAATGACCTGAACAAAACGCCCATTATAAATGCGTTCATTTGTCTGCATTACAAAGAAAGCGTTAGTGCAGTGCAGTTGGAGTTGTACATGGTTTATTGAGAGTGGCTGTCCTACAATTTCCGTGCCTTAAATCCTGTTTGTCATGCCGTACAAACCCTGTGGTTCGCCTCTGGCCACACATGCAGAGTGCCACAACGTTCATTCTCACAACCAGTAAAAAAAAATACCCCACATGCCTACAGCATCCTTTGTGGCTGACTTTCCCCCAAAAAGGCCACTGTGTTCATACCTGCACACCTGTTCTGTGTGTTTAATGTCATGTAAGCCGTGGCCCTGCCTGTCTTTTTTCACACTTGTACAAGAAACTGACTGCTGAGCAGCTGCTCCGGATGTGGTCCCTTCATGTCGTGGACTGATTGGGTGTCCGAGCAAGATTCCAAAATGTCACCACACTGTGAAGCTCTGCAGGAATAGATAAAAGTTATTTAATATAACTACATGATTTCTGGCACTCGATTCAATATTCATCAAATATAACTTATTCAAAATGGGTGCCTTATTCAACATAGTCTCCGAAGTGTGGAAATGTCATTAAAATCTGGCTTTGCCTAACATGTGTTGATGCCAATTCTGAACCTTGTCCATTGAATTACAAAAATGTAATAATTGTTCATGTGTAGACAGTGCAGGTAGGTGTATCGTGAACTTTAGATATCTTAGACCGAGAGGGCATATGAGAGATGTTTATAAAAGTAGATTTTTTTTTAATGTGTTCCTTCTTTGAGTAGCATGTTGGTGATGATGGTCGTGGTTTATTCTGTGCCCAGATTGTGCGAATAGAGAATCTGAGCCACCTGTCGGAGCTGCGGGTGTTGAACCTGGCAGGGAACCAGATAACGCACGTGGACAGCCTACGGGGGCTGCACTCTCTGGCTGAGCTCAACCTCCGCCGTAACAACATCTCCAGCATGGTGAGGCTGACCTGACCCCCACTCCACCTTAAGCTCAGGACTACCTGAGTTTGAACAAAGCCGTGGAACAAAGATGGTCACTGCATCGTGCGCTTTCATGTTCGCACCTGCGGCCGTCTGGAACACTCTTCCTTCCAATGTTAGGGATTCACTGGAGCTGTGCACTTTTAAATGTAGATTGAAAACTAATTTTTGTAGAACTGCTTTTTTTGCTTAGTTTGTTGTCCTTCCCCCCGCACCTCCGTTTAGCATGGTTGGCTACGTACGGTGCGAAAGAAGTTCAACATACATTATTTGACCTGTCATGCTTGTTTTTTTTATCTGACATACGTCCAAATGGGTATTTCTACTGACGGTGTGCACTCTGTTGTGTGCAGTACAACATTGTATTGTACTTCCATGCTCCCAAATCTACACTTATTGCTTTCACCAAACTGCACCACTGACCAGCATAGTGAAAAATGGACAAGCAACCTCCACGACCTTCACAGTGTGGGAAAGCTCTCATCTAGCAGTAAATTGACCAATTTGGCATGTGGACACGCTCATCCAGCAGTCGATTGACTAAGGTCTGTGCACGTACACATATGGTACATACATATTAAAGGATTTCATGACCTTTTGGTGATGACCTTGGCATACATCATTGTGATATTGATGAAATAGATACGTTTTTTGGGGCTGGCATGAGAGTAACATAAAGTATCAATATCTGACATACACATTTTTAATAAACATGTTAATGTACTGCTGAACCTTAATCTTGTTTGTCCATTATGAAACCCAAGAGCTGCCATAGAACATCAAACTGAGAACACACATGAAGCAAAGATCAGAATGTAGATTTTTGATTTCGTGTGCATACCATGTGTCCTGCCATGTGTTGCACTTGCAGTGGCAGACGTACATTTTTTCCGCTGCAAATTTTATTTTCATCTGTGCCCACGACATGACCAAACCAATAAACTCTTCTGTAACGCGTTCAAAGGATTGGACTTGACACGTCTTACGCCGTTCATCAGCATATAGACATTTCTATTATGCTAGAGTCTTATTTTGATGATGGCACATTTCTGGGACCTGCATCTAGAAGAGGCCCTTCCAGAGTAAAAAACGAAACAAGCTTAACGTTATGAGACCTCCTTTGCCAGAAACAAGATATAGGAATAGGTTTTACCCTTTTAACTGGCACAAAAAATGACACCTTTATTCAAGGCATCATGTTTACAATGACCACAACACAAGCAGTCAAAATGCAAACAAAAGAAAAGACAACTCTGATAATAAGGACAGTGCATATTATTATCAGAGTTGTCTTTTTTTTGCATGTGACAATGTTTTTTGGCCCTCGCCATCGTGTCAAGAGTGCATATTGGTGGGAACCTTATTACGCTCTCTGTTATGCAATATGTCTACGTGCGTTTTTCAAAAGCATATGTCGCTTTTCTGAGAGGAACAGAATGTGATTATGTCGTAACAGTTTAGGCGTGCGTGGCCTCCGCTCCTTCATAGTTTCTTTGCCTGGGCTCCTACCGAAATGAAAATTTCATGCATACTTAAAAAAAACCTTCTCCCCCCCCCCTTGTTTTATGCAATGCCAATCTCAATAAGTGCCACGGTGGAATTACTTTGAAACATCTTCCGCCATTCTGCTTTTTTCCGTCACGTAATTGTCCGCGGGCTCCTGCATTGTGTAGTAATAACGTTGAAAGTGTAATTATGCATGATAGACGTAAGCATTGCAACGGATAATGCATTTCTGTACGCTACGCGATCCGTGAGTTAAGCTGCTATAAGCAACGTCCTCGTAACATGTAGCCGCAATTCTTACGTATGTGAAAAAACACTCAAAGAAGATCGGCTCGTGGCTCATATAAGAGCTGATTGCCCACGCGTGCCGATCTTCAAAGTGTCACCTTGCAATGTTCTATTCGATGCAGCTCCTGTTCATTTCCTTCTGCATTAGCAAATACTTTTTCAGTTCATATCATGTTTCTCCTCCAGAGGGGACAGTGCGGGTGACCCAAGGTATAGGGTAAAGTGATGTCGGCATCTGCTTTTAGAAAAGTCAATACATCGTCTGGCTGTCGCGGGCGATTAGCAAATGATCTTCTGACGTTCGGACGCCTGGGTGCGGCGATGCAACGTACAAATCGGTTTATCTGTTCTGTAATCCTAAAAGGGCATAAACGTAATGATTTTCCTTTTAAATGTATTTGATTTCCATTTATTTATTTAACGATCTATTTTTTTATGTACAATTACTTATTTAAGAACTGAAGCGAGTACATCGTCTGTACAGTGTGCTCAGCAGCGTGGGGGTTCTGTCAGAGCGGTTTACGTGAGTACGGAATGGACAGGGCCACCCTGCTATGCCCTTTCTCTTCTGGGCTGAAACGAAGTGTGCGTGCGCCTATCTGTGAGTCAATTTTGGTTGTTGATTTAAATTACGCGTAAACCGGAAATAATAAAAGTAGGGTGAGCTTCTCCCCCAATGCCACGAGCATTTTGGCGGGGCCCCTGTTGTGATGTGAACGCTACGTTTATGGCTCCATCAGAAGGCCTGATGTCAGCATGTGCTGTGGGGAGAGAGTTACCTTCACCAGCAGCTGGTCACGTGGTGGCCTTTGAGAGCCAGGGCTTTATTGAATTAGCTGGGCGCAGCGTGGGATTGCCCCGGGCCATGCCGAGCATGCAGAAAGCCGTACCCCAGAGCACACGTGGTTCCTAATAACCAGAAAGAGGTGTGCCTCTCACATCCCTACTGCACGAGTCACGTAGTGCTTCACGTCTCATCGTCTGTCCGTTATCTGTCTTTTTTTTTACTTTGTCTCGTTTGGTGCCTGTCCCGCTCTGTCTCTGCTCCACCTACCCATTTCTCTGCTGTTTTGTGTCCTGTGTGTGTGTGTGTACCCACAGAAGGAGGTGGACTGTCTGCCATCTCTGCAGCGTCTCTTTCTGAGCTACAACAACATTGCAAAGTAAGTCTTCATAAGATTATTTTTAAGTGTCGCCTATGACACACAAGTATATGTTCATTCTATATATGTTTTAAATTTTTGCAGGAATGATAAATAATTATCTGGTTGCACATTAATAATGTATGAATGCTCACAAACCATGTCTAGAAACTGTAACTCTGGATATATTTTGTAAAGCTACGATTTATGAATGCAAAAATAATCTTGAAAGGTGATACACATTTTAAAAAGCCACCATTGTCAGAGCATCACAAAGTTTCACATATTCTCCGGGAGTACTATCAGACTCCAACAGTTGGAAGTTACATTTGTAAAAATGGGATATAAATGAAAGTCAGGATTTGTGATGTTTCATCTCCGTACGGTGAGTGTGCAGAGAAGAGGAGGCCCAAGGCAGCTTCCACTGAGTAAATTGTGGGAGTGCGGAATTTTTTTTTGCTTTCAAAGCAGCCCACAGATTTGATATATTTATAATGAAATAGAATAGAGCTGATACAGTAATGGCTATGTTGGTAACTTGCCAAGAAGCTAGTGGGTAGAGTTTTATGACCATCGTGATTATAAATGGGACTCATGTACTGTCCTTATGATATAGTCTGTACATAGCTTTTCCTTCTCAATTATAATATGCGAAAAGAGCTATTACATGATTTGTTAAATGCTTATTATAAAACGTGGCATCATATATTTACTGCACAACCCCTCTCTAACATGAAATGTACGTACAATTCACAGCATGTTAAGCCCCATTCCGTATTGGTGGTCATTTGGCAATACTTTGCAAACCTGGGAATTAAGGGTGAGTGAAATTGGGCTTCAGGACTGGTTCAGATATTACTCGCCACTGGTGTTAGCTGCCTGCGGCTGGGAATCGAACTCGGGTCACCAGGTTGATAGCGCAGTGTGCTAACCACTGCGCTCAATCCACCCAATTACAGTACGAGGCGCAAAAGAAACCTTATCAAGCACAAGATGACGCAATAAGCCCCAACTTATGTTGGAATATATGTGCATTAATGTGCGGGGCTACGATATCAAAATTATCGTACATTTACAGATTATTCATAATAAAGGTTTTTGGGTTAGATCGCGTTATTTATAAATCTGTCGTAACCCTCCACCACCCGACACGGCCAATCAGCAAAAAAAGTGTCACGTTGACAAAAGGCAAATAATTCACTACTTTAGCCCACCGGTGTGTTGAAGAGTGAATCCACAACATTTACAGTTTGAATACGACGTTTCGCTGGTAAATACATCCAGCATCATCGGGCAATTCGCCAGAATGGTAAAGCCCTCGCTTGCTCCCGGTTTTATATAGAGCAGCAGGGTGACGTCATCATTTAACTCATATCAGGTGCAGTGATTAGAGGCGGAGGGGGGGGGTATTGTAATTATATAATCGATTAGTAATCAGGCATTGGTTATGATTAGTAATGAGTTGTAGATTAGTAATTAGTTGTAATGTGTGTTAGTGATTATATGCTATGTTAGTAATCCGTTAATTAGTATGTGTTTCCCCTATAAGGAATTGTAATGTGCATTCATATTCTTAGCTTCCTCGGCAAAGCCACGCCGAAGGGAAACAACAAAACAACAAACAAGGATATTCTATTATTTTATTGCTTCCCCCCAACGTGACTCCACCGAAAGAGCCAAGAACATTTTGATTTAAAGCTTTCGTGACTGCAGTGATTCATGTTCTTGGCTCTTTCGGTGGAGTCACGTTGGGGGGGAAGCAATAGAATAATAAAATATATATTTGTTGTTTTGTTGTTTCCCTTCAGCGTGACTTTGCCGAGGAAGCTAAGAATATGAATGCACATTACAATTCCTTATAGGGGAAGCACATACTAATTAACGGATTACTAACATAGCATATAATCACTAACACACATTACAACTAATTACTAATCTACAACTCATTACTAATCATAACCAATGACTGATTACTAATCGATTATATAATTACAATACCCCCCCCCCCCCCCCCCCCCCCCCCCCCGCCTCTAATCACTGCACCTGATATGAGTTAAATGATGATGTCACCCTGCTGCTCTATATAAAACCGGGAGCAAGCGAGGGATTTACCATCTGGCGAATTGCCCGATGATGCTGGATGTATTTACCAGCGAAACGTCGTACTCAAACTGTAAATGTTGTGGATTCACTCTTCAACACACCGGTGGGCTAAAGTAGTGAATTATTTGTCTTTTGTCAACGTGACACTTTTTTTTGCTGATTGGCCATGTCAGGTGGTGGAGGGTTACGACACATTTATAAATAACGCGATCTAACCCAAAAACCTTTATTATGAATAATATTGGTCGCGAGGGATTTACCATCTGGCGAATTGCCCGATGATGCTGGATGTATTTACCAGCGAAACGTCGTACTCAAACTGTAAATGTTGTGGATTCACTCTTCAACACACCGGTGGGCTAAAGTAGTGAATTATTTGTCTTTTGTCAACGTGACACTTTTTTTTGCTGATTGGCCATGTCAGGTGGTGGAGGGTTACGACACATTTATAAATAACGCGATCTAACCCAAAAACCTTTATTATGAATAATATTGGTCGCGAAAGCCTACGTGTTAAACTGAAAATTACAGATTAGTGCGCATATTTAAAAGCATTCCCTAATATCTCAAAATGGAGTACTGTCATGTGTGTTGTTGCATACGTGTTTCTGAAATCTAAGCAGCAATCTTAAATTGTAGAGCAAAATGTCAATCTGATTTAAAGGTGACATTGCCATTTTATGAAAGGGCACTTTATAATTACAGTTCCGTACTGTGATTAGAGTGTTTCAGTCAGCTACATTAAACAGATATGTCCTGTCGGGAGTATTTTTTATGTCATAGATGTTAAATAACTATAAATGTGTAGTGACTGGGAATGTCACTGTGTGGTGCCGGGCCTGCGAGGTCACGGCGGGATGTATACTGTTGTGTGTACACCCCGGACACGGGGTGTAGTACCAGCCCTGGTGGGGGCTTGGGTGAGTGCTGGTTTAGCGCGGTGGTACCACGCACAGTGTGCGGTGCGTGCTCCCGTTGAGAGAGAGCGAGAGAGTGTCAGCCAGCTGGGGTTACGTTGGGGGCATGATACTCGGACTGACCTGGGGACATGTGACCGGATGATACTGGAGGGGGGCCACCGGTGGAGGGGGCCAATGGGTGGTCACATGGTCCGGGAAGAACTTTCGAGAGCCTTCGGCCAAGGGCGAGATAGATCGAGAAGGTGGGCGGGGTGAGAGGCGGAGCCGGCCCCAGCCCGGCCCAACATAAGGGGGGCCCTGTGAGGGGCTTGGGGTTCTTACTGTTGGAGAGGCAGGAGATCCACGTCAAGCTTGAAGAAGCCTCCAGCCACGCGGTCCGGGACCCAGCTTGTGGTCCGGACCGGGATAGTGTAACCGTGTCTAGTTCCGCCGTAGCGTAATAATAGTACCAATTAATTACCCAGGAATGCCTCGCTGTGTGTCAAGACTCTTACACTTGAGGGTCCTGCATTGACATTATTAGTCAATACCATTCGTGAATGTTTGACACGTTTGAGGAAATCGTCAGCACCTGGAGAAAGTTATCCATTCATATGAGCGATGACACTCAGTACTGCCGTCGCTTGGTCACACTTCAACAGCCCCGTGTCTACAAAACCTGGCACGTTCTGGTTGGTCTCCCATCCGAGTACTAGCCAAAATTAAAACCCTGCTTAGCTTCCCTGATCTGGTACGATAAGGTGCATTTACTGTGATTTGGTCACAACGTGCACCGTAGTTTAGTTTTTACTTATTGGCTTTGTCTCTTGTGTTCAACATTCTGAGCAATTGAAACATCGTAGTTTCTTATTTAGCATTTTTATAAAGACTCTCCTTGAGACTATATTGACAATAGCTATGGATTCAAGCTGATAATTCACTATGTAACACGTTTTTTCGTTCCTGGGTAGTAAGTGCTATTTCCTAATTGCATATGCCTGAAAAGTATAGAAAGTGGCTATTATTCCCCACACACTTTGCTTTTGTGACCAGGACTTTATGTGAAGGAATGACACAAATGCACACCTTTCCTCATTGAAAATAGGTATATTTCAAAATATCACTGTCCTGGTCACAAAAGCAGAGTTTGTGGGGAATAATAGCCATTTTCTGTACTTTCGAGGCGTACGCAATTAGGAAATAACACTTACTACCGAGGGAAAAAAAAAAAAATGTTCCACATTGTGTAATAAAGGCAACCTTGAGGTGCACGTGGAATTTAAGAGCTGCACGTAGGCAATGGGATAGCCTGTAGTTTTGGAAAAAAAAAAATGTTGCTGACATTACCATGCAAAAAAAACCTGTAGCTGCCAATTCCACAAGCATTGTATGGTTTTAAAAAAAAATATATATATATGCATTTTTCTCACAAGCTTAGGAACCGGAAAAAAAATACAGCTCATGACTTTTGCACAAATGGTCCATCTGTCCATTTGCAGGGAGGTCGAACTTGCTGAAGGGACTTCACTGTTTTGTCCTTCCTGAGCAAGCTCTCTTTGTCCCTCTTGCGTGATCATCTTGAGTGCCTGTTACTCATTTCTTGGTGGAACTGCTGGGACTCATCGTGGCGGGAAAGGGGCTGGGGAGCAAATTTCCAAAAAGGCTGGCATGTTGTAAAAGTTGCATTTTATTTATTGAGGAATACCAAGCATCACCGATGAGCACAAGCAATATTTAGAGGTTTAAAAATGCGCGTGCATGTTTCCTTGCAGCAAAACCAAGGGTTGTGCTCGTACGTGTCAGGTGTGCGGGGAATGAAACATTTTAAATGTCGGGATTTGGATGTGACAGGGTCACCTGTACAGAAGGTTTTGCTTTGACTTTTCACCGTGTCCCCCATTTTATCAGACGTGCTCAGGGCATTCATTGACTACAGCGCCGCCCATCACTTTTGACCTCAACGTTCATCCATGTCCACAGCTGTCATTTTACCGTCATCTAGCTGAATGTTGTATTAATCCAGCAAATGCCCATATTGTTAACTTAAGTTTCTGAATTCTTAAATTTGTTATTGGTTATTATTTTTCTCTCCTTATCATATTTTAACTTATTCCTCACATCATGTATTTTTTTAAATTTGAGTTTACATGTTCTACAAATGTTTTTATTCACAGGAGTCACTTTTTTTTGTCTTGACACTCCAGTGGCAATATTACTTTTTGACTTATTTGTTTGGTCGTTCATGCATGACCAGTAGCACCGAGTGTACAAATATTGTCACATGTTCTCTTGTGTACACTTAAGCAGAGGCTTCCATGTACCAATAGACATTATTAAAGTGATGTTGCCGGGCTAAGCTTATTTCCACTGACATCTGGAAGTAGTGGCTTTCACTTCATTTTGCACAGCACTTGGCAGGAAACCAACAAAGGGGTCCAGATGATGGACAACGCATTGTGCTCTATATATGTATGTATGTTGGACCTCTTTCTCACCATGCATAGCCAACCGCGCTAATTTGAGGTGCGGAGGAAGGACAGTAAACTAAGAAATGAGTTTTCAATCTAGATTTAAAAATGCATAGCTCCAGTGGCTTCCTAATATCGGAAGAAAGAGCGTTCCAGACGGCCGCAGAAGCGCATCTGAAAGCGCGTGATGCAGAGACCGTCTTTGTTTGATGGTTAGCCAAAAGCTGCTGCGAGGATGAGTGGAGTTTGCGTGATAGTTTGACCTCCTTGATGAGATCAGCAAGGTATTGTGGTTCATTTGTGGCAAGCACTTCGCGTGTAATGAGTGCGACCTTATCATGTATCCGTTCGGCAACCGGAAGCCAATGCACCTCGGCGAGCACTGGACGACATGGTGCTGCGATTCAGGTGGCAAAATAACGGGATTCTGCTGAGATATGTGGCGTTTATTATTTTACTTTTGTTTGAAAAATGAACGCTATGACAGGCATACAATGAAAGCATGTGGGAAAATACTTTTGTGACTCGCACATACCTTTCCCGACTGCTGCTTACTTGAACTTGAACCCGTAGACATCAATATTTACAGTACAGTTAAGTCTCTCCACGAGCCTCCCAGTCAGCCTCTTGCCCATTCAGTTGGTCTCCACTTACCCTTCTGCATTTTTATCTTGAGTGCTTCGTACGGCATTTTTTGAATTGTTCACAATCAGACTTCTGAGGCATTGCATTATGGTATGTATAGTGTGCATAGTCACAGGTCATAAAAAATACGAGCGGCTAATGTTCTGGTATGGGCAGAAAATGCTTAATGGAGTGTAACTTGTAACGTGGAGCGTTTCTTTGTAAATGTAAATGATGAATCGCATCATTTAGTTTCTTGTTAACAGTATTCCACCAGTAATATGTGCAATGTTAAACTGTGCACCTGTGTTTTGGCTGAGGTCAAACAAGAGCGCGGGTGATTAAAGACCACACGTGTGGAGGTTTAATGCACCAGGCTGCATTCATGTTGACATCAGTGTGCACACAATCTGATCACATGAGCCACCCAGTGCACCTGCAGACTCGTTGGTCACGTCACACTCCTTGAGATGATACCCCGTGCCCGGTCATCGCTTATCAGTGACCCAGAGCCTCTCTTGCCACTCACTGTTATGAGCTATCTTGTGTGTGGGGGTTTTTGTGTGTGTGTGTGAATGTCTCCCTCCACCAAGAAGAGAGGGGTCTGGAGATATACTTACATTTATTGTCTGGAGATTAATGTGGAATGTTTACACCTCATGAACATGGTACATTTGGTTCCATTCTTGTGATGTCACAAGTGTTCTCGTGTCTCCACGTGCCCCCCATGTGCCTCGCCGCAGTGGCAAGATGTTAACTCCCTTGCCTGGTATGTCGTGGGTTCGATGCCGATCTTGACGAAGCCTGTATACTCTTTGGTTCTATTCGGTAAAGTCACGTAGGTAAAAAAATAAAATAACAAAAATCACGACGTTTCGGCCACAACACAAGCGGCCTTCATCAGGTGAAGGGACCAGACTGTCTCGAGGACAGCGCTGGAGTGAAACACAGCCACGCTCAGACCGCGACCTTTAAGCTGTGTGCGAGGAAACAAGGTGCCTTGACAAAGGAATTAGCATAAAATATAGCATTTGATTGGCCGACTTAGCATGATGAACGGTGTAGAGGTGGTGTACATGCGGGTGAACATGCCGGTTGGCGAGGGGGGGAGGGGGAGTTTACCTATTGATGGTGTGGTCGAAACGTCGTGATTTTTGTTATTTTATTTTCTACCTACGTCACTTTACCGAATAGAACCAAAGAGTATGGATCCTTGCAGTCACGAAAGCTTCAGATCTAGTAAAGAAGCCTGTATATTTGAAGTTTGTATGTTCTCTCTCCCCGTGATCGCGTGGAATTTTCTCCCGGTGCTCCGTTTTTTCCCCCTCCACATTTATAAACATGCATTTAGAGTATTTGGCTACTATACATTTCCACAAGGTAAGCCACTTTTGTTGGGCTATCGTTTGTTGCCAAGTCGCTTCTGAAAAGAAGCTATATAGCTTCGTGTGCCTTACCTGGTAAAAAAAAAAATTTTTAGTTTTAATAGTTTAGTTTGTTGATACTCCACCACCTCATGGCTACACGAGCCCTGGTCTCTACTCGATGCCATTTCTGCTCCAGATTTTGTTCAACAGTTGTCACCTGTTTGGCTTGTCATTGTGTCTGCGTGTTTTCCTTTAAAGTGGTGGTGACACCTCAGGTTCTGCGGTTGTGGAAGTATTTTTTGTTCATGGGTTAAAAAAAGAAGTGTACGCGTATTCACGCCACCACTTAATCTTAGAGCGGAAAAAAAAGCAAAGCAAATGTCTATGAATTCCTTGACAGCTGTCTGGCTGATTGCAACTCACGTGTGGTTATCACTTATTAATGTGTTTACATTCAGAAGTTTGAGCTCAGCGCCCGATACCATTATAGTCGGAGCACACAATATTGGCTTCGATGTGGCGTCGTATTATTTTTGAGCTTTTTTCCTTTGTTTTGTGTTTCGAGTTCTTGTGTAAGTTGTTCAAACAAACCTCCCGCAAATTTTTTTTCAAACAAAGCACCGCCCAGCACTTGGACACTATTTGAATTCCACGGTGAAACAACAGGCCATGCTCTAATCTGAGCCTCACAATCTGCCCATATTGAAAAATCAACATAACCCGCCGCTGAACTCACGTCATGTGGCATTTCAAATATTCATAGCAGATGTGACTTAAAAAAAGCTTCATGAAAAATGGAATGTGAAAAAAATGGGTTGTGCATTTAAAAAGTGACATTTACGTGCAGTCGTGCGTGTAGATACGTTCATATATCTACAATACGTACATATTATGTTTATGCATTTGTGTGTGTTTCTATCCGTGCCTTGTGTATGTGTGAACATGCATGCATTCGTTCAACATCGTGTGCGCGCGTGCGTTTGTGTCGTGTGTGTTTCTGTCTTCTGTGCGAACGCTCAGCTTCGACGGGATAGTGTGCCTGAGAGAGGCTCCGTCGCTGTGCGAGGTTGCGTTGGATGGGAATCCGCTGGCACAGGAAGCATGCTACCGACAGACGGCGCTGCGCCACATGGGGCAGCTGAGGCAGCTGGACATGAAACGCGTCACGGTGGGCACACGTGCAAGGGCAACCGCAGTGAAATCGGCACAGCGTGCGAACGCTGGAGGCACAACCGCAGTCACATGGCGTCGTTGTAGCTCTGGATTAAATTGTCACTCGTGTGTGTGTGTGTGCGCGTATAGGATCCGGCCGGGGACGTGAGGTTGCGAGTTCAAATCCCGACCGGGTGTTGATTTAGTGCCTCATTCCTGTAGGTTATTGAGTACTGCTTTATCGGAAGCTACGCACTGGTTCTTGTTATGGACAGACTTCCCCCTGTCATAGAAATGTGGATTTCTTTCCACCGCTGAATAAGGGTTGTTTATAAGAGACGAGCAATAACCCATGGTCATTTGAGTGGCAAGCCACGTTTTTTTTTCAAATATTATTTGGTGTCCTAGCTGTTACTTGAAAAGATATTGAATGTTGTGGGCAGTTCAATGAGCAATTGATGCACAATTTATATACACACATTTAATAATGTATAATGAACATCTTAAAAGTATGACACAGGCCACTTATAGCATGTAAAAAATTATCTTGCTGCAAAATTGCATGATGCAAGAGGAATATTTGTAATGTTACTATAAACGTATAGAATAGAGCCATTCGGAATATGGAAAGTTGGTCTTTTCAACTTGTATGAACTCTCGAACAAAAAGAAGCCCTTTGAAGAATTCCGTTTCTCATGAGTGAGCGTGTAATGTGGATGTGAGGCGGCATTGCGTTGCTGCTTCATGGATGAGCCTGTTAATCGAGCCCCAGTGTCTGCTGGTCCTGGGCCAAAAAGGGGAAAAACGGTTCATTCGGATAGGCTGCTGTAAATCTTTCCAGGTCGCTTGCGTGAACTCTTGCGGTGGAGTCTTATTAGGATTAAATCCCCTGTTTGGATAGGCATCGGCGCATGAAACTGAGAGCCTTAGAAAGTTGGATTACAAATTAGGTATCGGTTCTCATGAAACCGCAGCTCCCAAAGTGATTGCTTCATCACCAGTTTCTGCAGCCACAAAACAGCGGCGAACTTAAGAAACCATTGACAAAAAATCTACATTTTCTATTGTATTAATAAAATGAGGGTTTGCGCGATGACACGGCACGTGGTGAGCTATTTTTTTGCAAATGATGCTGCACGACCTTGCGTGGCCGCTTCACGGCACATGGCGCGCTTTTCTTGTGGCCCCGTATGAATATACGCTGGTGGCTGTGGAAACCAAAGTGTCCACTGTTTGGGAAATGGCTTGAGTGGCGAGCGGTGTTCACCAGCCAGTGCGTGCAGTGCACATACTCGTGTTTCTTCACGTCCGGACTGTAACACAATCGTCCTTTTTTTAAGTTGGGTGCTTTTGGGTTAAAATAATGTGCTCGCACTTTGATGGCAAATAGAACTGAAGTGTTTGTTATGTCACAAGCTTAAATTTGATAGCCCTAACATTGGCGTAAATATCAGTTTTGAGTTTACTATGAAATGAGCCGGTTCTCTGGTTGGGAATGAAAATATCGCTGCTTTGCCAACGTCATTGCACACAACTCCTTACTTAATTTCACTCGTGCGGCGGCGAGGTGACCCAAGTTTACGTACGTCCCGGAGGTATTTCGACAATGTGTCATTTTCGTTTTTTTGGCAGCGGCGTTAATATTCCCTGCATCTTCGACCAAGGGGTTCCCATTCGTCCACACTCCAATGTGGAGTCGTACGAATAAGCCACAAACGGTTGCTGTCGTTCTGTTTCGTGTGTCCCGTGCGGGACGGGGAGGTGGTGTGGCCGATGCAAGGGGCGCGACGCCGGTGCCCCAAGCAGCTGGAGTTGAGATGGCCATTTTACGAACACTTTTGGCACTGCGAATGCCAGTGGCTATTAATTATTTTCAAGCCACACTTTGCGCCAACCTAATTATCGCAGTCGGGAGACGCAACGTGTGCCGTGCCGGCATGAATGGTGACTTGTCTTAACCGGTAGTTGCGATTTAAAAAATAAAATTACTTCAAGGACTATTCAATCACTAGCTTTGCCATTGTGGACATGAGCAAGGGTTTGTTTTGTCGAAGGTTAACTCAAACAGATTTGATTCATTGTAACAAAGGCACGCTGTAAATTGTATGAACCAACAAGTTTAACAGTCGGAACAAACAAACATTAGACATCATCGTCACTCCAAGGTGGGAGTGGACGGGAAATGTTTCCAGAAGGTATGCCCGTTGGTACAACGAGTAATTATTTGGAATGAGTAAGATGAAGTGAGAACAGTGACAACGTCAGGATACATGTGGGAATAGAGATGTATTGTACCCGCACGGGATCCTGGTCAGTGGCATCAGTATTGAGAAGTCGCCCTCTACAATTGTACCATCGACTGGTGTTACATAGGCATTGAGAGGCCTTCCTTTATCAGAGGATTAAAACTCGTTGATGATGATGATGAACAATTGTGACGTCGAAAGTATTTTAGAACTAAAACAAACCCATAAAATGTAAGGTCATAGCAATGTAGGCGAGCACTGACTGTTGTATCGCTCGCGTTTATGACAGTTCCACTTACAAATGTACGTGCTTTATGGAGAACACTGTACTTTGATCGTCTCGCAAAACTTGTTGGAGTTCTCCCAGGATGGCCAAAAATTTGATTATTTACCAGCACTGTTGATCCGCATTGTCTGCTGAGATCTGTAATTGTCTGGCCAAGGGGTGGATACAAAAACATGTTCTTTGTACGGCTATTTAGAGAAATTTAAGGCACATAAAATATGGAGGGGGTGGTAGGTTTGTTGCTGACATTGTATCAAATTCTAGGAATGTTTACACAAAGGGAGGGAATTTATACTGCAGTGATTCTAAGAGGATAATAAAGCTGATGAATGATTACCTGTTCCTGGACTCCAAGACTCCACTGTCCCTTGCTGAAGGAGGCAGCCACCCAACATGACATTATCCGTAATTTACACTGCTTAAACCTCACTGGCTTTTATTCACAGGGCACTTGTATAAACAGGGCTTTGTAAAGGGTACATTATATGTAGCCTGATAAAATGATCCCATGCTTTTGATAGTTTTTTTATATTCGGGCATGAAATCTATCGGTATGATCAGTTGATTTGCCATTATTGAAAGACGCGCGTGAATTTTCAATTTTGGAGAGGTTCTGCGACCACAATTGGCCTGCTCGTTTCGTCGGTGCGCGATAATTTTTTTTTTTAACGTCACAACACCTGCGAAGTTGAACTGTCAGGAAGGTTAAGGAGACCGAATGTTATATGTACCGAAACTCAATGCCCCCGTTTTCATCATTGCTACTGTGAGAACAACGCTTCTCGTAGGCATGACAATTGGAGCGGTTCATAGTTTACAGAAGTTTTAAGGTGCAATCTTGAAATCTTAATGCTGTACTAATGGCCTCTTTATTGAGTGTGCTTAAAAGGCCATGACAATCGCTTCTGTCCAACTGTGGACCATCAGGATTCCTTTACTGATGATCCACATCTCGTCATCTGCCCGAGTGCCTTTACTGAGGCCCCGATGGCGATGCACGCAAGCTCACACTTTATCAATCGCTCGGACTCTCCTTTCACCTGTCACGCAGCAGGCACTTACGAGTTTTCTAAGAATCGTTAAATCACCAAAACAGATTTCACTTTTTTTTCCTCTCTCCCGCACACAAATTGCTTCTTCAGTTTTTAAAATTATAATTTAAAACAAAAAAATCTGAACACGCACTGCCTTAAAAAATATGTTATGCGTGAAGTTTTGGGCAATGCTCCTTTTTCATGGCATATGAATGGCTCGTTTATGGAACTTCTCGCTATTTATAGCACGTGAGTTTGTTTTGTTAATTGTGCTTGTGCACCACTACCAATACAACATCATAAAACAAGTTGTGTAATTTCAAAGCAGATCAGGCTAATGTAATAGCGCAGATTCTATCTGTGCATAATGCGCTGTTGCTTTGTCAATTTGATACTTTTACTTATTACACAAGCTGAAAATACTTCACCACCCTCATTAGTAAACAGGGCCCAAGTGCTAAAACATAAAAATATGTTTTTTGTCAGTGGCCTTTTGGGTAGAGGCCGTGTACGCCAATACGAAATCAGTCACATACATTTTATGCTGTAAGTTTCTGTCTGGTTGATATTGCATGGCATGAATACAATTAGAAGGTTTTAACGATGATTATTTTAGTTTTAAATGGGGTGAAAAAGAGACATGTCGCGTGTAACTTTTAAGTATTGCCCTTTTAAACGGTGACGAATAACAGTGCAACGTGTTTTGCGCGCCTCGTGTGGTCTCCAGGAAGAGGAGAGGCGATTGGCCTCCCTCTTGGCCAGAAAACAGGAGGAGAAGAAGCGAGAATTCCATAAGCAAGCCATCCAGAAGGTTTGCCGCCCCTTCGCACATTGCCATAACCCTTTAATTGAATGTACACGTTGCTGGGTTTTTTTGAAGGGCATGTATTTTCCTAAAGGCAGGTACTCGTGTGTTTTAAATAGCTGCACATTATTTGAACAATATACATATTGCACAACAATTAATGCGACTAACAATACATGCAGTACAATGGTATATTGTATATTGTCAGTTGTTTTCTGGGAGGACCCGTTCTAAGTTGATAACGTTTTCATAAATTTGTGGGTTTGTTGTACAAGACCTTGCACCGCATGACTTCAGGAGTGGTAATACAATAATTATTGGTGAAACATGTTTTAATCACAGCTTGTTTTTTTTACCCGCATTGTGCAGTGTTCTGCTTATATCGTGGGCCCCTGGCGTCCGTCTTATTGTGATGGTTGTTTCCGACCTCCCAGAAATTACAGGCGCTGCTGGCTTGGTGGTAAAATGTATTTTTTTTTTTAAACAGGTCCCACACAATGCCCAGCCTTGTAGGGCGGCTCAGCCAAGCCATGCCTCCAGTGTCGAATGTGGTTATTGTGTGAATGAGGAGTTACGTTTGATTACGCTGCTTACAAGCAGTAGATTTTGTTACATTTTTCTGCCAAAGAAACATGACTTTAATTGTTTGTGCGCGTACTTTCTTTTTTATATTGTGGCTATGAAACGGTCACAGGCGCAGTGTGTGAAGAATAAGGGAATGTATATTAATTGTGACCTGCAGGGGGCTCTGCAAGATGGCTGAGGGCAACAATCAGGGGTCGGCAACCTATGGCTCACGAGCCAGATATGGCTCACGAGCCAGATATGGCTCACGAGCCAGATATGGCTCACGAGCCAGATATGGCTCACGAGCCAGATATGGCTCACGAGCCAGATATGGCTCACGAGCCAGATATGGCTCACGAGCCAGATATGGCTCACGAGCCAGATATGGCTCACGAGCCAGATATGGCTCACGAGCCAGATATGGCTCACGAGCCAGATATGGCTCACGAGCCAGATATGGCTCACGAGCCAGATATGGCTCACGAGCCAGATATGGCTCACGAGCCAGATATGGCTCACGAGCCAGATATGGCTCACGAGCCAGATATGGCTCTTTTGATGACTGCATCTGGCTCGCAAATAAATCTTAGCTGACATTTCTTAACATGATAAGACTTATCAAATAAATCTTAGCTGACATTTCTTAACATGATAAGACTTAGCAACTAAATCTTAGCTGACATTTCTTAACGTGATAAGACTTATCATGTTAAGATGAGACTTATCATGTTAAGAAATGTCAGCTAAGATTTATTTGCGAGCCAGATGCAGTCAGCAAAAGAGCCACATCTGGCTCGCGAGCCACAGGTTGCCGACCCCTGAGTCACACACTGCTTCATCTCGGTGCCGTCCTTCAGAGCCCGTCTGGAAAGTTGAAGTCGTAAGAAGTTGAGGTTATATATATATTTGGTTTGATAAATCAGATCCATACATGCAACATAATGGTTACATTATTCTAAATTTTGATTTAAAGCTTTCGTGACTGTAGGGATTCATATTCTTGTTTTTTTCGGTAAAGTCACGTAGAAGGGAAACAATAAAATAATAAAAATATAAAACAATAAAATTCTCACGACGTTTCGACTGCAACACAAGCAATCATCATCAGGTGTGAAAACCACACTGCAGTCGAAACGTCGTGAGAATTGTATTGTTTTATATTATTTTAGTATTCTCCTTTCAAAGTTATGTTTGCGTTTACGTATTTTTAATGGTTGTAGTTCATAACAAATGACATTCATTTAATAACAATGCACTCGGAAGGTATTGGATTGCTTATGAAATATTAAATGTTTGATATACTATTGGCATTCTATATGGTTGGCATTGCTGTTAGGAGTTGTTGGTTATTTATAAAGTAAATTGATATGTCAACCAGTTTATGAAATTTCCAATATTTACTGCACATGTTTCATGATCGCTAATGTTCAACATTTTGACATTATGTATAAAAAAAACATGTGTTAAGTACCATTTAAATTCGATTTTGGGTGGGCGCATTATGATAATTTGCAAAATTGTTGACTGGAACTTCTTTTGAACTCCATTCTGAAGAATGTGTGACCAAACTAAAACAGCGAGAGCCAAACCAGAATTCATCACATGCATGTTGTGGCTGCTGACTTGTGGTCGTGGAACCAATTGTATTTTAATGAGAATCACATTGTTTTTTTTCTGATTGGTGCAAAGTCTGCAGGAGGCAGTTGAGCATTTTTTTTGTTATTACCACGTTTGACAAGCATAAACAAATATAAGCAAAATGGCGAACACGATTTTCGTTTGCACATTGGCAAATAAAAAAAAGTAGATTTAGCTTATTTTTATGCCAGCTCCTCCCTCTTAAGTCATATCACCAGCCACAGCTTTACGATTTTCTTATTATTTCCCGAGACACGCCTTACCCTGAAAAGGGCCCCTGTGTGGTGTGCATGGAAGGAATGGCAATGTAGCGGAGTGTATAGTAGTGGGATGCTGATGTTGGTACAAGCTGCGTGTTTTTGTAGGTGCATGCTCTGGCCTTCCAGAGCACCGCACCATCAACACCGTGGCCAGGGAAGGGCGCTTGATGTTATCTCCCCGGCAAGGGAGATGTGGGGATTATCCTGTTGCACCCTCGTGTTTAAACCCCAACACCTGAGGGTATTCAGCGCTATCTTCACAGGTCCCGTAGGCTGTGTCTTTGGGTTGTGTGCGAGGGGGATTTGCAGTTTACAGAAAATCTCTAAGGCTTTGTTGCAAGAAGGCAGAAAGGTGTATCAGCAGATGAACAGCCATTTTGTAAATCTACTGTTGGATGAGGGCCTCTCCAAGCCTGTGGGTCGTGGGGGTCATTCCCGATTCAAGAGCCGAATGGCACACAGGGCTATACAAAAGTATTATAAAAAAGTGAGCAAGTAAATAAATAAATAAATAGCCGCGCTCCCCGCGTATTCGATGGATTGTCATGGTTTGGTTTTGCGATCTAATTAAAACAACTTCCTTATTGTTAAGGAGGAATCCATTGAGCTATGAAGCTATTTTTGACAGATATCCACACCCTGGTCGACAAATCCCTTCATGGTCTTGCCCCACTATATCTTGTTACTCTTATATCTGTCTACGTACCTTCTCACCCTCAACGTTCTCAATCTTTGCTCTCTCTCTCTCTGTTCCTCCTCCTTGCGCTCAGTCCACGTCGTCGCTCTTTTTCACTTCTTGTCTCCTTCACTGGAACAAACTTCCCCCTCCACATTAAACAGTCACCGTGGATCACGCGTTTCTGCTCCTCACTCAAAACTCAATTATTTTCCCTAGTTAACCCCACGACCCCCTTAATCTCCCCCTCATAACCGCCACACTGTTACCTCTTCATATTCTCATTATGTGGCTTTCACTCATTCCCCATTCATTCATTCAATCCATCATCATCATTTACTGTCATCAATGTCACTTTCACTGAATTCACGCATCACAGATTTGCCCCCATTTCTTCCTCTCACATTTCATTCACCTCACCTCCACCATTACATTCATGTGTGCCATTGTTAATTATTTGTAAATTGCCTGGGTTAAGGCGCTGTATAAATTCCTTTAAGATAAGATAAGTATCGGCGGGTCAGCAGCACGTCCACTGGCTGCAGGGGCCACATGGACCGATTATTACAAACAACATGTACCAATCAAAACACATGGTCAACCATCGCACCCACGTTTTGATATATTTACCATGAGCGTGATAATTTTAATTGCCGAATCGATGTGCGGTTACACGTAATGGACAGCTGCGTTACAATTCGTATATTTTCTGGCTTACCCCTGTACTCAGATTAGCGCGGTTGGTCACGTTGCAGAGCGAAATAAGTTCAACACACTATGTTTAAATGTCAATGTGTGGCGTTGCTTTAGAAAAACGTACATTAATTCAGGAGGGAATACAATATTTCGTATGTACCCTGAATGATTGTGAAGATCGTTGATAATAATCGGAACATTGTGTAATCAGGATTTGGTGGATGCCTTCACATGTTTTTAAACGTGACCTAGCTCATGTTTAGTTTTTAATTTGCTAAAAACTTAAGGTTCATATTCTTTGGTTCTTTCGGTAAAGTGACGAAGATATTTTTTTAAAATAATAAAAAATATAAAAAAATGTTTATTTATTTTAAATTGTATTTTATTAAAAAATTTTTTTTCTATCTATGTAACTTTACCGAAAGAACCAAAGAATATGAATTCCTGCAGTCACGAAAGTTTTAAATCAAAGTTTATGCACAGTTTTTTCCCCCTGTGCTGTAATGTATACACGTATGTGTATTTTTTCCTTCATTGTATATAAGCACATTTCGTTTTCATAGTCTCGACACTCGATAATAGATTGTTATACTCATTGTTTTTTTCGGTAAAGTCACGTATGTAGAAATAAAATAAAATTTAACTAAATTTAATTATATTAAAATAAATCACGACGTTTCGAATGCAACACAAGCAATCATCATCAGGTGTAAAACAAATAGCGAGGGAGCAGTTTAACGTTCTCTATGTGCTATGTGCGTGATGTCCCCCTATGTGCTCCCTCGCCGTTTGTTGCAGTCGAAACGTCGTGAGAATTTTATTGTTTTATATTTGTAGTATTTTATTGTTTACCTTCTACGTGACTTTACCGAAAGAACCAAGAATATGAATCCCTGCAGTCACGAAAGCTTTAAATCAAAATTTAGTTACATTTTATTTTATTTCTACATACGTGACTTTACCGAAAATAACAATGAGTATAGTCATTTCTGCAGTCACTAAAGCTTTAATTCTATATTAATAGATCGTTAGGTGATAAAATTACGAAGAACTAGAGTGGATGGGTGACTGAGGACTAACAAAAACGACGTCAGAGCACTGAGCTGGCACCACTGAGATTCTGGGTTTGAAACCAGGCCTCTGATTAAACCGGGTTCTCAAGTGTAATTACGAGATGGTCTCGGTCTGGTCACCAATTTACTGCAGAAAGAAAACCTAGTTACGTAAAATGTTGGTTCAGCTTATGCCAGCTGTGGGATGAAAAAAAAAACTGTTTAATTGACATGCAACACGAACTCAGGGCGCTTAAAAGGTGCAACCTATAGTGTGGATAAAGAGTGCCTATTGAAGGGTATTCAGAAGTAGTTATCTGATATCGTTTTACTCGGAGTGCTCTCAGCCACGCGGTGGTGCACTGTTAGCAGTTTTCCCAGGATTTGCGACGGATAGCAAGTTGGAAATGTAATTGGGAGGAAAGAGCTACAAAAAGTAATAATAGGTAGACCATTAATTATTTAGTTGTAGATTTTGATGTATGTGAATTTTATGTGATTGTCTGCATAATTGCGTTTTAATATGATTTACAGTCACATATATCTGAAAAGTATGATCATTAGTATTTTCGCAAATCCCACTTTGTCGAGGTATAGCCATTTCTAATCTTCATCTGCGGAGGCTTTTAGCTACAGGTCACTAATTACACACATCCTGCACTTTTTTTCAATTACCATAACTGCAAGGCAGGCATCACTCAACGCAAATGAAGCTCTCGACCTTTAAGATAGCAATGGTATAGCCCTCATGCCTCCCTTGCCTTCGTGACTGAGAATGTCAAAGGAAATTGCTTGTTTTTTTCTACAGCCACAATGCAGTATTTGTGGAGATCACTCTCCATGCCTCCACCAGTACTCTCGTTAATGCATCCGTGCCCTTACAAATCTTCGTTAACGACTGAACTGTGCCCCTTCGGGTTTTATTTACTGAACACGGAGTTTTAAGTGACACTGCTGGGACCCACGTTAATTAACCTGTATTTTAACATTGGCATATAATCATTATTTGTGGAGTGAGTAACGGTTTATATACATGGTGTTTAAAAAACATGGACACAATTTCAAAGCAGTATATTTCACGATGGCAACATGTTACAATTACACAAAAAGTTACAAACGGTTTAATGAGTTATCAAGTTTTACTAAACATGTTATAAATGCTCTACGTGCCCTTCACCTGCTGTACGGACAACATCGAGACGATAGTTGAATTCGTCCCAAACGCCTCTCAAAGTGTCTTCCACTGAAGTCACTGCTGACGTGATTCTGTTTTTGAGGTCATCCAGATTAGTCGCTAATGGTGGCACAAAAACACCACGGTCTTTGACGTATCGCCACAAGAAAAAGTCGCAGGGTGTGGTGATGTCTGGGGATCTTGGGGGCCAAGAGTGTAGCGCCAAGTCTTGGGGTCCCGTGCGACCTATCCAACGTTGAGGCGGTGTGTCTTGCGAATGACTGAGGCTAGGGGCTGTTTGTGCGCTGGGAGAGGCATCTAGCGGTAATCAATTGATACTAGATGCCCCGCCCTTTCAAGTGGTAAGAGTTTCATTCATGGGCGGTTCGTGGTTGCAGAGATACAGTATATCGACTTCAAATCGGGTCAATCTTTTTAAACACCCTGTATTATTCACTGAAAAAACAGTCCGTTGGTTATTTCATTTGGAAATCTCCAAAACATTCACTATCTTTTGTACGTGAACTGTTTCAAGGTAATGATTTATATTAATAAGTATAGATTTATTTAATGATGCTGTAATTATTGGAATTTTTATAACTCCAATGATCGTGTTAATAATAATAGCACATTCATATGGTTTTGTACTTTTAAATTTGCTATGACAAAATGCTATCTCCCTCATTTGGTATACAGAAGTTTTGTGGGCTCAATCCCGATCCTGACGCATGCATATTCGGAGTTCACATTCTCTCTCCCCATAGTAGTGTGGATTGTTCTCTGGCTCTTCTGGTTTTCCCCTCCACGTTTATAAACATGCATTTTAATTATTTGGCTACTACTATAAATTCCCACATGTGATGATTAGCTACTTCGATGAGCTATCACACGTGGCCAATTCGGCTCTGAATAAGAGCTCCTAGCTCAGTGGTCCTTAACTGGTACAATTATAAGTGTAGTTAGCTTAGTACAATCCACTGCTGGATGCAGGCTTCCCCCACTCCCTGCGGGTTGTGGGGGTTAATTGACCATACTTCACTACGCTGGTCAGTGCGGTTAGGTGAAGCTGGGGTAGCATAGCACTGCTACCCATGACAAAAAAACAATAATACATTACTAAGTTGTGGTTTTTACATTTCAAATAGAAATCGTTTATATTGTTAAAGTGTATTGATAATGTAGAAAATAAGACGTAGAGAAATTGATATTTAAGCGCAGTTTAAAAAAAAAAAGGTCTCATTGGGCTTGCGCTGGCTTGGCGGCAATCCAGGAAATTCCTTGAGCGGTCGTGGCTTCCCGAGTGCATGCTGTCTGGTTTTCAGCTAGGCCTTGGATCGTAGTGCAATATTTTTGTAAAAGGGACAAAATGTTGTCCGGCCTCAGCACGTGTTGTTAATTCACCGTGTCCCCTCTTTGGCCTTTTCTGCTCCTCTCTATGGCGGTGGTTGTTATTCGGAGGGTGGTAGTGTTGCACGTTGTTTTAAAAATGCTGCCCCTTTTCAGGAACAGGTGGCTTTGATCTCGAGCACTGCCCATTACCTGCGATCAGCCTCGGCTCCGCAAGGGTTGAAATACCTACTGTGTACAAAAGGACGCCAGTTGTTTGGGGTCACATTGTACCATTTGCTGGTTACATCTTTGCTGCTTACGTCTTTGCTTAGCCAAAAAAATACAGAAATTACAAGTTTCTGTGTTCATTGACAGTCCTGCTTGCCAGGTTTTTATTTGTCCAAAATATAAACAAGCCTGGCGAGTATTCATTCTGTACTGTTAAACTAAATTACAGTGTTAGAAAAAAACCGTTGAAGTGAACAAGTAGGAAGGATTTGTCATTGCTTTCTTCAAGCCCTTTGTAAAGTGCAAGCAGGTGTTGCTCACTTACATATAATTGCTAGCTGAGTATATTTGTAACCTATCAAACGAGTGTCAGTTGAGTCAACTAGTTTGGTGGCTTTTACAAATGTAAAATGGCAGCTCTGGCATCTGGTATATCTCTGCTTGACTACTTGCACGCATATTTGTCCGTGTGTCGATTTGCAAATGTGATTTTGTTTGTGTTGGCATTATATTTACAATAGCCTCAAGGATTTGGCTGTAACGTATTTCAACCGTTTGGAACCTTCCACGATTAATAATGATACTTCGAGATGCATTCGTCGCCTTGATTTTGATGAAAGTGTCAGAACTTCACAACCAATGCACCCGGTCAGCATCTGGATTTCTTTTCCGCCAGAGATGCAGCGTGTAAGTTAGGAGAGCTGCCCTATTGTGTTGGCCGGCGCATGCGACGCATCTGTTTATCCCCAGGAAAAGAGACGTCTGGCCCTGCGCAACGTGGCACGCCATTGGGAACAGCAGCAGCAACAGCAGCAACAGCAGCAACAGCAGCAGCAGCGCACCCTGACTTGGACCTGGACTAGTCAACCCCTCGATGTGTCATCTGGACACACAGCGCTCAGCTCATCCACATCAGCCGAGCAGCTCTCCTCTCAGCAGTGGCCAGAAGACAGCAGGTCACCTTTGTTAGAGAAAGGCCCAGATATACCAGAATATATTATGGCTGCTGATGATGATGTTATTCACCTAATATACTATTCAAAATTGGTGATGGAGCAATTAAGTGGAAAAGAAGAAAGAACCTGCCTAAAAAATACAAACATAATGGTAAAAATGGGACAACAGTATATTGATAAATCAATTCATGGTCCCGAAGCTTAAAGGTTTAACCAAATTGCTCTTGGTGTGATTATTACATGCCTACGGCTTAGCTTGACGATGCATTTTGTTGAATATAGTTTGAGAATGTGTTAACTTTTTTTCGGCGGAATTCTGCAACTATCACCAAAAAACTCCATGACACTCACTGCTGGAGGTACACATTACATAGAAACATTTTTATTTTTTGATAGAATTTGTGAGTGTGTGATGGGTAGTAAAGTTGTGTTTTGGTAGGATATATACACATACAAAAATTACATATCGAATCATACCTAATTTTTTTGTTTTTTTTAAACATGCAAGTAGTGAGAGTAGTGCATTTAACAACATATCTTATTTTATGTTAAGTAGCCTATGGATCCATTGGATCCATTGAATGCATAACAAGTGATTAGCAATTTGTTGACCCAAATATCTCGCTTTTATATTTATTTTGTGCATCGTAAGATTGTTCTGTCGGCCGTTTCACCTGGCATGGCATTTAAACACTTGCATCAATCGCAGTGCATTGTACAGTGTACGACTGTTTAACCAGGAAATATTCACTGAGTCTCAAGACTGCCATACTCGGGATGCTTAGCTGGTTCCTTTTAAAGTTCTATATTTAAGAATTCAATGCATCCTTAAATGCGTCACGAACCGTATTTCACAGCGGGGAATTTGACCGTCATGCCGTCATGCGCTTTTTGCCGAGTTGCATGAGCTTCGGCACGGCGGCGGTTTCGGCGATGGACGTCGCGTTTCTCCTGTGTGCCCGGTTTCATCCCAAGCAGCCTACTAAGCGGAGCTAGCAGTCGGGAGAGTTTGTCGGCGGGAGACGCGAGGCTTCCCACGGGTGATGAGGAGCCCACGGGGAGCAAGCTGCAGTCGCTCGCCTCCAGCCCCGTTGACAGCTGCACGGACACCAGGTACCCCGTTGGGCACATCTTGGCTCAGTGCGATCTCTCAGAGTCTGCTGAGAGAGAGCATTCGTCATGCGCAGAATTCGTTATTTATTAAAATGTACCAAGTAGAGGCCCACTGGGCTATGCAGCTCTTTTTCAGAAGCGTCCTGGCCACAAATGATAGCTCAATGAAGTGGCTTACCATCATCGCGTGAAAATGTATCGCAGTCATATACTCCAAACACATGTTTCTAAATGAGGAGAGAAAAACCAGACCCAGAGAATAATCCATGCGACCATGGGGAGAACATGCAAACCCAAAATATACAGGCGCGTCAAGGTCGGGATCGAACCCATGACCTCCTGTATACCAGGCGAGATAGTTAACATCTTGCTCAGAGCACTGTGCTGGCACAGCTGAGATCCTGGATTAAAATCCTGGTTTCAGTCACCAGTGTAGAATTAGTACCACTTTTGGAAGCCAACAGTCTTGGCTCTTGTGTAGACTTGCATAACTATCCAACCAGCAAGCTTTGCGATGTGTTTTCGGGTCGTACTGCGTGTGTTGTTCGGCATCACTGCAGAACAACACTGCTGCCGCAGCCAGAAAATATTGGTACAGCTACACGGTACAACCCAGAAAAGCTACGCAGTAGTATAGCCTTCCAGTTCTAGAATGGCAACTGCTTCGAAGCGATTGCACTTTGAGATGAGTTAATTATTTCATGCAATGCACACAGTTGCACAATTCGCACCCTGTTCGTGCGTACAGTTTTTGCTTTCACGCTTTTGCGGAAATCTAGCATCACTAGGGGATTTTAGTATACTTTACACTCGCTTGGTAGATGTATAATTGTCTTTTATTTTTGGCTTAACATAACTGATTACTATTTATCAGCTTAGTGCCCAAAGTGCTATTTTTACTTGCGAGAAAAGACGTTTCCCAGGGCGCACCGAGCATTATGGAACATGGTCACGATAAAGGTGGCTTGCAGGCCGTCTGAGAGTCGGTCTAGTGTACAAGGCAAACATCTTGAAGATCAACTGGTTGCCTTCGTGGAGGAAGACCCATAAGCGATGGTCATTCGGGTGCAGATGAAGACCAAGAGGTAATGGGATGGACTTATTTGTGTTAATGAGAGGTCGTTTCACGGCTTCCCACTGGGTGGTATTTTTTTATGAATGGCAATCCATGCAAGATAAAATGGCAAGAGGTCCCTGGAGGGAAAAATTTTTCTTGGCTTTTATTTTCCAGAATATGTGGAACAGAAGCACATGACTATCTGTGTCCAATTTAGGCAGTGTCAAATTAGCTTCCAGAAACGTTCTAATCACGGGACCATTAATACCTTTGCTATACCAGATGTAAAATTTAGTTTAAAAAATTAAAACACTCACATTGCATTCACTTTGGGCATGCTGTGTAGTGGGAATTTAAATAAAATGTTTTTTGAGTTTGCCCTTTTGGTTTTATGTACTCTGCCAAACATGTGCAAGTGGTCAGAGTATTTTGGAATTGTTTTTGGCAGTTTTTTGCTAAAGTTGCTTCGTGTACGCCCCTATTCGTTTTATGTTATATAAAGGTGATTATTTGACTCTAAAGTGAATAAAATTACGTATAAGTTAAATGATAATTTATCCTATGAAATAATTCTGGCCAGGTTAAATGCAATTTGACATGCAAAATAATCTTAACAATATTCCATCTAGGTCAGGAGATATTTTTTTCTTTTCTTCGATTGACATTTTATTGTATACTTTCAGTATTATTTATTCCACAGGGAAAACCTGCAGAAAGTGTTGACGTTTGGTAAATTGGAAGGAAGAATGAACAGAGACTAATAGACAGAGACTAAGATGGACATATATTGTATTGTAAATGTAATAATGAGGACTCTATACCAATGTAGCAAAGCCCAAAATCACAGTTACTGGAGTAATGTCATCATCGAGGTCATGAATACTCAGCACTGAGTAAAACGACTCAAAGTATTACATGGTGGTGGATGTTTCACACCATTTTAAAATGTGTTCTGTTCAAAATATGTAAAATTTCAGGATATTGCCTCTTAAACTTTGTGCCAGCTGGACATGCGTTATTTTTCACGTGGTTTGAAGTCTACGTTCCCTTGAGTGACAGCCAAGTTCATTCTTAATACACTACATATTTACAGCATTCTCTTATTCGCGAAGCACTTTATTGTTTTTGGTACTGTGAATGCAATTCGAACGAACAAAAATTCCGATCGCCGGTTCGGGGATGCGACCTTATTTGTCTCTGTGAATGCTCATCAAGTGAGGCACTTTGAGTGTGCTGGAGGGAATTCTTGGCACACAGCGGGGACCAAATGCCAGAATGGTACGATTCGCCCCCTGTCTGCCCTGAGCACTGCCAAATCTCTGCCTCTCTCAGCTTGTGATTCATGCACTCCCTGAAATAATGTCACACAACTCCTGCACCCAGTCTTTGAGAATGCTCTCTCGCATTGCTCTGCTGGCTCGGGTGAGGCAATGAAGAAGAGCTTGAGTTGCCCGTTCATTCCGTGCCTGTTCATTCCGTGGCACCGTCTCGCTGCCACCTCACGTTTTGTGCCCATCAAGGCTGCAACACGACACCGATGGTGTCGGTAGTGTTGACAAATCGGCCTTAATGGTGGAGACCTCTTGTGTCCCCGGAGCTGCTGGGGGAACTTATAATGCGGGTAAAACCGGACCAATTTAAGGCAATGTCCTGCATCCATTGATTTTCCTGTCAATTACAGCTGACTACAGTGTTCTATGAGAACACATTGAGCACCAGATTGGATATTTATATTTGGTTTCATTTATACTGACTACAATACCGCAGAGCTAAAATAACCCATGAAAAATTAGCTTGCTGTGTTCCTGAAAAAGAAAGTGCCATTTACCATGGTGTCATGTTGGGATCAATGCAAATATTGTTGCATTAATCACTTCAATTGCCATTGATGAATATCAAGATGTCATAATGGTCGAAACCATTGATGTTACCACACCTTTCCAACACCTCCCCTCTGCCAGTTACACAGCTGGTGCCATTGATGCTCACTGAGAACGATTTTTTAAACGGTGTTCTTTGTCGGTACTTGCACATGCATCGACCAGGATGAGTACGCTGGAGGTATGGACCTGCTTACTCAGTGGACATGGAATTTAATTCTTCAAGTAACCGCACTTCATTTTCACCAGGCATGCTTTCCAGATGGCAAAATAATTATTCGTCTTGGTTCTACTTAGTCGCTTATTGTGGGCTGCATTTCATCTGGTGGCCGGGCAACATTTGGCAGCTGTGATTTACAACTTGCAAATTTCGTACATGGTGGTGTGAGCTGTTTGGGGGTACAGAGCAGCAGTGCTGGCCTGCACATACAGATATTGCATACGCAACTGTGCAAAAGAATTAAAAACGTGTGTTGCAAATTCTACAGTGATGGTAGAGTGTGGTTTTGTTCAAGTTGGAATGTGAATTCCAGGTTGGTGTAAGTTGTGATTTATCACGACCGTCCAGTTTCCATCTTCCTTCAAAAGATAGCCCCCTATATATATACTTCCAGTTCTCTTGCCTTGTTTACAGTTGTCATCTGTGGACCCAGAGGCACTGGAGCACGTGTATTTGTAAATTGAAAACGCATTCGAAGGATAACACTGTAGGCCAGAGCAAGATGGCTTTTTTAGAGTGCAAAGCATGAAGTGTCTGGCTTTGCATTGCCAGGAGCCTTTAGCTACACTTTTCCATTCATGGGTAGTGGAGTACATCCAAGGTTTGAACAATGGTGTGGAAAGTTTACAGCAGTTAGCGTCATAACTTTTGTTGCCATTGGTACGTGCTGTATTTAAATGCTGGCATAATGCAGAGACTTTTAACACACCCTGCTATTTAATGTCCCATTAGAAGTTGGCTGCGTGGTAAAATGCAGAATTTTCACTCGAGCCTATTGGAGCCTTGCTTGATTTAGGAGCAGTGGAAACATTAATGTTCAGAAAGCTTTCAAATGCAGCCAGCAGCCGAAATCCTGAGGAAGAGAAATAAAGGAAGACGGATAGCTGAATAATGGTGTTCGAGTACAAAAAAACCGACATATTTTACAGCTTGGGAATACAGCATCCAGGGTGAAGGACAGGAGGCTGGTTTGTTCTCTTGGAGCAGCAGGGTAAAGAGATGCACCCCTTGGTTGTGCATTGAGAGAGACCCCTGTTCAATCACTGGGACTGCACTTAGACTGTAAAATATCCCAGTTGTTGGGCAACATACAAAAAACAATCCTCAGTACAAAAGTCCCCGAATTGTAGGTGCTCACTAATGTTCTCCCATTCGCCTTCGTCAGGATGCTTAGAAGGTGAGATATATATGTACAGTGAGGGAAAAAACGTATTTGATCCCCTACTGATTTTGTACGTTTGCCCACTGACAAAGAAATGATCAGTCTATAATTTAATGGTAGGTGTATTTGAACAGTGAGAGACAGAATAACAACAAGAAAATCCAGAAAAACGCATGTCAAAAATGTTATAAATTGATTTGCATTTTAATGAGGGAAATAAGTATTTGACCCCCTCTCAATCAGAAAGATTTCTGGCTCCCAGGTGTCTTTTATACAGGTAACGAGCTGAGATTAAGAGCACACTCTTAAAGGGAGTGCTCCTATTCTCTGCTTGTTACCTGTATAAAAGACACCTGTCCACAGAAGCAGTCAATCAATCAGATTCCAAACTCTCCACCATGGCCAAGACCAAAGAGCTCTCCAAGGATGTCAGGGACAGGATTGTAGACCTACACAAGGCTGGAATGGGCTACAAGACCATTGCCAAGCAGCTTGGTGAGAAGGTGATAACAGTTGGTGCGATTATTCGCAAATGGAAGAAACACAAAATAACTGTCAATCTCCCTCGGCCTGGCGCTCCATGCAAGATCTCACCTCGTGGAGTTGCAGTGATCATGAGAACGGTGAGGAATCAGCCCAGAACTACACGGGAGGATCTTGTCAATGATCTCAAGGCAGCTGGGATCATAGTCGCCAAGAAAACAATTGGTAACACACTTCGCCGTGAAGGACTGAAATCCTGCAGCGCCCGCAAGGTACCCCTGCTCAAGAAAGCACATATATATGCCCGTCTGAAGTTTGCCAATGAACATCTGAATGATTCAGAGGACAACTGGGTGAAAGTGTTGTGGTCAGATGAGACCAAAATGGAGCTCTCTGGCATCAACTCAACACGCCGTGTTTGGAGGAGGAGGAATGCTGCCTATGACCCCAAGAACACCATCCCCACCGTCAAACATGGAGGTGGAAACATGCTTTGGGGGTGTTTTTCTGCTAAGGGGACAAGACAACTTCACCGCATCAAAGGGACGATGGACGAGGCCATGTACCGTCAAATCTTGAGTGAGAACCTCCTTCCCTTAGCCAGGGCATTGAAAATGGGTCGTGGATGGGTATTCCAGCATGACAATGACCCAATACACACGCCCAAGGCAATAAAGGAGTGGCTCAAGAAGAAGCACATTAAGGTCCTGGAGTGGCCTAGCCAGTCTCCAGACCTTAATCCCATAGAAAATCTGTGGAGGGAGCTGAAGGTTCGAGTTGCCAAACGTCAGCCTCGAAACCTTAATGACTTGGAGAAGATCTGCAAAGAGGAGTGAGACAAAATCCCTCCTGAGATGTGTGCAAACCTGGTGGCCAACTAGGAGAAACGTCTGACCTCTGTGATTGCCAACAAGGGTTTTGCCACCAAGTACTAAGTCATGTTTTGCAGAGAGGTCAAATACTTATTTCCCTCATTAAAATGCAAATCAATTTATAACATTTTTGACATGCGTTTTTCTGGATTTTGTTGTTATTCTGTCTCTCACTGTTCAAATTAACCTACCATTAAAATTATAGACTGATAACTCATTTGTTAGTGGGCAAACGTACAAAATCAGCAGGGGATCAAATACTTTTTTCCCTCACTGTATATAAACTTTTAAAACCTGTAATATTTCAACTCTAAGGAAGGGTCATTGCAAAAAAAAAAATGGTAGCGTAGTTTTTAATATTTTATTTTCAGTTAAAGAAATCTAACATGCATTGTTGATACAGGTTTGATAGACATATGGGTCTAGATTTGGGTTGCGAAAATATGTATTTAATGGTATTTCTAATATAAGACTTAGCAAGACATTGACGGATCTTATTTACAATTTTCCAGCGAGGGGCCACAGTAGTTTAACACTTTAACATGTTTGGGTGGCACATAGCATACACAACTGCACAAATACTGTATATATGTATGCATGTCTGCCTACCAGCATATTTGTAACGATTAGATGCGTTGTTTGGCGTGTTGGCATCAGGGTGGCTGTCTTTCCATCGGGGGGAGTATTCAGCTGCTCATACGGACCAAAAACTAAACTGTTGGTGTGATTGGTGGTATTTTCCATTTTGAATAGTACCACCTTGACTTAAATAAATTATGGAATATTCCATTATTTTTTTACCATTTTTATAATTACCTTTTTAAAAATACTATTTATTAAATTCATGGTTGACATTAATATTACTTTCTTAAATTCCACCAAGTCAGTTATGGATAGGTTTTGCTGTACTACGTTCACCCTTTGACTTTCAGAAGCTCAGCCATTAGCTCGCTTATCAGTATTTTAAGGCTTTTACACAGGTCTATTAACAATTCAGCTCCAGGACAGTAAATACCTGTTAAGTTATTTCCTAAAGCAATGAATCGTATGAACAATGCTCAGCAAAGTGGCCTTAATGCACCACTTAATGTCATTCCTTGAAGCCACCCAGATGCCCCAATGGCAGGGCCATATCAGTTCTGCTCAAATGGCCACTCTGTCGTTCTAATTCGGACTTAGCCAGCAGCATCAGCGAGACCAGACACACCAAGCCATCAAAGGGGATGTTGGGGGGTGAGTATCAGTTTTGAGTTCAGATTTGGCACTGCAAAGGTATTTTCCACTTTGTGATTAAAACGTACTTTTGATGATGACAATGCTACATAGACATGTCTCTGATTATAGCTTTGAAACGTTTGGCCTTTGTTTCAAAGACGCGGATTAAAAGCTTAAGCGTTTAGGTAGCGCTTGATACGGTCTTTAGTATCACACCTTGTCAGGGTGATCAGAGACTGCGGGGTCCAGGAGGGGCGTGTGGACTCTGCCACTTGTTTTAATGTTTTAACCAGCACGTGCAGATGTTTGATTAAATTCAGGGTAATTCAAGTTGTGTCGGAATCCCATGCCAATTGGCTAGCTGCATGTAATTACCCACACGTGTCAAGCACGTTGAAAAAAAAAACTCACAGCGGTGTCTTGGTTTCACCTGGACTGGACTTGTTGGCCACTCTTGCTCGACTGAGTGGTGATCATATGAAGATAATTTTATCAAGCCACCTAAGTGCCATTTAACATGCTCCATAGATTCATAACAGTTTTAGAGATTATAATGAGCTGTTCATGATGAGAAATACTGTTGAAGCATAAATGTCTGAATCACTGATTTGAATGATTGTGGAATACTGGTTGACTTGATTCTTTGGTAGATCTTAAGAACAATGGCACTACTGTACCTTTAAATACCTATAATGCAGTATTGTGCAGTATTCCGGATAACAAATAAATATACTTTCACTTAACTCTCTACATTCAAGTAAACTGTTCTTTAGTCCAGCAGCCATACATAATGTGCCAATATATAGCAGCGTTTTTCTAAGCGAGCACATTTTTGGACCAGTTTCCACCATTTGAGTCACGTCAGCAGAGACGGGCTTAATTCAACAAGAAGAATCTGATTACTCGAACCGGGGGAGCTGTTTTTTACTCAATAAATCTGGAACCAGACTTGCAACTTTTTTTAAAAGCTTTTTTTTTTTCTCACACAACCCGAGTCAACTAATCTACAAATCATCCCCACTTTTAAAAAATACATATTCGGAAACGGTGCTTCGAAGTTGTGGTGCAACGTGAGAGCGCGGCAAGTCGCCGACCGGTTCTCCTCCCTTGACCTGGCAGACCTCTCCCCGCCGATGGGCTAGCAGACTCGCTACGCCTCCTCTCTCTGACGGAGGAGCACCTGGCTGAGATGGAGGGTGACACACTGCGCCTGTTCGGCCGCGGGGCCCTCGAGGCGCTGGACCGGAGCTGGGGCGCGCACGCGGCCGCCACCATCACCGCCGTCTCCTTCTCCTACGTGGATTTCGACGAGGTGGCCGGCGTCTTGGGGAAGCTGCGCGCAAGGTTTCCTGGCACAGCGGTGAGCTCCGCTTTGAGGGTATAAATCGACAACCTGCGGCTCAAGGACTGCTCGCCTGGCTATTTTTTGTTTATATTCTTAGTTCTTTCGGTAAAGTCACGTTGAAGGGAAACAACAAAATAATAAAATATATATAAAACAAAAAAATTTCTCACGACGTTTCGACCATAACACAAACTTGAAGACGACCGTTTGTGTTATGGTCGAAACGTCGTGAGAATTTTTATTGTTTTATATATATTTTATTATTTTGTTGTTTCCCTTCAACGTGACTTTACCGAAAGAACTAAGAATATGAATTACTGCAGTCACGAAAGCTTTAAATCAAAATTATTTTTTTGTTTGTTTAAAAAAAATTACAACGGGTTCGTGAAATGGTGAAAATGAAATGGGGTTGGTCTGGGACACGCCACTAGATGGGATGATGGTCGGTGGTCAGGACTGATTGTGGATTGGCAGCCACGTGAGGGAACACGTCTGACCATCCAAAAAGGAGAAGGAGCAATTAAATTATCTCGTGTGTAAGCGTTATATTTTTTCATCACGAGACCCAGAGTTGATGGCAGCTTAGGGAGGCCCTCATCCAGCAGAGAATACATCACGGCTGATGGTGATGATTGTAAGTGCAATCGTGATGACGGCCATGACGAATATGTTAATGATGATGCTGGTGACCAATAGTTACTTATGAAAGGCAATTATGTAAACAAAATTCAGAGCAAGCTGCAACAGATTTGCATTTCATAATAAGCGATCAATGTGAAAAATTGCCATGCACGTACTGGAGAAGGCTGTCACATGGCTCTGTGTCTACGTGGGCTGACGTCCACTCACATATAACATTGACAACCTTATTTATTTATTTATTTTTATTGCATGTCTAGCCCTCTTAACTGTACACCGATCGCTTGTAAAAGGCATTCGCTAAATAAAATGCGAGCGATTTTTGTGACCGCGATAAACGCTTGCTTCTTGCCGCAACCTGCACAGCACCTCCAGTTCACCGAGACCAACCTGCAGAACCTGCAGCAGCTCAACGCTCTGGCCCAGCTGCGTCGCATCGAGCAGCTGACCGTGAACCCAGCTGGAAACTCGCTGACAGCTCTCTCGTTGTGGACGGCCTACGCCACCTTTCGCCTCCATCACCTCGGACTGCGACGTATCAACGGGCAGGAGGTGGGCAGCTGCGCTGTCGTGGGGTCAGTGGCTGGGAGTAGGCGACGCGGGGAGGTGAGGTGTATGGGAACGACCTCACCTTTTTAGGAATTGGAACGCTCTGTGATCGGTGCTCACACCACCTGCATGCCCTGTGGTGGTGCCTGCAAGGCTGCACATGCATGTGTAATTGACTCCGAAACACAACGTGTTTGTTGGGCCATTGGTGTTTGAAAACCCTTGACATGGATGTGTCACTAATAAGCACTTCTCCAAAATGTGCATTGTTTGGATGTCCGGGTGCTTTCTATGCCTTATATATTTTATTTATGATTTTTGGATATCTAGAAAGTATGCCCATATACCGCTGATGGAGGCTTGCTTGTATATTGTGAGAACTATTACTTTGTGTGTTTTTTACAGAAGTGGATGTTAAAGATCAATTGACAGCATTCACAAAAGTAGGCCATGGTCCACAAGAACTGAGTGTAATACTGAATTAGACACAGAGTGGAGAACCTAGACCTGTATCGTCCATTATTCATATTGGAGTGTACATGGAATTGCATAAATCGTGAGTAATATTTGTGAAGCATATGTATCAGATGAAGCTCACATGAGGCCAGCCTAACACGTGTTTACCATGTCAACACTTGGTACCGTGTAACTTTACCACAAAAGCAGAAATGATCAATTCATTTGCTGCATTATCTGTATAAATGCTTTGTGTTTGAGCTACTACAGTGACATTTTAGCTGCTTGTTAAGAAACTAAGAAAAGCTTAAGCAGTATTTTGTGTATCGTGCGAGAAATATAAAAAAAACGTGCTAATCGTATAAGTGCTTTCCTTTTCAGCACAGGCATTTAGAAATAGTTTTAGAGAACATATATATATCATCACCATTTCATGTAACTAACTGCATTTCACAATGTGGCATATCATCCATGTGCCATCTGTTTCCTTTTGGCGGTTTGGTCCAGACATTATTTGTGGTAGTTCAGCAAAGAGGCATTTCGAATTTTAAAACGTGATGCACCACAAGACTCGGTCACACAAAATTTGAACACCTCGATTAAGCCTTATTTTTTGCTTGTTGCAATTCCTACACTTCTCAAAATGCCTGCAACAATGTTAAGGTACAATTTTAAAGCACTTACGAAACAGCAGGAAAATTCACGAGCATTAAACTCCAGCTTCCTTTCACGTCACCTCAAGGTTGGTGGGTGAACAGGTGTCAGGAATGTGGAACCTAGAATTTGACCCTATTCCTGAAGACCACTTGATGCTCGCCGCATGAGATTGCCTGTGCCTCCGTGGTCCACCTCGTTTTGGCACTGCTCTGCTCTTTAGCATTACGTCAGCAGTTTGCGCACATTTAGCAATGTAGCCAATGTGTAGTTTTATTGCATTTTCTCTTATAATTATGTGTGTACAATTGATAGTCTCCGATACATGCCATATTTCGAGCCATTAACTTGACTTGTGAAGGCAGTATTTATGGCCATAGAGTATAGTAATCGGTACAGATCAGATAAAAGCAAACTTGACCTTTTCCACTCCATGCACTGCTGGAAATACGATACGAGGAGACGTGAAGGTGACCCTGACCGTCCAACACTGCTGTTCTCCTCCAAAGCATACAAACGCGTGCACACACACACACACCTACTCTGAATGTCCCTTGTGCGTGCATACCTTTCAACACGCGCCCAGTGTTTGCTATAGTTATAATTAGGTGTGTCGGGTTTTAGATTTTGCCTTTCGTTCTTATTTTCACCCAAGCGATGAGCACAAAAACACATAATTTATTAAAAATCCATCCATTACATTTATATGCTTGTGTAGTCTTTGTTAATAAAGCTAAGTGTTGTCTCGTAACAGTGAGAATGTATTTTGAAGGCCTCCTCTGAGAGCTACGCAAATGTGCGTTGAAATCTTTGCATTTCTTATTGCAGCTGTAAGATATTTTGTAGTAATGCAGTAAGTGACTTGCTTTTGAATTGTTTATACAAATCTGTTTCATCAAACATCCTTTCAAAGTGAAATATATCACATTGGTGTTTCGTTTGTGCATTGTTACACCCTACTTTTACCACGTTAAATTGCTGACACACGTCATTTAAGGATGAAGACGATCGGGCGAGGCACACTCAGCCTCGTAATCTCTCAACACTCGTTGTGTACATGCACTTACCGCTACAAGGTGCTGAAGTGTTGGCTCCAATGTGCATTTACGCCTCCTTCCTGGCCTCTAATGAGAGTAAAAGTGTGTGGCACGCTGGCCTAAAAATACAAGTTGAGTTGAGCCATGTACACAGCCGTGCGGTTTGGTTTCTTTCTTTTTGGGCGTCTCCTTGGCCCGAGACTTGGAAATTCCACAAGCTGACACAGTGTTCACTGCCTTTTGGCCCCGTTTTGTCTGTACACCCATCACCTATTGTGAGTACACTAAAGCTTCTGCCGCGGGCGTTAAGGGAGAGCGGGGGCCACACTTCGGTGTTAATGTACCCAAGGAATAGACACAGGCAGCCTTGTCTGGCAGGCTCACCTGATAAGGCCCAAACAGCCTGCAGTCCTATAACCGACGTCTAAGTACAGAACTCGCGCAGTGTGCCACTCCCAGGGGAATTCCAACAGTTTAGCCAATTTTCTTCCAATTAAAAGGTAAAGCTGAACCCCTTTTTATGCTTAAGGTCAACTTTTGAATACGCAGAATTATTTCTAAAGGTCAGAAATGTTATGCTAGGAATTTGGGGCTGTTGTTTTTTTTTTGTTCATATCTGACGTCCTCCTCCTTGCTCAAACACCTCCGTGTCAAAGGGGAAAGGCTCCCTGAGCTCAAATACAAGCTTTGTTGAATCAATTTTTCTGCTTAACAGTTTGACAAAGAGGAATGTGCAATCGCTTACGCTGGTCTACGGGGCACATATACTTTGTTCATATTCTTGGTTCTTTCGGTAAAGTCACGTTGAAGGGAAACAATAAAATAATAAAATATATATAAAACAATAAAATTCTCACGACGTTTCGACTGTAACACAAACAGTCATCATCAGGTGTGAAAACCAACGGCAAGAAACGTGACCAAGAATATGAATCACTGCAGTCACGAAAGCTTTAAATAAAAAAATATACTTTGTTATTTAAATGGGTATGGGGGGTGGAATTAAGGGTTGTAGTATAGTCTTTAACGCTCGTGTGTAAATGGAGAACCTGGATATTGGCTTAATTGGACTCTCTTTTACACTGCGTCGGTTCGTACATGCACAATTAACTGAATTAATTCATACGTACATTTGATTTATGTTAATATATATTGGAAAAAGACATTAATGCACTGTTAGCGCATACGGAATTCACATTGATTGGTTGTTGGTAGTAGTCCTAAATGATATATGTAATGGAGATCAATAGTTATTGTTATACATCCTTACTTTCATTAGTGCCTGCAATAACAGAACAAATCATGATGAATATAGACTAACCACTGGCCCTGTTGTATTTATCATTCCTGAACCATTGGACTTGGTACAAGCAAAACCTGCGAACAATTTTGCAGCCCTTACAGCAATGAATTAATCTAAACAGTGTTTCAAGTTGATTCAACAGTTTATCTTACGGTTGGGTGTTAAATCAATGATCCCTTCTCATTATGTGGGTCCCAGCAAGCATCGGGTTACCCTAATTTGTTAACTTGTTGAAAGGACATGCGCAATCTGCTTAGGCCTTTCCTATTCGCTTGCAGTGCACATTCACACGAGGCAGCTGAGTTGCAGGACTCCGCTCAATGAGGCCGTGTTCTTTGGCTGCTTCCAAAGTAAACACCAATAAGACCTACGCAACCACAGAGGTGGGAATACTGCTCTTGACATTGCGGTGTTTTCAAAGCTATCCCTGGGAATTGCAGTCCTACAGCAGTGCAATACTTGCAGAGGGCAATTTTATTTCGTGCTCGAATTTGCTCACAGGATAGCGGCTCAATTATTTTTGGTCCAGTAAATATGGTCCGGTCGGTCTGTAGCGCATTTTTCGATGAGGTGTTGAAGATGGCAAGTGTTAATTTGGAAACGGCAATCAATCTGTCTGGATAGGCTTTGAAATCCTAATATTAACCTCCGTCTCTTGCTTAATATCGATTAACACGTCTATTGGCAGAGATATGCGGCGTTAACATCTCAGGATTATTTTACAGTCGCGTCGATACGGAGATAATATCTGCCTTTTTTTGCATTTGGCAAGGTGTGGGAGGTAATACCATGTGATGCATCATTTAACCTGAGGTTACCAAACACTTGGCATTGCCACTGACAATAACACTTGATACCCTGCATTACAGCCAACTGAGCATCTTGGCTACCACCTCTTCACTGGAGCCTGACGGGTAGTCTGTGTGTGTGTGTGTCCTGACAGAATGTCCTGGAAGCCCAGAAATCCCCCCCCCAGAATTGTGCAACCCTACGGCTTAACGATGCCGTGACAAGCGCTGGAATTTACGGAGACTTGGCCGATCAAACATGACAATTCTTTTAATACGTGCGATTATTTTGTCGGGCAGATATCGGCGACAGATGTCACAGCTGCAGAGGCGATGTTCGGTTCCCTCGCCCGATTGACTGCCCCGCGGGCATCGACCTCGGCGCTCGGGGACGGCAGGTACGCTCGCGTGCAAGCGCCCGTGAGCGCGCACGTTCGTTTTGTACTTTTGTGCGATTGCGTGCGTGCGTGCGTGGGTTTCGCATTGGGGTAATTGAATCCCTGGTCCGCATCGTCGCAGGTCACGGCATCTCAAGGTACGTACCAGAAGTGCAACGTGCGCATTTTTGGTACATCCTGTGTCCCATTGACCCTTGAGGGGTGAGTGTTTGTGAGAGCGAGGGTGTGGCCCTGGGTGTGGGGGTTAGCATTTCCATTGCCATATTACATTTGTCATCGATTTTCCGTTCCCATGCATTTTATTCGGGGCTAGATTGCCACAGTAAGCATGAAGCAACTACTTCATTAGCGAAGAACAGTGTGCGTGGTGTACTTTTGGACCATGTTTATTTTAAAACACCGTTCACTTACAAGTTCACACGTAACATCGAAGTCGCGGCTATCTTGTAAGTAATTAAAACATTTATTTACAGCAGGTTATCCATCCACTGCTGCATGAAGGCTTTCCCATGCCATGTCGGTTATGGTGATTTTTTTTTACCGTACTTCAACAACGCTGGTCAGTGTTGGTGCAGGGGGCGGGTGGAATTACCACTTTGTTGGCCCTGTTTGGGATTGAACTCAGGTTTCTGGGTTCACTGCGTAGTGCCACCCCCCTCCGCCCCATAAGTTAACACGTGCACGAATTTCCACGTCGGATTTTTAATTCGAAGAGAAGCCTACTTCGAAGTGACTCACAGCATTTACACACGAGGGCAGAACACAGTCCGCCCATAAAAAAAAAAATTAATCCATGAACATGCACGGAAACAAACGTGAACATACGCACACTCGCACGCACGCACGCACGCACGCATGGCGGCTCACACACACCCCAAGAGATTTGTGGCCAAAGTGAACAACGCCCATACCACTCCGTGCTTCGTCTTAAGGCCTGTATAGGAACAGGATATGGGAATATTGCAAAAACACAAACGGCTTGTCAATGTGCCCGTTGCAAACCTGGGCTTGGGAAACCACCCGGAATGGAGATTATTGGGCAGCGGTTGTGGGAGATATCCTTTTTTACAGGAAAAAGGTAGTTGTGACATTTTTTATGCAAGCCAGAACTGTCACACGTGTTTGTCGTGCCGTAGTTTGTCACTGTTCTGTGTGTGGGTGTTATTGCGTCAATGCTGGCTGGTGGAGTAATAATGTGGGATGCTTGCAGCCTGCTTATACAGTCACTGGCTGAGCTGCTGCATAGCTCTCCGCCTTATCTGCTACTCGTAAAGGCTGAAGCAATGTGCTGTTTTGCGGTCTCATTTTATTTTACTTTTCTCATCCCCGCTTTTACAAGTTTTTTTTTTTTAACAGACGTTTCAAAATAAATGTTACGGATCGAGACGAATATCTTAAGACGTGTACACAATCTGTGCGTTCTCAACAGTACATATTTACTTGAAGACGTTCGTACCTAAACAACAACAACAACAGTACACATGCCTGCAGAAATGTCAACAGAGGGGGGGGGGGGGGGAAACAAGATAAGGCAGCAGCAGCAGGCCAGCTCAGTGTCGGAGGGTAATGCCTCTCGGAGGAAACACTTGCGTAAGCCTACTCGCCATCGTAAATAAATGTCCATCTTGGGAAAGATATTCCGGGTACAACAACAAAGGCACTCTCGAAAAACGACCGACTCTCACGGGGGTGCAGATGGTCCCCACTGCTGCAGCTGCCAACTATTTAAAAAAAAAAAAACCCCATCCCAACTCGGGAGCTTCCCATATGTGCCCTTGTGTGCCTTCACGGTTCCCTTTAGGAAGAGCGGCGGCTGCGTGAAGTCACTGGTGTCTAACACGAGTGCTTTCCAACGCTCTCAGCCGTGAGAGATCTTAGGGATTTGCCTGCAGTGTCACCATCGGGGAGAAAGTATGGAACAAGTGCCGAGTGAATCTTTATTTGGATATTTGATGAAAAATCGGGAGCGCCACTTTACTCGCGCGGCAAGTCCCAGCGGGAGTGAGATAGTTATTCTGATTTCGCAGATAGTCATTCAAAAAAGTTTTTGCTTCGAATATTTGTGCCAAGGCATAAAACTGCAGTGATTAATTATGTTATATTCTTGCATATGGCAATATGTTCAGGAGATAAATGCCAATGTCAAGGTCTGCTTGCCACAAGAAAGCTGCAGGAAACAGTTTGCGTAGTTTTGCTATTTCTCCGTTGAAGGAGTGCAAGCAACAGTTATTTACGATGTGATCCATAGCTTGCATTGCATGGCCACAATCGCACTGTGGCTTTTATTAAAATTCCCATTCACGGGGGCCTGCACATCGGCCTGTTGATGGTTACACTAGTGTCTTCGAGGAATGTCAAAGCCGGGAGGTGCGATGTTTGAGTATATGTTAATAATATAATCATGTTGGTTACATCACTTGCTGTTTGATTTGTAATTCTGGTGGAGCAGTTTGCATTCGAGCGCTGTTCTGAATTGGGTGGGACTGATGGTTTGAGAATGTCCCCTGAAAAAGATGGAGCGGGGAAATCCATTAATGTGCAGATGCTAAGTGGATTACTACATCGTAGGAGCACAAGAGGGTGGTGGTGTCTTGGGGGAGGCCTTCATCCAGCAGTGGAGTGAGCATGGCTGATGATGGATGGACATGGGGCTTATCTTGTCACAGTTAATGACTATTTTATGAAAACATCCACATGCTGAGGGAAATGTTACGTGTGATGTAACTTTGAGGTTGTGAAATAGCTAACATTTTTTCTGGTATACTTAACGTTTTTGAGATTTTGTCCAGACCAGAGGGTGTTCTTTACGTATATGCATTTTTTTTTCCCTTTGACTTTAATTATTGTCTATCATTGTGGGCTTTAGGACTTTGTTGCAGGCACAAAAAATACCCAACGGTGGCTTTACACGTATCTCTTTCAGTTTACCTAAGCTTTACAGCCTTGTCTTTGGAGAATGTAGGCAAGCGATGAAATCTGTGATAATGGCATATTTGCTTTGAATTCAGGAAAACTTGTATGTGTAGCATTTAATCTCCACGTATTTGCTTTCGCCAATGAAGTTAACGCTGTCGGTAAATAGCAACTTTGTACGTGGTTGTGGTGTGAAAGAATGATCATGTTTTTTTAGCATGTGACAGCAGCCCACAACCCTGTGTGTGGGAAAAAAAATAACCTTTCCCCGTCACTGTGATGCTGCCACCCATTCTCGTGTGGTCAGTGAACTTCCCCGCAGATGGCGGGGGAAACTCGGAAGACACGATGGGGGTAAAAAGTGGCAATGTGTAATGGTCTGTGGTGAGAACACAAGGCTTTACTACCACAATCGCTGGGGCTTGGTTACTTTATTGAGTTTCAACATGCCATTTCTAAGTGGTAACAGGCCCTGCCCAAGATACCCACATGAAGCAATGCAGCAGCCACTTTATCAAATAAGTTAACTCCCGTTACTTATTTAACGGTGCTTCAACAATGTGATTTAACAGCTTTCGGAAAGAAAAAAAGGAGTGCTCCAAACGCGTGGCCGAATGTGAGTGGCACAGTGTTGTTATCAAAGTAAAAAGTTGTTCGCACTGGATGGTGATTCCAGCAGGGTAAAAGGGTCTGAGCATGCTCTCAGTCAGAAGTGTACTCCAGCCTCCAGTGGGATCAACAGCATAGTCATAGAAAGCTTGCAAGGTCCTAATAGCCGATCGTCAGCATTGATTATAGGGCTGAAAAAAAAAGTTAGAAACTGAAATCCAATGCTGCGGTACTCCCTTTTTGGCCACCTACACGAAGTCCTTGAAAAAAGGGCACACTTTTAACATTTATCTGCACAAAATGCACTACGAATTCCACAACTCTTATCTGTAGTTTGAGCCGTATGTGCTTAATGTGCTTAATACGCAATGCAGGAAGGAGAGCGTACCGCCAAAACTTTGTAGAATGCAGGCAAATGTATTTTAGCTGAAGGTTAAATAACTTGATTTATCTCAAGAGCTAAGAAATATAATGGAATTTGATTTTTTTATGGAAAATAAATAAAATGAAAGTTTTTTTTGCGTGTGCTAAATTGTAATCTAGATTTACAACAGGGCAGTTATAGAGTACAAATTGTAAAAAAACTACCATCCACATACCACCTGCTTTAATTAAGTTAAACATTTGTTATTCGGAATTGTAGGTTCTGTGCCAGATTCGTTTTATGGAGGAAGATCAAAGTCTTTGTAGTTTTATTTAATTAATATTACGGTTGGAAGTTCTCACCAGTGGCCTTGCGTAATAAATGTGTGCCACACTACGCTCTGTTTGACCCTCATTTGCACACACATTTTCACCATCTCACACTAAATCAAGCTAGACACTTAGCACTCCTCCATGGCGCCCCCAGCTGTGAGTGGTTAGGTTGGTGAAAGCGGCTGATTGGGAGGGAAGGGGGAGAAAGGCGGCCAATTGGCCCATGGCCATCGTACCATCACGATCTGGTTAATCTCAGAAGTTGAGCATTAGGCCTTGAATGGTAACGGTCCCCGGAGATCAAGAGGGATATACGGGAGGGCATTATAATTGCATAATATCTCCATGCTCTCACCGTTAGGCCTGAGAAACACGAGGCAGCAATAATGCTGTGTTTTAAAGCATTCAAACCCAGCATCTATATATAATACGTCTATATGATCAGGCCACATGATGATTTCCTGACCCAAAGCATGTCGTCTGCTGTTAAGTGAATGTTAAAGACAGTGGCACCGGTTTGTTTAAGTAGAATATTCTCATAGCCTAATTCACAAATTTAAAATGTCTTCATTAAATGTAGCACATGTATTTACTACTAACTGTAGCTGATTGGGTTTCCCTCAATAAAGTCTGATTTTATAAAGGAGAGTCATATTTTGTCACGCGTGAATATTTTAACCTGGGTTAGTACGATGGCTTTCGGGTGAACTTTATGAACACTACATATACTTTCATGGAATGTTTTCAGCTGCTTCATGGGCTATTAATTGATTATAAACAAATATAACAGGATTTGTTGTACCGTATTTCCCAATCAAACGAGGCACGTGTCTGCGTCCTTGTAAATGTGCAACCCGGCAAATCGCCGTGCATTACACGGATCAGACGTGCCTCGTAGAATTACAAAAACGTCTCCATAGCCGATTTTATCACTTGCCAAGTAAAGCGTTGAGTGAATGGTTATACTGTGACATGCATATACGTGAAATATTCTGACCCCCATAAACCATCAGCATAGTGGGAATTGTGATTTAGAACATGTGCTTGACTCGAATCGGCACGGATGACAGTACTTCTACGAGTGCTCTCACCGCATCTCTCTGCTAGGAAGAAGCTGCCAGCGGCTGCTGCCGCCGCGTGCACTGCCGAGAGCAAGGGCAAGAGGGCAAGTGGAGGACCCGTCGCCGACGATGGGCGGGAGCGTGGCCCGGCACCCGTGGATTCGGCCAGCCTCGCCGGCCTGCAGTTCTACTCCCAGGAGGCGTTGGACAGGATGTGTCAGGTACAGCGATCGTCAGCCGAGAGTGGCGATCGGAAGGGTGCCGGGTTTCGCACGAGGAGTAACGGGCAAGAAAATTACGTTGCGGGGAGACGTGGGTAAAATGCAAGCGCGGAAGAAAGCGTTTAAAATAATTGTTGCGTAATATATGAGCGTCCTGTATCAATGAGAAATGCCTGAGACGATCTGATTTATGTGTCTCGTGCATAATTGCTGCATGCACATTTTAGTACGGTTGCTACGTTTTGCCTGACTGGTTTATAAAGGACCTTGAAAAATGCTTCTGGCATGCCATGAAGTTGCTCACCTGTTTTCAATGTTTTTAAGATATAGGTTCCACCTGGAAGGTATTACGTAAACAGAAAGAGTGGAAAATCCACAAGCATGTGACCTTTAGTTCAGAGCATCTTATGATTAGCTATCATATTCCATTAGCCAGATAGAGACAAGACAGCGCACACAAAAGTTGTGTAGCAACCATAAACGAAATAATTTGTTCTTCAGCAATGAAAGTGTTTTTATTTGAAATAGATCTGCTAGATGAATTAACCTTAGAAATGCTTTGTAGCCTGAGATCGCAGATATAAAAAAAAAACTTTTCCAGCAGGTGAAAAGTTTCCAGTACTGGCTACCAAATATCTCGATTTTTTTCTTCTTGTTTTGTTCGTGATGGGTTAGGCCCCTTGTGAAAATGTCACGATGCGTGTCATATTTCAGGAGCAGGAGGAGAAGGGGCGCTTCTGCCAAGACTACGTGAAAGAGCTGGTGGACAGAGTGGTTCTGCAAGAGAAGAAACAGGAGGCGTTGCAAATAATTTGGCCCCAGTTCTTCCTTGAGATGGTCACGGATGCCGTTCTTGAGACACAAGATTCCGACACGTATGTGTCCAGGCGCATGAAGGAGCTGACTGAGGAGTGATGTGGAGATGAAACCAAAGGCTGCACATATGATCCCAGCTGCCATAAAACAAAACAAAATCAACAAAGAAATGCTCTCATGCACACATGTGACCATGTGGTTCTCAGACTTTTGCGGCGAGGAAGTGACTGAATTAATTGTGCACTCGCAGAAGAGACAGCATGGACACACTCCAGGAAAAAACAGTATTTTCCTTCATGATACTGCTTCATACTTAACAACATTATTGGCAGTGCTTAATCAAAATAATGTATCAGGTTAGATGGCCACCCTTCCCTCTGTTATTCTTTCATAATGAAAAACATACAATGGTACTTGTATCCTCAATTAAAGAATGTGGGTTTTATTCTAAAGTATTCACAGAAGGAAGTCCAATAACTGTGCAAATTTTCACTTCACCGTTTACTGTGTAGACACTGACTGTGGAAATTGCCCGTGCTGTAGCTAAACAACTTATATGTATTACCTATCACTATTTATATTTATTAGGCTCGGCGTAGGCAATTCCACAGTCATGGCTTCCTTCGATCAAATGAATACATCAAAAGATCTGTTCAAGGAAAAACATGGTGAAACATTTCAATTTCACTGGTCGCTTATTTCGTCTTTATAGATATATAAAAAAAAAAACCTGTAATATCGCTGAAAAAATGCAATGGCCACATATTGAGCTCTGTCTCAGTATAGTTACCTTGGTATCCAAGAAAATTATTCTCGTCCTGATTTGGGAGATCATTTACATTTACCACACGCCTCGTTGCACGGAAGGCGCAGGAGGCCAGCCCCCCCCACCACCACCACCACATCGTACTGGTGTGCTTGCGTGCCTGCCATTCGCTTGTTAAGCATCTCATACATTTATCTAACTAGAATGTGGTAAACCCATTGCCTTCCACTTAAACGTATGTATGCACTGCTGGAACGGCTAATGTGCAATATTGCCAACAGCTGCAACCGGAGCATTAAGAATTTGTTTAAAACTGTGTAATTGGTTGGTGGCAGTTGCGTGTACGTGTGTGTATTTACTTCATAGGTTCAACATGGTAACATATACGGCACATTTTGAACAAGTGTATACTCTTGCAGTATACACATCATATTAACATATACTGTATGTCATTGCACTAATCCTAATGCATGAATAGATGTAGGCAGAGAGATAAATCAAAGTGGTGTTCACCTTCTTTTGAAGGGAAGTGCTTTAAGTTATCACAGCCATCGTGCTGCACATTTCAGGAAGCACGCGGTGGAAACTGAAGTTTGATGAAGTGATACGCCTCTCCAACCATGAGGGAACCTCACTAAATATAGCCAACCACACATCTGCTGCTATTGTGACAAGTGCCACACAGCAAGGATGGTTTTAGCACTTGTGTGAGTAATGGACCGAGAGATGTCAAACCATGGACCCACCACATCCTCGGTGAACGCATAAATCTCTCAACGTCGCTGGCACAGTTGCTGAATGGTGAATGGCTAGCGTTCACGTGTGGTGGCGCGCACAATCGCCTGTAATTCTCGTGACTTGAAGGCGGGGAAAGGTGGATGGGACATTTGTGGCCTGCTCGGTGATTCGGTGCTGCTGGTACACAAAGTACGTTTTTGATTTATCCTCGTGGGCGTTGGGCTTGCTGTGGTTCTTGCTCCGGCTGTTCCGGTTGCCTTCCACAAACAAAATGTTTTCATTGGCCAAACGATTAAAATGCGAGATCCTTCGTGAAATGAGTTTTGTTACTGAAGGCTTTTTTTGTGTAAATTAATGTGTTTCCATTTCATTGGGGCCTACGCTTTGTTATGAATTAAAGCAAAGACATGTTTTGTCTTCCTGGTATATTTAAAAGCAAAGCAATTAGCTGCTCAGTGCAGTCTTATATACATATTTATTTTCTCTTGTGAGAAATCGTGCATGAATTCGCTTTTTTTTTACTGAAGTATGTCAGCCCTGATGTGAATGGTGATTGCAGTTTATTTATTTTATTGCACGTGTGATTTGCGCAAGCCTTGAAGTTATATATCAAACTAAATAAAGGACGTGTGTTTGAGAATCTCTTGATTTTGCGACAACATTTTACGTTGATTGTGAGTAGACATTGATGCCAGCAACAAAACAGCCAACGAGCCCAAGGGTTTTTAATATACCCCCCCCCCCAAAAAAAAATAATCAGTGGCAGAAAAATAAATACAGTTAAAAAATGTCTTGCCATACTGTATGACGACCGCAAAGTATGCCAGCGATTCAACCAAGTCATCCCCGTGCGTGTCAGGGCAGGGGAAAGCTTCACTGGCTGCTGGAGGGGAATTCGCATTTACCTGTGGACTTGACCGGAGAGAGGTGCCCCCACGTGGTTTCGGCGTACACAAGTCGGGCCTTTTTGTTGTTGTTGCGAAGATCGAGTATCAAGGTCGCTCCGGCGCCCGCCTAATTCGTGTTACATGCAACAACAATGAAAAAAACAAAGCAATTTTTGTTGTCCTCTGTAAAAAAAAAACGGATTTAAATTGCTGGCATTTACTTTGCTGAAAAACAACCTCGAGGAACGAACGTTAATCCCGCTTTATGCAAAAGGATGGGGTGAGGAAAAAGCCGAGGAACGTGCGTACGTGCTTTGGCTGTGAACGCATTCTAGGGCAAAAGGGAGTTTGAATGTGTGTCATGCATATTTGCGCTAATTGTCCGTAATTCAGTCAAATTGTTTTCCTAACGTCTACAAAGGCAACAACGTGACAGGCTAATCGCTAGCCAGAAACACAGTGGCACAATAATGCCCCATCTGTTCTTTCACATGCACCACTTATAGGTTACAGTACAATATGATCCGATTATTTTAAGGCGCATAGCATCATGACTTTGATTTGCATGCGTTTCGTCGGTATGCTGCTTGACACAGTTGATGCAGTAAGACAGTGCGACGATCTGGCGGGTTTGCTCCGTCTGGAAATGCCTCTGGTCGAAGATCTTGTGGAATGCGCTGTCCGAAGTAATATCTCCAGAGTGACATGGGACACAGTAACAACGGGGGGGTGGGTTATCAGGCAGGTAAACCAAACTCTCACACCCTGCGTCGTTCAGCTGGCTAATAGCACCGTGGTTCGTAAGTTAAGAGTCCGCGGCTCGATTCGCCACTCAGATTCGCGTGGGTGTGTGGGCTGCTGTGCGAGTTCCCAAATTCCGTTGTTGGGTATAAACAAGCTGCGAGCTTATACTGTATCTGGTTTCAGGTAATTGTACACAGCCACTCTTATGTGTAACCAGGGCCGTAATTACAGAGGAATATGGATTCCAATCGATGCAAGTTAATGGTGTTGCACTTGAACAATGCTGGAACCTGAAAATATACGACCACTCCGATTAGCCGTTCGAGAAAATTAGGAATGTTGGCAAGTTTTGAGAGTTCATTTCCTCCATATGGTATTGCACCAAGATCAATGGCTCACAATTTCGTGCAAACCAACAACTTTTCAGATCTCTAATGACTGAAACGCCTCCCCTCCACGGATGAACGTCACTGGCTTTGTTAGCCATCAAAATATGCCCGCTTGCTCACCCCCCCCCCCCTCAAAGAGCGAAATGGGCTCTCTAGTCAATCATTAAAACCTCTCGAGTCTAGAGTGAGATTGATTGTTCTTCCTCCTTTCTTCTCTCGCTAATGGGATTCATCATCCGGAAACTTAATGCAACGTTGAGCTGTTAGTGGCCAAAATCACCTCCGAAGAAATGCACCTGCAGTTAAAATGACCCGTCCACGTAGTCAACAGAATTCAGAATGCGTTCGTATTTATCAAATATATCAAACTGGTGAATGAAATCCAGACTTACCAAAGAATACCCTGCAAATTCTTGCAAAGCTTCGTTGTCTTCTTTTGCCCAGTTTGGCTTTAACAGTCGTGTTCTCCTAACCGTTGAGCAGATTCTAGAGATAATTTGCGAGCTTCAAAAGAAATGCTTAAGGCTCTAAAATCCTCAGTATGAGCCCTTCCCCTCGATTATAATGAAACATTCATTGAGGCGGGGGGGGGCGGCAGAAGGGGGGGGGCAGAGGGAGGGGGAAGAGGGAGGGGGGGGCATACATTCCCTGGGGAAGGGGAACTGTGGGAGAGATGTAACTGTAGGTGACGCTGCGTAACTCTCAACCCCCCAATGGGTCACTCATCCCAGGAGGCTTGGATGATCTTGGTGTGATAGCGATGGCGATGATGATGATGATGTGTCAGAGCTTGCTCGTGTTTGCACTGCCGCTTGCCCCAATCGCTCGCGGAGGTCGCTGTCGGTCAGCTGCGCTTATGTTATGCGAACGAGAGTGGGGGGGGGGGGGGGGACCAGATAAAGAAATCTCCACATCTCCCCGGAGACGCGTGCCTTCATCTTCTGAGCCTACCTGGGGAGAGAGAGCGATGATAGACAGGGAATAAGTGCTGCTATGAAAGTATGATAAGCACAACTTTAAGGGACAAAAAAATCCTAAAAGTTTAAACGCAGAAAATTATTATGAGAAGCCAAACGCGACGTTTTCGTAAAAGCGATGCTCTTAACAATCAAATCCAAGTACGAGACCTCTTCTGAGCCTCGCTAATTAATGTATTAATTGGCCATGTGCTAATATATGTCTCTGGGAGGTTTCGCTAGAATCAGTGGTTCTTACCTTTCACCGCAGCTTTGCCCCCCCGTTGGTTCTCAATCGGAAGACAGCGATGTATAATGTTAATACATCGGTTTGATGAAACAACGTAGTTGTAAATTTTGATTTAAAGCTTTCGTGACTGCAGTAATTCATATTCTCAAAATAATTATTTTGTTGTTTCTCTTCAACGTGACTTTACCGAAAAAACTAAGAATATAACGTAGTTGTACTTACGTGCCCGTACTTAATTTGTGTCTTCGATTATTTATCTTTAAAACTAAAAATCTGGCCACGTCTCGCACGCCCAGAAAGGGCGTCTCGCACCCCCAGGGGGCGCAGGGTGCACCCCCAGGCTCAGAAGAAGAACCACTGCACTCGATGCAGAAGGATGCGGCAGGGGAATGGGAGGGGGGGGGGTGCACAGAGATGGGTGTGGGGGTCCTCTGGCGCCGTGACAAGCTCTCCGGAAGGCAAGTCACCCCCACTCGCCTCCTCCTCCTACACCACCACCACCACACGCCCTGACGTCACGCACTCCGGCCCCACGCCTCCCACAACGGCGCATGGATTAAAAACTTCGCACGTTGAATGGGGAACGGCGGGCTTGCGACGCGACGAGACGGTGGAACCTGCGAGCCACGCGCGAGCCGACCTGCCGGGACGAGGAATCGGACAGACAGCCAGACAGACGAGCGGACGGACAGAGAATAGAGAGAGAGAGAGACAGAGTCTTCGCTGTTCCTTCTCCGCGCTCATCCCACTTGAGCCGAGACACGGAGCGAGCAACAACTCCGGACCGCACGGACCCCCCACCCCCCTTTCCCAACCCGTCTCGACTCCGGCCCCACAACTCACCCGACCTATCCCAAAGACGACAAACCCCGGGCTTGGCTAACGGCGCAGCACCGGGAGGTGACCCTTCCACGTTCGCTGGCGCTGCCATGAGACTCTGTAGGCGCCACGTGAACGGAGGAGGCTGAAGGAGGGCCAGGAGACGCCAACGTCGTCGGGAGTGACCGGCGCGCGTGCCGCGGGGGGTTCCGCGTCCACGCGACCGACAGGTGAGGGCTGAGCAGATGCCGGGCAAAGAATCGAGTTGCTGGGGTGGCCGCTGGTGGAGCGAGTGGAGCGAGTGCGCTCGCCTTTTAAAACGCTTGGCGCGCTGCTGTGCGGGATAAAAAAAAAAACGTCGCGCGTCTTCGGGTTGTTGTAACACGCCGTGTTTTTTGCGGCGGCACAATTGTCCGACGTTTCGTAAATCATGCCCCCCCCCCCACCGCCGCCCGTCACGTTCGTTCATCGTGCTCCATCTTCATTCATTCATTCAAACTTGCCGCCGGGAGCTCCCCAGCGCGAGCGGCCGAAACGTCGGACAATGTGCGCGGTCACGAACCAGAGCGGTTTACGCAGTGAACTCTCGCGCGTCGATACGTGGGGCCCTCCGTACCTGTACCCATCTCCCGTCGACCTGAAGATGGGCGGGCTGCGTTATCCGCTGGTCTGAATCTTCCCAGTTGCTCCCACTGTGAGTTTCCCCCCCACCACCTTCCGTTCTTTGGAGTTTGTTTTTTGCGAGAAGCTTTTTGTGTTTCTGCTCGGTAGCCAAACTCGCTGCTCGGTCGTGCTCCGTGCCCGCGTCTCCCTCTCGCCGTTGCTGTCGTCATCATTGTCATCATTCACGGCAAGTGCGAGCTCCAATCGTCACTCACAACGAGCGCGCAAGCAAATTATCCATTACATTGTGAAGAAACTATTTTAGTAACGGCGATGTAAACACAACCCTCCCTCCCCCCCGCACTCTGCAAATAGCTCTTTGATGTTATGCTTCGGGTTGTACGAAAGGCGCGCGCTGCGATGTCCGACGTTCCGCTGCACGTGCTGTGGAGGGGGTGGGGGGGGAGCTTCGATCGTCAGTGAGTTCCACACGCGGGCCGCACACGTCGGAGAGACGGGCAGAACAGCGGCGGAACGGCGAGCGAGTTGTCCTGCTGCGTGGCAGGGGCTCCACGCGGCCGCAATGATGATGCGCCAGCTCGCCCCTGACATGGGCTAGTCGAGTATTGAAGAAGCGAAGAAGCTCCGCGGAGCGAAACGTCGGACACCGCGCCGAGCAAAACGCCGTGCACAACCCGAAAGCGCATTCAGACGCAATTCCGTCACCCACGCGGTCAATATATCACCGTCGACAACGTTTCGCCTCACAGTCTATACGATGTGTTGTTATCTTGACTCTGCAGTGGGCTGTGTATCGTGTGCCATAGTTTGCGTGCGTGCAATGTATGGGAAGCGGTTAACGCAGTGGTTAGCGCTGCGCCGCGCTACGAACCCCGCCGTCCGAGTTCGATTCCCGCTCACGCCAACCAACGCCGGTGACGATCATCTGAACCGGTCCTGGGCCTCCCCTAGGTAGACTCGGCCTCAAATGCGCACCTGGTGCGGTGTGCAGTCAACGACATTATTTGCTCGGGAGACAAAGGTGGCCCGGCGTGGTTTCTGGGCCACCCGTCCCCTCGTGTGCAACCGTGCCGGCCTTCGTAGGTGCTGCTCTTGCCCCAACACATCTGTTAAGGCTACACGGGGGATCTGTGTCTTCGTGACGGTGTGTGCACTGAGTGTTCTTGTACAGGGAAATTGCGTTTTCAGGTCCATACGACGTACAGCCGTTTCAATACAGGCAAACATTATTTTGTCCATGTGTTTGTGTTTTTCCCTTGTGATGGGACTTTGTAGGATGAACGTTGAGATTTATAATGGCACGGGGGTGACCAACAAGGTGTGAATTGGTCTGTAATAATGTAGGCACTGATAAGGGGCTGGCAGGTATGCGTACGCATCTTTACGCGATTGCGCGCGGCACATTTCTTTTTGACACGAGTACAAACTTGGAAATTGTTTACTTGCAAAGTTGCACGGCGGTGTCAGGGGCAACTCCGCCTCTCCCCTTTCTCCTACCCCCCCCCCCCTTCTTCTCAACCTCCCTGCACTAAACGCCGCACGCCAACGAGGGAGACGGTTGGAGGGGTTTGGGGGTGGGTACAGCCCGCGTCTAATTCCGGCTCTTGTCTTGGCCGGTGTAATTGCGAGCGTTCTGGGAGATGATACTGATCTCTCTCTTGGAGGTCGCTGCAGTGGGTTGAGGTTGGAGGGTGGAGCGGGGGGTGGTTAGTTGCTCGCCAGGCTCTCATCAACCACCCAGCGATTAGTGCCAGCACGTGCGTACACACGCGCGCAAAGATCCCCCGCGGTAGACTTAACAGACTGTCGGGGCAAGTGTTGTTAGCGAACACCTATGGAGGCCGGGACTGTGGCACACGAGGGGGTGGGAGGCCGGCACCACGCCCGACCGCCTTTGTCTCCCCAGTGGCGATGTTTACACACCGCACCAGGTATTCATTTGAGGCTGAGTCGACCTAGGGGAGGCTCAGGGCCGGTTCAGATATTCGTCACTGGTGTTGGCCGTGAGTGGGAATCGTACTCGGTTCGCCGTGTTCGTAGCGCAGGTCTCAAAACCGCTACGCCACCGCTCCCCACTCATACATTCGCACACGCACACACACAGTGAACCCGCGTGTAAGTCATAGACTCCTTAGTGGAGGCAGGGCACAGCGCACGAGTGGCTGCTGTGGTCAGCACCCTACCTCGCAGCTATTGTCTGACGTTTTACTCATCACGGCATGTAGTAATTTATGGCCGAGTCTACCTAGAGGTGGTCTCAGATAGGTTCAGATAACACGTTGCTCCTTACGTTATCTCTTGATGGGAGCCAAACCCAGGCGACTAGGTTCATAGCGCAGTATACCCCATGTGTCTCAGTCCTCGCGGTGTGACTGAGCGCCTGGTTAGGTCCTGGCCCAGTTGTCATGAGGCACCCCGAATGCTTTGCGTGGGAGAGGGAGCGACCACGTGGCTCCAGTGATTTCCACGCTGATGATTCTTCACACGCACTTGTGACCACCCATCCTGGCGCTCGCAAGCAATGCACGCAAGAACGCCCACATTCTATCCATGACTATCCATCACTAAAATTATTTCCAACCCTAATGCAATCCAAAAGCTAACTCTATTGCATAACTTTATCCCCTAACTCATCCCTAACCCTGTACCTATCTATAACTTTATATTTAACACTAGCTCTATGGTGTAGCATTGGCGCGTTGGTGAGTTTACTGCGTTATAAACCTGGGCCACCTGAATTCCATTGCTGCCCATGGATAATTTCAGTCATATCTGAGCCGATCCCGGACCCCTCCTTTACCAGTGACTAACGCAGCGTGGGGAACGCCTTCATTCAGCAGTGGTTTGGCATCGCGTTGTCAATAAAATAGTTTAAAGCCCTGACTCTAACTCTCCCCCGAACCCAAACTGCTCCCCTGAACCCAACGCAATTCATCTCACGCAGGCCCTTAGCAGCGACACGCGTGTACGGGGCCCCAGCACGCGCTCTGCCGCCACGTCCGTTTACTTTAACGGGTCAGGAGGGACGCATTAGGGAAAGGACTGTGCTTTAAGAGGATGGGATGCCGTAAAGAGAGAGAGAGAGCTGTGTCTGCTCCTGCTCCCAAAGTTACCACCACTCTCCTGGACCACCCCCACTGCCTCCTTCTCCCACCTCCCATCTCACAACGAGACAAGGGCCCAGCGTCCAGCAGTGGCCACCCCTTTGACGTTTCGGGATCGCTTGATGCGGAGAGAACGAGCCCGGACTTGAACGACGGACCACCCGGAGTTCGAGGAAAATGCGCAGGGGAAGAGGGGGAAACGCGACAGCCGTGCGGTCCTCGTGGCCTGCATTGAGACGCACGTTCGAGGGCTGTGGTGGAATAGCGGGTGGCTCGCCTGCCGCTCGCGGATTGAGATTGGCTCGGCGGGAGCGGGGAGGTGGGGTGGATTCTCATCTTGAGGTTTGCACGGCTCCCGTTGATTTGTGCGATTCGCTCTCTCAAGGATGAAGGGAGAAAGAAAAAAAAGAGTTCGCAACCATGAATGATTGCGACCGAACAAAAAACGCCCTAAATGCTCGACAAACAACCAGGAATAAATGGGGGAAGCGCCTTTTTAGTTTAAAGCGGCGTATCAAAATAAATCAATCGCGGCGGACAGCACTTTGCCTTGGTTAAAATAACGTGCGGAGGGGGGGGGGGGGTTGCGGTGAGAGAGCGTGGTGGCTCGTAGCCAATCAAAAGGAGGCATTATCTCGTAAATCCGTGATTTTTACCGGACTACAAATGACCGAGTGTTAAAAAAAGAATATTTGGCAGAGTAACAGTGGAGGTGCGTATTTCATTATTTGTATTTCTTTACAAGAGCGAGGTTTTTTTTTCTTCCCCAGCGCAGCGTTTTCTTGGTGTGCAACGCGGTCACTGTCATTCACGTGGAAGACAGAGCCGGAGAGTGGAGTTCACGCGAGATCGTCATTGATTGTGAGATAATTATTTAAGGAAATAATCAAGTGAGAGTGGTTTCATTTAGTGGTGGCATTGGTCCTCTGTCTGTCTCATCGTCATCATCATCTTGTGAACTGATCCATATCACCCCCCCCCCCCCGGTCTCTAGGGGAGTAGGTACATTTTATTACCTGGGACTTCAGAATGCCCACTCAATAAATAGAATAAAAAAAACATTTGAATCCCACTCATACACCAGCAGATATATTTTTTTAAAATCTGAATTTTAGTCTTCTAGAATTTAGAGGCACCACAAAATATGACGGCTTCTGCTTAAAACATACACCCACCTGAAGAACAAAGCAAGTAAGTTAAATGTAAATAATTGTTTTTCTTACGATGGACAAAGCGTTATATTATTTAATGAGTTCATTTTCGGTGCATCCCTCAGTTGCTGTGATGTTGTCACCGAGAGACTACGCGTCGCCTGGGAGAGGGAGCACACACACTCACCTTTGAATTCTAAATTTTTGCTACCGAATGGAACACTCCAAAGGTCTGCCTGGCAGCCGAGTTAAATTGGGCAGCGGTGCCGCACCGCTGTTTTTGGTCTGTGTGTGCTGCGTCCGTGTCTGACTGGGAGAGGGAGCACACACACACTCACCTTTGAATTCTAATTTTTTGCTACCGAATGGAACTCTCCAAAGGTCTGCCTGGCAGCCGAGTTAAATCGGGCAGCGGTGCCGCACCGCTGTTTTTGGTCTCGGAAAAAAAACACAACAGAAACTGTGCCACTGCTGCCTCCAGATTAGCTCTCGCCCGCTGATAGACACGTGGGAGCACTGCGTCAGTCCGCGCATCTCGTAGCGGTTAGCGCGCTGCACTATCAAGACCCGAGTTCGATTCCTGCTCGCGGACCAGCATCGGTGGGGAATATCCGAACAGGTACTGGCCCTCCACTCGGCCGACTCAGCCTTAAACGAGTACCCGGTGCGGTGTGCAAATGTCATCGCCGGGTGTTACAAAGGCAGCCCTGGGGGTGATGCCGACCACACCACCCCAACGTGTGCCCTGACGCCATCCATAGGTGCTCGCTGACGGCACTCTCCAACGCACCGATGTGCTGAAGTAGTAACTAAATTGGCAAGTTTTTTTTTTAAGTTGCTGTATCGGGTGGTGGCGGGGTTTAACGACGCATTTATGTTTACGCGATCTAACCAAAAAACATATTTTTGTTATGACAGCACTTGCCCCGATACATCTGTTTGGGCTGCATTGTGGACCTTTGTGTTTGTGTGTCCTGCGCAGGTGGAGTTGAGGGAGCGAGGGACGTCCTCTGCGGAGTCGCTGCTGGGGCGGCTTGAAGGCCTCTCCGCCGTTGAGCCATGCGGGGACCGCGTGCCGCGTGTTTGTGGTAACATGGCCCCCATTTATTACTCTTTCATTTATCGTCCAGAAGCAACTTGTTTACATTTGACACGTGGGAACAAGTAAACTTTTATTTACAGTACAGCTGGAGCATCAGTGGAGTGGTTGGCGGCGCGCTGCGCCACGAACCGGGCGAGCTGTGTCCCATTCGTCTCACATTCGTGGCCAGCCATTGCAGAACCGGTCATGGGTCACCCTGCCATAACCGAACCCGCGCTGACCGGCGTTGCGAAGTGTGGCCGAGCAGCCCCCATGTCTGATTTAGGAATGGGGGTGGCCTTTATCCAGCAGTGGTTTGACGAAGGCTGCAAAATATCCACCGTGGTGCAAGCGTGAACCGCACTCTATCATCAGTGCGTAGATGCATAAAAGTGACCACAAGTTTTAGATTCAGTTGTTCTTCATTTCACCACGTGGGTGGTGCTCTTGATGGTGGTGCTGACGAGTGTTTGATGGTGGTGATGTTGATTATGTTGGTGATGGTGTCAATGTTGATTTAGGTGGTAATGTGTATTGTGGTTACGTCAATGTACGTGGTAAGCAGTATTTGTGGGGGTGCTCACCGCTATGCTGGTGGTGTTTGTGGTGACGTTGGTGTTGGTGATGGTTATGGTGTTGGTGATGGTTATGGTGTTGGTGATGGTTATGTTTGTGATGGTTATGTTTGTGATGGCATCGGCGTTAGCTGCGGATGGTAAGTGGCTCCTCGTCGTAGTGCTGGTGGCGACGGCGGTGGTGTTAGGGGGTTTAATAATGGTGTTTGCGATGACATGGCTGTTAGCTGCGGTGTGGTAACGTCGGCAGGGATGACGATGTTTACACCTCGTGTGAGTTGAAACGATCACGTGCGAAAGACAAACACTTTGCCCGCCTCCCTCCGTCGCCCTGAGCGGTGCTGTTTGGTCCGACGGAATGTCATTTTAAACGCCCACAGGTTTCACGTTCCTATCGCTCTGCTTTTTGTTTCGACCCCCAAAGAGCGCCAACAACGCAGGCTCAGCAGCAGCAGCAGCATCACGTCTGTTTACGCAACCTTAGGTGAATAGCGATGAGTCGCATACGCACTCGCAGATTTACCGAGATTCTCTTTTTTTTCTTTACGATCAGAGGAAACAAGACGATGCTCGGTGTAGTCGGCACTTTGCTTCGTTCATCATTTCGTTTTTTTGTTTTTTTTCAATGCTTTGCTTTATGTGCCCCCCCCCCCTTTTTAAAACGAAAGATTTCACAAAAGATTTCACGCTCTGCTCTCCTCCCCTCTCTCCCTGTATCCCCTCTCTCTCTGTCTCTCTCGTTATATAACACGCCGTCTCGCTTTGCACGGGCGGGTGGGAGGTTGCGAGCGCAATTAATTAAAGTTTTAGCGCAACAATTGGCAGGGGATGAGTCGACGGATTAAGGCGCTGGGGCCGTGTCAAGGGCTTTTGTCGGGCGTGGATCGAAGGTGAGGCCTCCGATACCCGATAACTTCTGGCAGCGCTGATCCCACGGGCTTACCCGGGGCACGTACTTGCGCTCACCGTGCTCCGATTGGCCCACGGCGTAGCCAGAGAGCCCACTCTGAAACACTCGCTCACGCACCGCGGTTGAATTCTCGATGCGGTTTGTTCTTTCAAACAGATGGATGCATAAATAAATGTCAGCCATTCTCAATCCACCGGTGGATGAAGGACTTTCCAAGCCACAATGGTTATTGGGGGGGGGGGGGTGTTTGATCATACTTCACAACGCCGGTCAATGTGGTCAGGACCGGTTCTGAACTTCTGACATGACTCTGAACTGAAAGTTAGCCGTGTCTTGGAATGGAACTCGGGTCGCCGTATTAATAGCACAGAGTGCTAACCACAGCGCCACCGCTCCAACCTCTTGCCTTGTCACATTGTCTACAAAAGCAAATTGAGCGCCGTCCAGTAGGCAATAAACGCCTCATTGGCGTTCTGATTGTGGTCTCATTTGCCGCAATGAAGTATTATATTGTCTGCACAAGCATTACACTGCATTGACGTTCAGCGAAAGAAAATGCATTTACTTACGCGAATATATTTTGTATAACCCCCCCCACCCCCTACACACTTTCATAGTGGAGTCTCGGGGCTTTCCTTAGAAAAGTCTTACAGCGTTATCATGTTCATACATTTACAGGGGCTGCTCAGGATCCCCTGCTGATCTGGCTCTGAAATGAACACTCTGATGGGGCTAATTTTCAGAACGGAGCGCTCTATTATTAGGTATGTGGCAGAGCACAACTGTAACACAGAGAGTGCTGGTAGATCATGAAGATTTGTAAAAAAAATATATGGACTCCACGGAGCTGCAATATTTGCCCGAAGAAACAAAGTTAATTAATTCTAATCTGTACGGAGCTGCTAATTTCCCCACAGTTGCAGGGCTTTTGCTCTTAAGGAGTTTTTTTTTTACATTTGGGAGTAACCCATTGTGATATTTAATAATTAAATAAGGATTGATATGCGTGGTCTTACCATGGTGCTTTTGACTATGGTGGCCACTATGTAATTAGCATAATCGTAATATATACACATAACGATTATTACAAATACACGCACACCACTCGTTAATAGGATTGACTCAAATATCCCAATGCAGGACCCTCGTGGTCTTGAGAGTCAGCAAAACGTTCCAGAACACGCGGAGGCAATTATTGTTCGTTTCAATAAAAGCATCTTTCCGCTCCTTTGAGAGATAATTGCAGGGTTCCCGTGTGGATTGTGCGTTCGCCTTCATTGTCCACACCTTCGTGAACTGTAGCCGTGTGTCCCTTTCACTAAAACTAAACAAATTTTTTTTAGCAGGTAAGGCCCCACTGAGCTACGTAGCTCCTCTTTTTCTGAAGCGACCTGGCCATCACAAATGATAGCTCAGCCGGGAGTGGCTTGTGACATGGCAATTTATAGCAGCCAATCACTCGTAGGCGCACGTTTCTAATTTGTGGAGGGAAAAACTGGCGGACTCGGAGAAAAATCCACGCGGCCATGCGGAGAGAGACACGCAAACCCCACAGCAGGCGCGTCAGGGTCAGGTTCGAATCCACGGCCTTCTGTATACCAGGCGAGGTAGTTCACATCTCCCTAGCCACCTCTCCACTGCCACCCTCGCCAGATTACGTCCCCGGCGGGAGGGTCAGGAGGGTGCAGATTTCATGTTGAGAGCCCGCTTACTGGACCTGTCACTCATTATCCAGCACGTGCTTTGTTTTTGTTTCCTTAATCGCTCCTTCAGAGCTATTTCAAGAAAAACATTTTTTCCGACCTGCGAATAGCGGAGGGGATTATAAAGGAGGGCCACGATTTTCTGTCAGGTACTGGAGGGGAGAGGCGGGGGGGGGGTAGGCAGAAATGTAACCAAATCGAATGATGCGGCACCACTTTTAGCAAAACGGGGGCTGCAAAGTTGGGCTCAGGATTGATGACGGGTTGACGCGAAGGACACTCACGGCGAGTTTGCAGGACAAAAGTAGTCCATGGTTGTTGGAGAAAACGCAGCGGAGTGGTTGTGTATACCCCGGGCGATTGCTGATGGCAGATCAGGGATCACACGGTGAAATACAGAGGCAAACGCGGAGAGCAGGTTTGGAGGGCTTTTGGGAAACGTAATTTGGCAATTTAAAGTAACAAACAAATGTAGCCGAAGAAGCAATGGAATGGTGTAAACAGGTATGTAATGAGAACAATTATAATTCAACGGATAGAAGAAAATAATCATGGATATTTATTTATTAAACATTCGTACGTGTGCAGATTTGTACAGCTATGGAAATGGAGAAAAGAAAAACTCCAGCAAACGCAATCTCGTTGTAACTACAATTCCTCTTTTAGGTTTAGACAATGAAGATACCGATTGACCCTAGACTCTCAACTATTGGAGAGCGCCACGAGAATATGGAATTTAACCGTCATCAAATATTTCCGCAAAGCTTCCCATCATTGTCCGCTCGGTTCCACCGAGCGTAAGGGGCTGATGGTTTCCATCCTTCGAGCTCGTAAAAAAAAAAAGAGAAACTAAAATAAAACTAAGAACAAGAAGCAGCAGCCCTCGCCTGGGTCAACCTTCCTTGCGCAGACGACGCTGGGGCAGCGTCGCCCCGCTGCGCTCGGAGCTAAAACTTGCGGGCCGCTGATCGCGGTCCTCGCCGCCAACACAAAGACACGATGGGTGGTCCTGTGAAATATGGATTCCTGTTTGTGGCGCACATAGATTCGTGGTGTGTGTGTGTGTGTGGTGTGTGTGCGTGAATCGCTTTACTTCTGCATGCGAGTAATTTTGACCGGGCGTGGTGTCGGCCACCCCACCCACCGACTGAACCTTCGTGTGCCGCGCGCTTGCCCCAATCAGCCTGTGTTGGCCTTCATCGGGGTGGGGGGGGTCTTCTTCTTTTGTGCGTGTGTGGGAGCGACGCTTCAAACCTGGCCACCTCCGTTCGATTTCCGCGCACGCACAGCATCGGTGGTCATTATCTCAATTGGTTCTGGGGGGAATTCTCCAGGTCGATTCAGCCATAAGTGAGTACGGTACATTGCCTGGTGAGATGTGGAATCATCGGTGCTGTGCTGATGGCCGCAGCACTCGCTCGTGCACCGTGCCGGCCTTCATATGTGCTCACAAACACGACTTGCCCCAACAGCCTGTAAAGGCTATGTGTGAGTGTACATGTGTATGGGAATTTCGTGTATGTATGGGCATGTCGTGTGTGTTTGTGTGTATGTATGTCTTTGTACATTGTATGTGGGTACGTCTTTGTGTGTTTTTGAAGATGGGTTTGTCTTTGGGTACATTGTGGGTGTTTTTGTGTGTGTTGCCTATTCATCCGTATGTATGCATGTGTGTGGTTTATTGCGTGTGGGCATATAATCAGTTTGTAAATGTGCCTGTGTGTGTGTGTATACGTCTGTGGTTATAGTGTATGTGTGGGTGGGCATGTCTGGTGAGCGATTGTCTCTGTCGGGGGTGGGGGGGGAGTGGTGGACATTCATAGATGCTTGTTTAAGATCACCAGACCCCCTGGCCTATAAGCGTTGTTGGCTTATACATGCTCAGGTGTTTATGGGGTGCAGTTGTGTCGCATTAGGCAAACGCCATACCACAGGTGCCAGGTGTCCAGGTTCGATTCCTGACCACGCACACATTGTTTAACAGAGGCTGCCAGAACACAGGTCGACTTGACCTGAAGTGAGTTATTGTTGCATGTTTGTGGTCAAAATAAAAAAAGTGGAAAACAAACGAGGTCCGGCTCCAGCTCCTCTCGGATTGAGGGTGGGGGGCGGCGCGGGGTGGGGTGGGGGGGGGAGTAGTGGTCGAGCGACTGTGATATGCCAATGAGGTGAGTGAACTTGGGGCAGCCAAAGGGACTTTGGTAGTGCAGGGCCCGCCTCAATCCCCCCCCTCTAGCCGCCAGGCCCCGGATACAACAGTGGCCCGGTGTGTCTCATGTTGGCCCGATCATCTGCTTGCAGGCCACGACGACCTTAAGCGTAGCTCACCGCATTGGCTGCTAAGGTTCGAATGGATAAAGAGAAAGGGAACCTTTTTGCTTTCTTGTTCACCAAGTGCAACGGCGTGGTGGGGCATCACAGTGAGAATATTTGGTGACATTGGCGGGCCAGGCCGGATGTGGCTGTTGTGGCTTCAGTGAGTACTCGCTCACGAACGTAACGTCTGCACGCTTTCATCAATAGCGCTGTTCAGCAGTGATGCACGATTGAAAGCTCATTCCTCTGGAAGTGCTTTTGGTGTTTACTTTGATGTCCATCCCCCACCTCCGATTGGCACGGTTGGATACGTAGGGTGTGAAAGAAGTTCAACATACGTACTACCATGAAAAGTGTACCATAGGCGACGCTTCAGGCCCGTGGCCCTTCCGAACAGAGAGACAAGCCACAGAGATTGAGCGAGATAATAACGGGCGACTCCACTCTACACCGTATTGGCCTTGATCGAAGTGTAATCATATTTACGAGAACAGCAATTTGCCAAAGCGATCGTGAAAATAATTGTTTGTGTCCGTGTGCCGGGCGGTGTCCACCAGGTTGGTGGCAGCGGCGGCGCTGGTTTACCCTCACGAGATCCCGCCAGAGCATCGCAAGGCAAGGAGTCTCCGGCACGGCGTGGCGTAACCGAGAGAGCCCCGCACTCTTTCTCCCCACCCCCAACGGCAACTCTTCCCCCCGCTCCGCAACCACCCAGCTGCGCACGCGGTCCATTCCTTTCATGAGGCCGACATGCGCTCCGCACAAACGCCCCTTTCTGTGCAAAGAATAATGCGATGCACAATGCGAGTTTTTGTTAGAAGATTTTTTTAGTAACGTTGGGGGAGGCCGCTTTTCCCTCCTCTCAAATTCGCGTTGTTGACGTTCGAGACCATCAAAGGTATTGCCCGGTCTGCCTCAAAATTTGTCACGTATTAAAAAGGGGGCAGATATGACGAACCCTGCGGGCATGCCTGTAACTGGCTTATTTTATTAGGGTAACGTTTCATCTGGATCTCATTGCCCGTAAAATTTGAAGATATTATGGTTACGCATCGTGCCCCAATTGTATGTGCTTTATAATCTTCATATGTTTGGACAAATGACAGGAAATGTTTAGGCATGTATTGAAGGATACGCATATGCTTGGGGAGGTCTTCATTCAGTAGTGGATTAATCATGGCGAATGGCAATGATGTACAAAATTATTATTATATTTGCTGACCCGCTTATACTGGACGTCAGTGAAAAAGAGCTTCATAGCTCATCGGATTCCTCCAGTCTGAATACAGATTCCGATTCTGAGAATTGAACGATTCATCTTCGGACCTTTTTTAACTCTTCATTCCCCCCCTCCCCCCCCCCAAAGAGCGCACACCGATTTACACACGCTCTCTCTCCGCATGCGTAGGTTCGCGAGAGGATAAGGCGCCAGTTGCCTGGGTCGCAGGACAAGGAGGTTGACACGGGGCCCCCAGGACAGGGCACGTGGGGACCCTGGGGCCCTTGGTCCGACTGCAGCAGAACGTGCGGCGGTGGAGTGCGCATGCAGACGCGGGAGTGCCTGCCCCAGTCTCAATTCACGCAGCATCAGCAGCAGCATCAGCAGCATCACTCGGCCGTGCCTCCACACCAGGGGGGAGGCACACACACGGGCCTACATTCCGTGTCACTGTATATGCCGGACAGCCACGCTGCTGGTCAGGGCCAAGGTCACGGCCAGAGTCACGGCCAAGGTCACGGCCAGAGATACGCGCCCGGAATGGGCCAGGGCGGCCACCGTCCGGTGCCTAACGGCCGCACGCACGGCGTAGCCGGCCGTCCTCCGCACGGTGGCAGGCACGGCGGCATGCCGCCCTCCTCGTCATCTTCCTCCGTGCGCCCCCTCTACTCTGACGGCGTCAACTATGGCACCAATCCGGGCGTCGGCTTCCACAGTGGCGGCGGCGGCGGTGTGCCTGGCCAGCCTCCATCGACCGGCTGGCACAGCGGGGGCTATGCCAGGCCATCGAGCGGCCGGGCGACTGCCGGACAGGCCGCCTACCCCGGCGCGGGCTACGGGAGGACGGCCGCCTTCTCGCTCTACACGAGGAGCGACGAGGGACCGGGCACGGCGGACGAGAGAGACGCCGGCTCCGAGGCTCCCACGGGGGCAAGCGCCGGTGGCGGGTCGCGCACGGCGATGTCCGTGCAACCCCTGCACGGCGCGGGCGACTCCTCCTCAACCGCCGCATCGTCATCGTCCGGCGTGGCACCCAATGCGCATGCGGAATCGTCGCCGACTGATTCCAGGTGAATGGCGGTGTCTGTGTGTTTGTCGATCTTAAATAGGCAGGTTCGATGACACAGATACTGGAGCTGATGCATTGAATGTAACATGCATTTTGCTGCATCACCATCAGCCTTGATCTATCCACTGCTGGATGAATGTCTCCCTAAGCTATCGACAACTCTCACTGCCTCGTGATGCGACAGGCCATCTAGCTTGTGATGGACACAATTATAATGTCATCGCTGCCATATCCACAGCGGATGTAACACCAATATTTCTTCCTCTATCCTTCGTAACTTTAGTGAACACACAAAAGAAATAAAAAATTCCATTCTCCCCCCCTTTTTATTTCATTTTAATGGGGACAGGTCCTCCCGAACCTCCATCCGGCCGGGGAGATACGGCTATGGGCGAATGCCCGTCATGTACTCGGCCATCAAGCCCGCCGACGGCGAGCCGAGCCGCGGCGACGCGGCCGCGGGCGCCAACCAAACCCCGCGGCCTCCGTGGCGCTCGCGGCAACCTCCGGCGCGCGCCGGCCACCCGCAGCAGCACCCGCAGCAGCAGCACCCGCAGCAGCAGCAGCACCCGCAGCAGCAGCAGCACTCGCAGCAGCAGCAGCAGCACCCGCAGCAGCAGCAGCAGCACCCGCAGCAGCACCCGCAGCAGCCCCCGGGGATCGCGTCGCTGCCCCTCTACGCCGAGCGCCCCGCGGCGAGCGAGCGCGATCAGCGCGGGACGCCGCTCGCGCACGGAGATCGGCACCCGGCCCCGCGGCACGCCGCGCTTCCCTCCCGCGGCGGCGAGCGCCCCGCGCCCGCGCCCGCGCACCTCCCGTGGTCCAACGGCACGCACCGCCCCCTGACGCGGCTCGATGGTCCCGAAGCCCGGGCGTTGGCGGGCCTGCCCGCCGGCGGCGGTCGAACGCACAGCCGCGGAGAGCGCGCGTTCCGCCAGTGGTACCAGTCTCACCCGCGCTACCTCGGCGGCGGCGGCGGCGGCGTGGGAACGCCACCGCCAGTCGCGGAGAGCTTTGCGGGTCACGCGCACAGCAGGGCGGAGCAGCCCAACGGATACCGGCCGCGCCAGGACGCAAGCCGGCAGCAGCAGCAGCACAGAATGAGCAAGCGCAGTCCCGAGGAAGAACAGCTCAAGTGCTCCGGACTGGGCAAGCAGTACAAACTCTGCAACCTTCAGGTATGGGAAGAGAGCGTGTGCATCTTGTACACGGAGAGACGCGGCGATTGGGTTGTCCTCTTAGGTCCTCCGTCCCAGTGGCAGGTCCACGCCTCAAACTTCCTCCATCTCAACCCTATCCTGGTTCCCATCACCTCACAAAGCCACACTTAGTAGCAGGGTTCTTGAGTCTTGGTGGTGCATGGCTCCAGTTCTACAGGAGACGTGGGTGGGGGGGAGGGCAGAGGTGTGGAGATCAGCAGTACAAACTCTGCCATGGGTCTTCCAGTCTCAGGTGACGTGTGCCCGTAGATATATAATTGGAATGCAAAGGCAACACGCGATGATGCGCCGATGCCGGCCTCCACTAGACCGGTTCTTCTGGGAAGCTGCGTGGGCTGCGAGCGCCCGTCTGGCGGAGAAAGGGCCGGTGATGAAGCCACCGCCAGAGAATTCCAGTTACTTGGTGGGTCTCTACGTGTGCGAGTCTACGGATCCCGATGCGAGCCGATAGGCCTACGTGAGTCTATGGGTGTCTGTGCGCGTCTGGAGATCTCCGTGCGAGTCTGTTGGTCTCTAACATGAGCGTGTGGGTCTCTGTGTGAGTCTACCAGTCTATGTGTGAGGCTATGGGTCTCTCGGTGAGTCTGTAGTTCTCTGTGTGAGTGCCAAATATGAAGCCACTTCCTGTGCATTTGGCCGCGTTCGTAGCCCACCCTAATTGCCAGTGCCCGTGAGCCATAGCTAGGGAGGAACACTTGAGGTGGTTTCCCACTTAGTTCCGTTTGGATGCAGTTTAACATCACACCCAGGACGATGTTAAACTTTTTTTCGCACCACCGTACATAGCCAACCGTGCTAATTGGAGGCGCGGGGGGCAGTGGGGGGGGGGTGACAACAAACTAAACACAAAAAAGCAGTTCTAAAAAGAATGCGTTTTCAATCTGGATTTAAAAGTGCAGGGAGTGAACAGAAGGAGGCTAAAATAATTCCCCAAATGTGGCAGTTACCGCATTGTACTCCTGTGCTGCGCGGGCCAAAATGCGTCCCCTGCTGATGTGTTAATGCCAACTTGTACACAGCTGCTGCACCGTCGTCCGGGTAGATCCGCACGTGGCTTCAGTGGAGAGCCCCCCTGTGTCCGGGGCGTATCGAGTTCCGCGGTGCGTGCGGTGCGTGCGGTGTGTGCTTGTGGTTTGCGCGGTATGTGTAACGGCTTTGGCATCTCTGTGCTCAGGGGCTCGCACATTGTGCGGCTTGCTCGCTTGTTTATTTATACCGTTTCTCGCTTCCTTGCTCTCTTGCCTCTGAACTGTACGCGTTCAAGCATTTTTGTTTTGTTTTTAGGTCGGGCAAAAGTCGGAGAGCGCGTTGCATATGCCCTACCTGGAGCCAATCGTTTGTACGGGTTATCTGCAGATTGACGAACAACCATTTTATGAAAAACGTAAAAAAATGCAATTGGTGGTGCAGATAACACCGCTGTACCTGCCACGATAAGCACGATACACTGAAACTACCGTTGCTACACTCAAATTAATTAAGACCGCTGATATTGAGCACTCGTTTTCAAGAGTTGCTTTGCAAGAAATCCCACGTTAAAGTTTAAAATTACCGACTTTTGGACACGCAAGATGAGTTGTGGCATTAAGCGATTCGGCACTTGTTGGCCAGGAAGTGGCTTTGAGGGGCAGGGCATGGGAGCACGGCAAACGATGGCCTCGGAAGAGCCAAAATCGCCGTAAATTTACGGCGACATAAATGGGCGTGCCGCAGTCCGGTGCGCACGATAAAATTGGCACTCTCGTTTTTTTCTTTGCTCTCTCCTTGCTCGCCACGGCATCTGCGCTGAAATATGTTGCGTCTCTTTTTACACGAAAAAAATGTTTCACGGGCTTTCGCGAAGCCCGTCGCCGTCCCTTCTTTTGGTTAAATTCCTCCGTGAAATGTGCGGTGTCACGTGAATGGAACGGAGTGCCATCGTTCTGCAGAGGGAGACTTGCGCTCGCCAGCAGAGCGATGCTATTAATGGCCGATAACCAAAGCGAGACCAAGCCGGGTTCGTTTCTCATTACACGCAAAGTTATTTCCACAAAGGAACCACAACACCTTGCTGATCTCGTCAAGGAGTGTAAACCATCACGCAGACTCCGGTCATCCTCGCGGCAGCTTTTGGCTTACCGTCGAACAAAGGTGGTCCCTGCACTGCCGTGATTTCAGATGAGCTTCTGCAGCCATCTGGAAAGCTCTTCCTTCCGATATTAGCAAGCCACTGGAGCTAATCAGTTTTACATTGAGATTCAAAACGCAATTATTTTAGAACTGCGTTTTGTGTTTAGTTTATTGTCCTTCCCCCGCACCTCCGATCAGCACGGTTGGCTACGTACGGCGCGAAAGAAGTTCAACACACATGCGTACAGATCAGTGCGTATCCCACCGGCAGAAAGTATAATCTGCACAATTGAGCAGAGCTTGAAGGCTCCTCCGCTTTGTTTACCCAAACGACGTGGGAAGGAAAATCCCCCACAGAGGTCATTTCCCACTAAAATTATGGGCTCTCGTCCGAGAGCAGTAAAAGGAAGCCATGGCCACAGACGCGGCCCATTATAGCGTTTGATCCTTTGCTCTCTGCAAACACAAAAGGGAAAGCACTCTCGGAATTTGAATTTGCTTTCTTTTTACAACACTCCACACACTGCTGTGAAGTGTAAAAATAAAAATAAAACATTTGTGGTTAAATGATGTTCTGATGCAATGATACTCGTTGCATTGTGGGAGGAGAGGTGGGGTCTTGGGAAAGCCTTCATCCAGCAGTGGATCGACCACGGCTAATGATGATATAGCAATGGTATCATATAAAGGGCATTTTCTGCACTTTGTTTTTCTTGGTACACGATTGATGTTATGTCTTCTGCATGAGATAATGCATGGTTGTTTGACTGGTTATTTTTATTTATTTAACCTTCAACACATCACGGTGTCTCAAACCAACGTTAATCAGTGTTCACCAAGTCAGGAGCTGGTATTTTATTTGCAGTGAGGGAAACAAGTGTTTGATCCCCTGCTGATTTTGTACGTTTGCCCACTGACAAATAAATTATCAGTCTATAATTTTACTGGTAGGTTTATTTGAACAGTGAGAGACAGAATAACAACAAAAAAATCCAGAAAAGCGCATGTCATAAATGTCATAAATTGATTTGCATTTAATGAGGGAAATAAGAATTTGACCCCCTCTTAATCAGAAAGATTTCTGGCTCCCAGGTGTATTTTATACAGGTAGCGAGCTGAGATTAGGAGCACACTCTTAAAGGGAGTGCTCCTAATCTCAGCTTGTTACCTGTATAAAAGACACCTGTCCACAGAAGCAATCAATCAATCATATTCCAAACTCTCCACCATGGCCAAGACCAAAGAGCTCCACAAGGATGTCAGGGACAGGATTGTAGACCTACACAAGGCTGGAATGGGCTACAAGACTATTGCCAAACAGCTTGGTGAGAAGGTGACAACAGTTGGTGCGATTATTCGCAAATGGAAGAAACACAAAAGAACTGTCAATCTTCCTCGGCCTGGGGCTCCATGCAAGATCTCACCTCGTGGAGTTGCAATGATCATGAGAATGGTGAGGAATGAGCCCAGAACTACACGGGAGGATCTTGTCAATGATCTCAAGGCAGCTGGGACCATAGTCACCAAGAAAACAATTGGTAACACACTACGCCGTGAAGGACTGAAATCCTGCAGCGCCCGCAAGGTCCCCCTGCTCAAGAAAGCACATATACATGCCCGTCTGAAGTTTGCCAATGAACATCTGAATGATTCAGAGGACAACTGGGTGAAAGTGTTGTGGTCAAATGAGACCAAAATGGAGCTCTTTGGCATCAACTCAAATCGTCGTGTTTGGAGGAGGAGGAATGCTGCCTATGACCCCAAGAACACCATCCCCACCGTCAAACATGGAGGTGGAAACATTATGCTTTGGGGGTGTTTTTCTGCTAAGGGGACAGGACAACTTCACTGCATCAAAGGGACGATGGACGGGGCCATGTACTGTCAAATCTTGGGTGAGAACCTGCTTCCATCAGCCAGGGCATTGAAAATGGGTCGTGGATGGGTATTTCAGCATGACATTGACCCAAAACACACGGCCAAGGCAACAAAGGAGTGGCTCAAGAAGAAGCACATTAAAGTCCTGGAGTGGCCTAGCCAGTCTCCAGACCTTAATCCCATAGAAAATCTGTGGAGGGAGCTGAAGGTTCGAGTTGCCAAACGTCAGCCTCGAAACCTTAATGACTTGGAGAAGATCTGCAAAGAGGAGTGGGACAAAATCCCTCCTGAGATGTGTGCAAACCTGGTGGCCAACTACAAGAAACGTCTGATCTCTGTGATTGCCAACAAGGGTTTTGCCACCAAGTACTAAGTCATGTTTTGCAGAGGGGTCAAATACTTATTTCCCTCATTAAAATGCGAATCAATTTATAACATTTTTGACATGCGTTTTTCTGGATTTTCTTGTTGTTATTCTGTCTCTCACTGTTCAAATTAACCTACCATTAAAATTATAGGACTGATCATTTCTTTGTCAGTGGGAAACGTACAAAATCAGCAGGGGATCAAATACTTTTTTTCTCTCACTGTACATCAACGTTTGTTTTTCCTGAGGCAGGCCGCCACTGTCTTACATTGAAGAGCCAGCAGCTACAATTTGATGTTGTTTTAGTACTTGTCTGTCATGGCTTGGGGAGTCCTGCATCCAGCAATGGCAGTGGATAGATTAAGGGACGACGTTTTACTTTACATTCTAAGGCTATCCTTTGCCTTAACTGCACTGCTTAGCCCCAGTTTCGTCTCTGGTTGCCACATGTCAAGGTTTTCATAGGATCATCCTATATATGGGTGTAACTGCTGTCCTGGGAAATCTGTAAGTCTTCACGTAACATTAAAAGACCGGGATATTGTCAGTTGCGGAACGAAAATCGACTCAAGACGAGGCATTTAAATGTAGTTCTCTTCTTTTC